TAAGCCTACGCTAAGTAGTTAGGCTATATTACACTCCCTTCTCTAAGGTTGGTTAATCTAGCTACCTCTATTAATCCTGTTATTGTAAGGGCTCTTATACGGCCCTTACATTTCCCTTCGGTCTATTATCCTTATAGGGAAGGTAGCCTACCTTTCCGGCGGGTTTAGAGTCGTATCGCTTCTCTAGGGCTCTCTCGTAGAGCTTATCGTCGATATCGATCGAGACCTTTACTAATCCTTCTATATCGTTAATAGACCTTCTATTACGTATAAGTTCGTCCTTAATAGAGTCCTTTAGTCCTCGTCGATATATAACCTAAAGGGCCTCGTTATCCTAATCCGTAAGTTAGGTATACTCCTAGAACTTAGCGGCGTATTCGGTAGTAGAGGTCTTCTAGGTTAAGTGTTAGATAATCCGAACGGTAGTAGATATCTCGTTAGAGATCCTAAACACGCTCTTTATCTTACCCTTAAGACTCTCGTAGCTAGCGAACACTCTATCGCCGTCGTCTTATCCGTTACTATCTAGGTAGGTTCGAAGGAATAGTTTAACCTAGTATTAGGCACGTCCTCTTAAGAAGGTTGTTATAAAGATAGGTTTTAAGTTATCCGTTATAGGGTTGAATATAAAGTATATATCTAACTAAACGACCTAAAGGTCGAACTTATTACGTTCTCTATAATAGAACTCGGGTTTCCTAATCTTAAGGGAGTCGTTACTAATCTAATTAGCTAACGTATTAATAGTACCGTTACTAGTTCGCTAGGTTCGGTCGGACCGGGTAGTTCCTACTTCGCTAGGGGCGGGTATTCYCCGAACGCTTCGTTAGTTAGATATCCTTAAGGGCGTATAAAGCTATTAAGATATAAAATCTCGATAATCTTACTAAGCTAAGCTATAAGGCTAAGCTAGGCGGGATCGGGTTAGAGCTTATAGGAAGTCTATAAAGTAAAGTAAAGTAGGATGTACAATTCTAATTAGTAAGATAAAATAGTAAGTTATACGCGATGTTCTCTATAGGGGATTATATCGCTTCTATATATACTAACTATAAAGGTAAGCTATCTAAGTAGTCTAAGCGCGAGCGTCCTAAGCGCTTAGGTAGGGGGTCTAATTAGTCTAAGCGGTCGAGGAGGGAGCGCTCGGCTTAGCGCCCTAGTTATCTAACCTAGTCGTACTCTTAGCGATTCTATCCTACCCGCTCTATCCTAATCTCGCGCGCCTATATAGGATTATTAGTCCTACGGTCTTCCCTATCTCTCTTATCTCTAGCGGTCTTTCCTATACGGGATTATCGCTACGGGAAGTCCCCGCGGGACTATTCCGTAATATACCTTTTCTAGAAGCACTTAAAGAAAATAATGTCTTAGGCTTCGTACTTCTAATATCTATCGGTACGGGCGACCTTCGCGACGAATTTAGCATCCGTTCCTTCTACTAAAGAAGTACTTTACTCTATTACGTACTACGTAAGGAGATCGCGCGAAGGAGGGTATTCTTAGGAAATACTAGTAACGGTATTACCGGTACCGCCTAGAGTACTACTACTATACCGTTCGGCTTTACTTACTCGTCGGTATTATCGGTTAGGTTATTATCGTCGAAGTTATTATTATATAGGTTCTACGTAAGGAGGTTACTAAGTATATTCGTAAAGAATACATCTACTATAAGGGAGAGTAGTAAAGATAAGGTAGTATAGGAAGATACTAGGGATCGCTCCTAGTAGTAATTATAACGCTCTCCTACTTACCTCCCGGCGTAATCGATATAGAATATACGCTACGCGTAGAGAAACCGACCCCGAAGTTAATAGACTTAGTACTATAGTTTCGGAGCGCGTAGGGACGATTATCTAGGTATCTACTACGATATACGGGGGTAACGGTAACGTAGAGCTCTAAGGTTAGCGGTAGAGGTAAATTATAACGCTCTTAGCGACGCGACGGTCGTATTAAAAAGGCGTCGACTTTAAAAATTAATTACTCGCGTAATATACGGCGGAAAGATAAAGTAAGACATAGAAATAAAAGAGGATTATATGCTCTATAACGTAGAGGCATAAAAATTGTGTAGTTTAGGTATATAAGGTCTAACCCTAAACCCGGAACTATGTACTAGATTAATATAAGAACTAGTCTCGGAGAAAAGACTAAGTTACGAGACGTTACTCCCTAACGATTATTACTCGTCTTAATATAGTTAAAGTATATTTATAGTATCGATTAAATAGCGCCTACCTAACTACTCTATTTAAGTAAGTACGTCGAATACTAAGATTAGAATAGATACCTCGTTAACCCGTTACGAGTATTTCCTATTACCTCTTACTATAAACTAAGTCTCCTTCTCGCGCTCGTTAATTAGGTCTTTTATCTATATAGGACTCTACTTAAGCTCTTATTCTTATTATAAGGCTTTCTACTCGAGCTTATAAACCCCCTACTAGTAGCTAAGGTAAAGGCTCGTTAACTTATCGCGAGTATTTTCTATCGCTACCTCCCGCTTTAGACTAAGTATATATAGAGAGTATTATTTCGATAAAAGTCTTACCTACTACCTTTTTATACGGATTATTAGTAGTAGGAGGCGATATATAAAGGTATTATAGATATTCTTACTCCTTAATACTATAACTCTTAGGTAGCGGTACCTAATAAGTTCGAGACTTATCGGCGCTTATAGCCTCGCCTCTTATAGCTACTACGTCCCGGTCTATAGTACCGATAGGTTTAATATCGTACTTTAGTCGAGTAAGCCGTTCGTTATATAGTATTTTTATAGGCTTAATAGGGGCTATACTCCTATAGACGCGAGGAACGTCTACGTATAAGTTRGTATTAGCGGCTTTATTATCGAACTCGTTAGTTACTCTAGAGGTGTTTTTACGGCCTTAGGACTATATATAAGTAGGTATAGGCGGTTTTAGTATTAAGTTTAGTAGCTCCGCTCCGAAGGTATTTTTACGGTCTTAAGAGTAGCTACGTTCCTATAGGCGCTAATATAAAGGAGCGATTTTATATAAGTAGGTATAGGCGGCTTTAGCGTTCGAGGATAAGCTATCTTCTATAAATGCTATATCCTATCGCGTCTTTACTAAAGTTATACGAGCCTCTTATATCGAAACTATAAATTACGGAATCGGTGCTCGCGATCTAGATAGATAGTCGTACGTATCGAGATACGTCGGGCGTTTATACTTAGCGAAATCAGAGTATAAAGGGTAGGTAATAGTCGCTTAAAGTGCCATTTAACCGGATTAAGAAAGGCTTCTTCGGAATCTAGAGCTATCTCGTGCTCGTGATTTTCTTGCTGAAACGGCCGTAGACTTGGGCAAGCATCTTTGTTTGGAGTTCGATGGCGTCGGCGTCGTGCAAATCTACTGTTCTTGCCGCTGCAAAATGGCGATGGGCTCGATCGTTTGCTCATAGACACGCGGACTGACTCGCTTAAGGGGGTGATCTCTACCAATTTTCGCCCCGGCGAGGTTGTTTTTGAACATTTGTACTTGTGCKCTGAGCGAAAGAGCGAGTCATTGGCGATCACTCCGTTAGTGACAAGATCCTTGCGCAATGGAAGTAACGGGGCGATTTGGAGTTGATGCGATTAAAGAGGCATCCACCGGATTCATACTATGTGAGTGCGTCGAGTTCGGGGAAATGCGGCAAGGCCCTACGCTGGTATCCAACGGGGGCCGGGAGGAAGATGCTTTGAAATGAAAGGAAGATTGCGGATACCGGGTTCCAACACTACCAAAGATTTGTCGAAGGACATTTCCTGAACGACCGGTCGCATCGCCGCCGTCCTCTCAGCCTCTAAGCCCCCACTTGTGCTACTATCAACAGGAGCAGGCTCGTGGAATCCGCCGCCACCGGTATCGTCCAAGTCACAGCATCCTCTTCAACCTTCGGTTTGTCTGTAGCTGCGTTCCTCCTCCATGCGGTTTCTGCGCTCACTTTGTGGCCAGTCGGTGTTCTTCATCCACTGTCGGCCTATGTGGGGAAGCCCGTCGTAGTCGTTGCACTTCATGGCGTGCTCGTTGGGTCAGTCGGGCTGATGAAGCAGATGGAAAAGTGGCTGATTTCATCTCCACACCCTTGGCTGATCTTTCACTGGTGTGATCCTTGGCTAGGGCTCGAATGGTCCACAGTTTCTGCAGCTGGTGTGAATAAACACCTTGCTTAGTACAGTTCGAAAAGTCTCTTCAAGCGGCGGCGGGTCACCAAGATAGTCGTAGTTGCGACACTTCTAGACGAAGCCGTCTATGGCGAAGCCAGCCTTGGCTAGGCGTTCGTCTTTCTCCTCGGAGGTTGATGGCCAACCAAGCTGCTTGCGGCGTGGCTTGCTGGAGAGCTGGAATGAGACTACAAACTCTCGGCCGGGAACTTTACTGCCTGGCAACCAGGTGACCACTACAGCCGGCTGCGCGGGGAGTGTGCTCCAAATCTCGTGGCCTCCGGGCACGCCAGAGAGTAGGCATTGAAAGCCCTCTTGAAGCCTTCAATGTATTGATCTTTGTCGGCTGCCCCAATCTTGTTCCAAGCTTTTTCATCGCGAATGTGTATGTGTCGGAGACTTCCTGGTGCGTCGGATTGAATGGAGGGAAGCCGTAAACTCGGCCTCGCGGAAGGCTTTCTCCAACTCGTCGGGTGAGGTTGAGACCTGCTTGTAAATACCGAGAAAAGTCGCGACATGAATGCGGGCAATCGCTTGTCAGGTACTTCCATTTGTTGTTTGTTGTTACTGTCACCCATCGTTCGCCTATTTCTCCGACCCGCGGATTGTTTCTTGGCAAAGTCCATGACTGGACGTTTCGCGGCATATATCTGATGGTCAAACTCGAACACAGCAGTCTATTCCGGCTGATTGCGGTCCTCAAAACGCTGGGTGTTCCCGTCCTTGGCATCCGCTCCACTCGAAATTTCTCCGCTCGCTGTTTCTGTTTCTGCTTCTTTCCTCCACACCACCCACCCCATATTTTCCCGCTCCCTCTGCTGCCATGTCTGGCAGTAATCAGATGCCTTTCCGTAATAATCCACAAAACAATCAGAATCCTCCGGTAATACATTTCCGCTTCTTTGACGCGGTCCAGTCTAACTTTGAGCAGAATCCCCCACTCAGCCTCTTGGAAAAACTGAGGCGGAAGACCGAATCACGACGCCTGGCTGATGCTGCCGCCGCCCAATCCAACGATGATGCTGTGGCTGCCAAATCCAAGGCTGATGCTGCGGCTGCCCAATCCAAGGCTGATGCTGCCGCCGCCAAATCCAACGATGATGCTGAGGCCGCCGAAATCCAAGCTGAAGCGGATGCTATGGTCGCCACTATGGCCGCCAAAATCCAAGCTCATGCTGCGGCCACCGCCAAATCCACCCCTCCCGCTCCGATCGCCGTCAAATCCACACCCGATGTTGAGGGCCCCGCCCAATCCAGAGTCTCCGCTGTTGCAATCACTTGGAAACACCGCGCGAATAATCCACATAAATCCAACGCTCATACTGGAGCATCCAAATCCACCGCTCCAGTTGGAGCGCCGGCCAATCTCCCTCTGCCGGCGGAATCAAAGTCTCGAATCCAGGCTTACCAGGCGGCGAAAGATCAATCCAACCATCACCACAATGAGGAAATTCCGGCACTCCACGCCAGAATCCAAGAATTAAGTAATTCCTACATTGAGCTGAGCCAATCCTACCGCCTGGTAATTGGCCGCCTCCAATCACTCGAAATTGAGTTCAAGAAGACCAATTCTCCTGCAGGTGATACGGATCAATTCCAATCACCCATGCTTGTTTCGGAATCCTTGGCGGCCACTACTAGTCGCCAGCAATGCTTTGGGCGCTTACAATGATTGTTCATGATAATCCTCATTCTATAGCGAATGGATAATCCATCTGAGGATTATGATGCCGCTGGCACGTCCAGTCGTGTAACTCTCTCGATGGGTGTCAATCCAAATAGCATAGATTGCGGAATCAAACAAAATCAATGTATGTTTCTCCGATGTTGCAAAAGCATATAGTCGAGCTGATTTGTTCTCTCTCTACTCTATGAACGAGTGCAATGGTATTAGAGAGGAACCTAGAGTGTGAAATAGCTTCTGCTCAGTCGAGCGCATATTCGCGATTTGGTCTTGGGGTTTTGGGCAGAGCTGTCGATATGAGAATTATTCATCGGGACAAGACATCCCCATGGATCCTTACAATGTCCTAAGACATCGCTCTCTGCAGTATCGATGAATCTAGGACTGCTAGAATCCCAGAGCTGTCGATATGAGAAGTCATTAACACAACAGCACCCTTGACCGCACTCTCTATTATATAACGGACCACTCTGCTAGTAGTAAAGGTTCTAGCAGCTCCAGAGTTGTCTACTCTGCAGAGAGCAACGCCTTAAGACATCATAAAGACGACTAAGGGTGTTTTGCCTCGACGAAGAATCCTCATATCGACAGCTCTATAGAATCCTAATAACTAGCATCGTATCCTGTAAACTTATCGGGGGAGCAGACTAGGGAGCTGCTATTAATGACAAATCCTCATATCGACAGCTCTGCTACAGGGGATGGACTTGACTCAATCCATGATCAATACACGGGATTGAACGATGAGCAGACTCTCCTCTACGAGACTGTTATCAAATACAACAGCAAAAGCTCCATGGACGGAAGCCTGCTCCGTTGCTGATCAGCGTGGATGGTTGAGGAGGAGCGTAGACAGTGGATCACACATGAACTCCAATGATCTTTCGATCAAACGGCTCTAATACCGAAGTTTGATAGGCAACCGTTCGTGGTCCACGACAGAATACCTGCTAGAAGCTTAGTGTAGATGTCAATAGCAAGAGCGTGATTTGGGGTCAGGAGATAGAAATCTACATTTCTGGCGTTGTCTACTCGTCACTCTCAGACTCCCATGCATTCTCCTGATCGCCATCATCATATCCATCGTCTTCGCTCGACTCATCATCATTGCCATCATCACCATAGTCAGCAATCTCCGCATCTGCGTCTTCTCCAATAGCCTGGCAAAGTTGTTGGAAAGTCCGTATGTAGTTTCCAGCTACCATCAGTTTACGTTTGCCGGAATGATACCAACTGACGTATTTGCCCAACACCTRCTCGCCGTCTTCGTCGTTGTCGTCATCATCTGCATCAGCTGGCAGGTGCGCCGTCATGAAGGAGCACAAACCTTCGTGCAGCTCTTTACCCTCGCGGACCATGAACTCGTGCAGGAGTAAGCCAGGCCGCAGATACATGGAGAGATTGACTCTTCTCCTGTCTTGAATCCACGTCTTGGGCTTTTCCATACGGAATGCTTAGGCACAGAAGTCTTGAAGCGAGGATACCGTGGCGTCGTTTCCGAGCTCCGTAGCCCAGTAACCGCGAATCGCTTCGAAATTGACGCATTCCGATGGGATCAGATACTGAGATCTAGGATAGTGCTCGTGATACTCAGGACGGCCAATGTAGAGATCCAACAAGAACAGGACCGGGAACGGGGGCTCTCGGAGCTGGTCTCCTAAGAAAACGGTAAGGGATTCTGCGTCGTTTCCTGACCTGCGCAAAATCGTGCGACTAGAAGCCGAGAGTACAAGCATTGGCGCGTCCTGGGCAAAGTCTCCAGAGTGAAGTGCAATCGGCAACTTGTGGGCGTTGACATGCCACACATGTTTATCAGTAGCGCCTGCAACGCGGGGTACAAAAACATTTGATGCGAATCTGACCTGGTGTAGGGGCAACACACAGCCAAAGCCAGCGTGCATGGCGTAGTCGTTGAGTCGCTCAGTCTTCCACCAGCACCCTAGCCCATAGTCCGACCGGCTGATTCTATTGTATCTTGCATTTACCCCCCCTCCGTCGACGTCCTTTGGGACGGCATTGAATGCTGCGAATGCTTCATCGTCATGCACCGTCCGCGAATCGAGCAGAGCCTCAGATCTCACGGGACGATTGTGTGATTCGCTTGTGATCAGTCTGTATATCGGATCAAACCACTTCTTCCCGTTAAGCGAGAACTTGAACTCCGCGATGGTGGCTTGATCGATCTCGATGATCTTGGCATCAGACCACCATGACGGGGCAACAGCAGAGCACGGCAGGCAGTAGCAGTAGTTGCGGCGTCGGTTCAACAACAGCAGCCATTCCCAGGCCCGATTGGGGTGCATCATTGACCTTCTCCTGCGAACTTCCGGCTCCTTGGACTTTAGAGCGCCAGTGTTGATTTGAACTTTGCCACTCTCCTCTTCGACCAAGTCAGGTTTGAACTCCCATAGCCAGATTTCCGAGCGTAGACTGGACTCAAGGATCCCGTCCCCGAACTCTGGCACAGCTGTGAAGTCCACGGAAAGCCCCTCGTCAGCAGCGAACGAACAAGCCTTGACTCCAGCTGCCCAGAATTCCCATGCTCTCCACGCCGCAGAGCCGTCGTTCGTATTGTCCAGAAACGCTGCGGGTGGTGCCTTTACAAGGTATTGACTTGGATCGTAGCGGTATCCAGTGCCAGGTACAATGCATTCGCCACTCATTCGAATCGAATMCGTCAGGTTTCTGAAAGCTTCAGCAAGGCGACTCTGTGGGAATGCATACACGGTGTAGCGGGCTGGAATCTAGACACGTATTAGCGGTGGCAACTATGACCAGAAACGGGCAGGGAGAACGCACTGGTGCATCGGATTGGTCCACAATTAAGTGTCTACGATCTTCTCTAATGGGCAAGATAGCAGCCATACCAGGCGCACCTGGATATGTAGCGATGATGAAGGAACAGTGCTCCAGCTGATCCTCGGACAGATGCGAGAGAAGCTTCTCGAAGCCGATAGGTATGGACCGTCCGGACCGTTTGGAGGTGCGCCGGATTACTGGAAGGAGAGCCTTGTTGTCGAGGAAGACCAAATCACCCGGCTTAAGCTTCCCCTGTTCAAACATACGGCGGCACCAGTCCCAGCGCTCATGTTGCGACATCTGTGCGAAGTTGACATCCATATCACCAACATACAGCGCAGCATCAATAGGGGCGCCTTCGGGGCTGGTGATGACGTTGCTGGCTGCAGCAAGTCTGTTGCTTCTGCCCTGGTGCATCAGGCCTACTTTCGAACTCGGATTCAATGCTCCCCACACGTCCAAGCAAGCGTGACGGAGTGTGCGAGAAACTGTGACGTCGCTGCCGGGCGTCATGGCAGGAGCTGCATCTTCAGAATCTGGCATCGCGGTATCGCCGTCGTGGTCGGCCATGGCTTTGAAGATAGGTGGTGAATACAGCACGGATGCGTGAGCGTGTTGGTGGATGCCCGGTGTTTGGGGCGATAAGACTGGAACAGTGCAACAGTTGTTGATGTTGATGTTCGTGGAGTTTGCCCACAGTAAAGTAGGTAATTGGAGTAGTTAAGTCTCGCCTTTTCTGGACGCGTCTTTTCGGACTTTTCAGTCGCGTCCAGGTTCTTTTCAATTCTGCCCCACAAACATTTACTTCCATGTTTGCCAGTGAGAAGCTTCCAGCACTTCGTATGAGCAGATACCGGGCTAGCTGATGAGAGCTGCCATCACATCTCCTGCACCCACAATAACACCCACAACAACACCCGCAACAACACCTGCAACAACACCCGCAACGATGGTCGATTACGAGAAGTTGCATTTCCGAAACACACTGCAGCCACTCGCCAGGTCGCGCGGCGTCAAATTCAGCTCGGGCTCCATGACGAAGGCCCGACTTATCGCCGAGCTCAAGGCTCTGGATGCCAAGGAGAAGGAAGCACGTGGAGAGCAGGACACAGAAGAGGCAGAAGCGGAGGCAGAAGCGGCAGTCGAACTGTTGAAGCAGGAGCAGAAGGCGGCCAAGGCGACCAAGGCGGCGAACCACTACGTGATTCGCGCCAAGGACAACACTTTTCGCCCGTATCAACCAGGCCCCGACAGCCTGGATTTTCTTTTGAGGTCGGCGAATCCCCATGCAGCGAGCGGCGAAAACAACGCAGACACCTACCTTGCAGCAAAGCTCGTGGTACTTCTCAACGATGCCATCTACCAACTCGGACTACCGGGCTTTTTCGTCCACACGCTACCCGCCAACCAATTTCGCTGCCTTGCTGGAGGGGCACTGCAAGCCGGATTCGTCCTTCGAATCAATTCCGTCGAGGAGCAAAATCAGTGGGAAAACGCCGATTTGATGACCAAGATGCAGATGGCCAGCCTTCACTGGAAGCCTCAAAATATTGGCGACAGGGACCCGGTCATGCCACTCCACATGTCCCACGGGCTAACCCTCCGCTTGCCAAAATCATCACGGAGCTGGCCCTCTGGGTTTCCCCGCCTTGAGATCTATGACCACAGCCGTATCACGCGCAAAGGTGGAGTGTTCACGCCGGGCTTGTACCTCGTTCCGATCACTGGCACCCTCCAGTGTCTCCCTGCCGAGGATTGGAAAGCAGCTTGCAAGAATGCCATGAATGGCGAACTTTGCCTTCGTCAAGACAAGGCGATGGGAGCAGTCGACCGTAGAAAACAGCTGTCCGTTGATGGTGGAGATGATCCGGTCCGTACTCTCACCGCCACCATCACAAAATACATGCTGGAGGCCCCTCAAGACGTCATCACCCTTCATCGCTTACGCAGCTGGGGCAATTGGGGGAAGTTGATGCGTCTCGCGGGTCTCGAAGGGAAGACCCAGGCGTGCGGAGCATTAGACAGCGTCGCCGTGGCGTCGGTTCCAAGAAGAGGAGCTAGGACTGAAGCCGAAGCAAACCAGAAGAGCGAGCGTCAACAGTCCAAGAAGGCGAAGGCGAGGGGGATGATGACGAGGAGTTCGATCCGGGGATGATGGACCTTGGAGATTGAGGCAGACATGCAGGACCGTGAGACACGAGCACCAGGCAGTCTTTCACAACAGCAGGTTCGCATTACTGGCTGTGGGCGCTAGTTTTGGTAGTTTACAGTACTCTTCAACATGGAAGTCTGTGGACGGACGGGACCGATAGAGGTGTCCAGAAAGCGGCGCCATGGAGAGTATATTGCAAAGCATGAACAAGAAGAAATGAAGTTGGAGTAAAAGTGCGAGAACTTTAACTCAACCGGCGACTTGAAATCTCCGACTTCCACTCTGTCTTGGCATCTCCCTTGCTTTCTCGCGTTCTGCAGAGAAGGTAACTTATGTACCAGTCTAAAGATGCTGACAAGAACCCTGCGATCCCACACACCATTGGCAATTGAGTTGGAGGACTTGGTTCCCCTGGATKGACATTGGCGGCAAAACTGTGGATATGAGACTCCACTGCTCTCCGTCAGTTGACGGGCCACTCTGCTAGTAGTAAAGGTTCTAGCAGCTCTAGAACTCTATTGACTTCTGCTATTGACTATGATCGTTTGGCAAGAGAGCTTTCTCTTGCAGGCCTGCTCGGCGTATGTGCTCAGTCTGGCACAAGTGGAAGGGCTATTATCGGCTTGAAGGCATGTGAACCATGCCGGTTCATTCGGGCTACCATGCCTCCTAGGTTCCAATCGCGTTGGAGCGAACCCTCAACTGACGGTAGATAACGCCAGAAATGTACAGGTGGTCTTCGTCCCAACACTCCTTTCCAGCCGCGCTTTTGGGTCTCACGGGTTGCCGCTTGTGCATCGTAGGAGAACTCGTAGCTGAAAGCAGAGCTCTGTCCAATGCAGACGGGAGGCATTTTTGATGCACTTGCAGAGCTCCAGCACGATGGCTCCATGCCGCATTGGAATTCCAGGGTGAATGGTTCAGCGAATTCCAGAACTTCAGAGTACTTCGTCCACATCCTCCCAATCGCCTTGGTCCGCACCCTCGACAACACCCGCTTCTGTCACTTTATCAGGCACAGTCGCCATTACATCCGCCACGACGACATCCTCCATTGGCTTGGCCCCAGCCTCCTCGACCGCCTTTTCCAGCGCCTTTTCTTTTTTGGACTTTTTCTTGCCAGCAATCTTATCGTTTAGCTCCTCCCAATCCGCTCGTCTCGCATCCACCTTTCTCCCGCGATTTGTGCTGTCCGCGACCTTCTTCTCCAGTTTATTCGTAATCGCATCCGCCTTTTCCGATCCCTTCTGCTGACGCACTCGCTGTTGGCGCGTGAGAGTCTTGGTCTTCTTCTTTTTGGTGATTCCAGCTCCAGTGGGCGTGTGTAGCCATGGTTTGTAGTCGCTTTCCTCGCCGGCTCCTTTGCTCGCGGATCCCTTTGGTAGAACTACAGGCGATGCTCCCCGCCGGGCAGCCCGCGAATTGGCGGAGATTTCTGGGGGTGAAGAGGTCAGCCGGCTGATTGTTGCGACATTCCATCATTCAATCTCACCTCTCTTCTTGGTCTTTGGTGTCTTGGCCATTTTATGTGCAAAGACAAAAGTGTCTTGAAGCAATTCGTAATCAAATCGGACGGAATTCGTCACAAAGAAATTCTTAGCGGGATGTCCCCCGGGAAAGTGAACCATGGACCCTGCATGCGAGTTGAAGACGGGAGGACGGGAAGCATGCCCGATCTTCCCTTTATTATTAGACCCATCTACTTTCCTCCATCCGACACTGAAGTCTCAGATCTCACATGCGCCACTTGATCCAGCGATTCCATCAGGAGAGACATCACTCGCTGCCGATGTTCAAACCCAATATCCACTTCTATTCCCACGGAAGTAACGATGGATCGCCGCATCCAACTTGAAAACCACACGACTTGGGGAGGAATTGTCTTGTATGGTGCGATCATCCTCTACGGATTCTACTGGGTACTGGGTCGCTTCGATATCGCCATCTTGCCGCCTCAGGAATTGCTCTTCAACACAGTGGTATACTGCATACCGACACCTATCTTGCTGGGCTCGGCGCGCAGACAGGAGCTCAAAGAGAATGGCATGCTTTCACAAAGACATGCAGCAAAAAGTGAGGCATTTCGCAGGTTGCTGGGGTTGGGAGGAAATGCTCTATTGCAGGGAGGAGAATCTGTAGGCATAGGAAAGGTGATCCGACGAGCGAGCATGGGAACGAAGACGACCGTGATGCCAATATCTGACGCGCCTGCCGGACTTGGGAACTGGGACAACTCGTGCTATCAGAATAGTGTGCTGCAAGCTCTGGCGTCTTTGGAATCACTGAGAACATGGCTGAGCATGTCGGAGCCGCCGCAAGAGGGAAATGCTTTTACTACAAATGCTGCACTGCAGGAGATGGTTCGAAAGCTCAAGGATCCTGGAAATAATGGAAGTCATATTTGGACGACGGCGAAGTTGAAGAGCATGAGCAGTTGGCAGCAACAGGATGCTCAGGAGTATTTCTCCAAAGTCATGGACGAGCTGGACAAAGAAGCCGCGAAAGCTGCAAATCTGGCGAAGAAGAAGGCAGGACTTGAGACTTTGGTGAAAAATGTGGAGGATGAACAGCCGGTATGCGATGGGGATGGTGTGAAGCCCAGTACCTCGAGAAACCCACTGGAAGGATTGACGGCCCAGCGCATATCATGTACACAATGTGGCTTCTCCGAGGGTTATTCCATGAACCCGTTCAATTGTCTGACAGTCCCTTTGGGAAACATGTCTGCCTATGACATTGAGGATTGCCTGCACGAATACACCAAACGCGAGGATATCGAGGGCGTGGAATGTCGGAGCTGTACCCTCATCCAAACCAAGAACAAGCTGTCGCAAATGCTTCCATCGCAAGCGGAAGGCTCAACTACATCTCCAACCATCTCTCTCCCGCCAGAGCTGCGCCTTCAAATTGAGGAGAGGCTGCAAATTGTGCAGCAAGCTCTGGACAATGACGACTTCTCCGACAAGATGGTCAAGCAGGATTGTCAGATCTCATCAAAGGCAATGGTCAGCACTACCAAAACCCGCGAAGCAGTCATCGGACGTGCACCGCAGTCACTCGTCGTCCACGTAAACAGAAGTGTGTTCGATGAGATGACAGGCGTGCAGCGGAAGAATTACGCAATCGTTCGATATCCTTTCATCTTGGATCTTCGACCGTGGATGCTGGATATCGGGGACACTCCAACGCAGTATAGCCTGAAAGCTGTGGTGACGCATTATGGACGACACGAGAATGGGCATTACATTTGCTACAAGAGGCACCCACGACGTGAGGCGGATAATGAGGATGACGACACCCAGAAGGAGAGATGGTGGAGACTGAGTGATGAAGACGTCTCGCCTGTGTCAGATCAGGATGTTCTTGATCAAGCCGGTGTCTTTATGCTGTTTTACGAGAAGCTCGACGAGCAAATCAGTCCCATTGCGACTGAAGAATGGACCGATGCCGTGCCCGTCGCTCAACCGGAGGAAGAAGCTGTTGAGATGGAAGCCACCAATACGGTGACGGCGGAGGTCTCAACTGAACTTCCGCGAGCTGAAGAGGAAGCCGTCGAGGAGACTGTGACATCAGTATCGAGTGTTGAGGAGGCGCGGTCGAAAGCTCCACGGCCCCAACCGTTGCTCAAGACGGCTTCTCCAAAGTTTGTGAGACCCGATATGGGCATGAATCGGCCTTTGATGAGCGTTTGAGCATTTGATAGTAAATTGATGAATGAGAACAGTAATTCTACCTYGACATTTTACCTCACAGCGTCGTTGTATTGGGAGTTTCCCGTCGTGCATTGCACATGAGTGTAGGAGCTCTGGCTTCATTCTTTCAAATTGAAGCTTGTTCCGAATGTCATTACTTTGTATGCATCGACAACGAGCGCGATGTTGGAGTTGGGAGATTCCTGAGGTTGAAGGTTCGTGAAGTCGGAAATGCCGCACGGACCACACTCCATCGCACTTGCCCAAAATTCCAGGGCTTGGCTTGGCCACTTCGCTTCTGTCCGACTTTGAAACCTCGAAACCGACCGACCACTTCCACGACAACTAACCCCCCATCAACACAGCAAAGATGGTCGCCGCCAAGAAGCATGTGCCAATCGTCAAGAAGCACACCGCGCGCTTCTGCCGTCACCAGAGTGACCGGTTCATGCGCGTGGACCCCAGCTGGAGAAAGCCCAAGGGTATCGACAACCGAGTCCGGAGACGCTTCAAGGGCCAGGCTGCCATGCCAAAGGTGCGTTTTGAAATGGATGGGTGGATTGGGTGGGAGAGGAATATCGAGTGCAGGATGCGGATATGGGCAATGGGCGATGGGCGATGGGGATCATGTGCAGGACGAATGCTGATTGAATTCTGCGCATACAGATTGGTTATGGTAACAACCGCAAGACCCGCCACATGATGCCTTCTGGCCACAAGGCCTTCCTCGTCAACAACATCCGCGACTTGGACCTCCTCCTCATGCACAACAAGACGTACGCCGCCGAGTGAGTATCCCCACACATACAAACACGTCAAGAGAGAAAACGAGGTGGATTGCTGACTCCATCATAGGATCGCGCACGCCGTGTCGTCGAGAAAGCGGATAGAAATTGTCGCTCGCGCCAAGCAGCTCGGTGTCAAGGTCACCAACGGCAAGGCCAAGATCACCTCCGAGGCATAGAGCATGCATGGGAGTGAAATGGAATGTCGAGTGGAGACTGTGTGCTGGCAATGGATGACGGTCTGGGCAGGCAGGAATGGAATCGGCAAAACAAACGGCGTCACAAGGTGCAATTGAAGGAACAAACTTTTGCATGTTCGTAGCTGAGCTGGCCGAACTGTTGCGTGCCAGTTTCTTTTACTTTGCATGAAAAACACCGCCAACGCCTCGCTATGGCCTGCTTGCATACACTTGATACGTACATAGCGTAGCGCATCAAGCAAAGCAAGCTGTGTGAAAAAGCAGAAACGAATCAAACCATAACCATACCGTTCGAACTCCTCAATATCGTCAATACTTCAACCCTCCTCCATTGCGCCCGCATCCTGATCCACCTTGGTGACCTCGCTTGTAGCGGCACTCCAATACGCCAGAATCTCCACCTTGAAATCCGCCGTCGCCATTCCAAAAAGCTTCAGCAAAGCAGATTGATGGCTGTTCAGCTCCTTGCCTTGTTGACACACAGTGTACTCCTGATCCAGCACGACTTTCCCCTTATCCAACCTCGTCGGCATTCCCCACTTTCGCACCATGACCTCCAACGAATGCGGCAGCATCACATCATCCTCCACTGCAACCTCTCCTCCTCGGGAATAGACGACTCCCGCGGGAATCACCACCGTCCGACTCGCCTCTGTGCCCGCCCGCGCGAAATCCACCTCGACGTATTCAGCGAAGAAGTTCAATACTTCCTCCGGCGCACGATTCGTACAGAGCAATCCCACACTTCCTTTGAGATAGGCGTTCAACTTCCACAATCCCGGCGCGTGTTCCGTCTCGCGCGTTTGGCCGAGGGCTTTGGCCATGACTTTTGTTTTGCCGAAGAAGATTCTGCTGTCGGAGAAGTTTTGTCGGACGGATTTGAGGTAGGTGTTGCGCATGTTGGCGACGTCGAAGACGAAGATGTGGGCGAAGGAGGAGATTGCTGTTTGCACATTTTCGTAGAGGGCCACGCCGCGTTCCTTGGACGGTTTCTTCTGCACGACGGACGTGTGTATGATGCGGTTGCGCTTGGATTTGGGCATGGTGATGGTTATGGTGGGGAGTTTTCGTGGAGGTTGCAAGTAAATTTATTGTCGAGGATGAGATGGGTAAATTTCATGAGCGGACTGCTCTCCGCTTTTACCCTCTTTTCGGATCTTTCGGCAAGGATCTCATCACTTCTTCCCCACCTAACATTTGATGAGGCTGTTGTTGTTGTTTTTCTTTGTGCCAGAGTGTGAGCAATGCCGGACAGGAAGAAGAGAACCCGGCATGCTGGGAGAAGAGATTCCATATTAACAGCAACATCACATGATGCCGGAAACTTCAATACCGCCTTCATCATCAAAGGATGGAGATGATGCCGGAAACTCCAATATCGCCGACAATGGACAAGCGAGAAGGCCCACCGATCCGGATATGGAGCATGACTTCAGCAACGATGGAGCAAAACAGAATCCTCCATGGTCAAAGTCACTCCTTTCAAGAATACAGACAGTATGGAAAGCCGCGGGGATCGATTGGCGGACATATCAGATGATATTCAAATCCGCCATTGCTCCTACAATCTCCCTTGCCGCCTTCCAAGGCGATGGATGGGCGGACTTCTTTACAACTCTCGGATACTTGACCATCATCATGACCATTCTTCCAGTGGTGATTATGCCAAGAGCCAAGTTTCTTCAGACCATGCTCGCAAGCGTCTTGTTTGTCTGCTTGGGCTGTTCACTTTCTCTTCTATCGATATTTTGTATGATCAAGGCCCGGACAAACACTGTTGAGGAAGGTACCGCAGGTCCAGGCGCGGCGAAATCGACCTATAATTCATCTGCTAGCGCAGTTGCAGGCGTCGGGCTGTTTGTTCAGATCTTTGCAATCAGTGCTCTACGAGCGAAGATGCCTCAGTATAACGTACCCTGCATCATCTGGGCCGTATTCGCAAATATCGCAATGATTTATGGCCCACAATTCGAACTCACGGCACAGGCGGAGTCTTTTGCTTTGAGACTGATCTATGGGTTCCTGACTGGATTCGCCATTGCTGCAGCTGTCTCTCTGTTCATCTTCCCCCTCACCAGTCGAGAAGTTGTATTCAAAGGCATATCTGGATACATCACCTCCCTTCGTGGAGCACTGCAGGCAAACCTGGAGTACATGCATAGTCTAGAGGAGGACGATCCCTTCACAGCGGCTAGAACGAATACGTTGGGCGATCACCTGCCGAAAAGCGACAAAGCTCGCGTCTTCAAGGAGAAACTGGCAGCTCTTGGAGCACTAYATGCAAAGGTCTTCACAGACTTACCATTCGCAAAGAGAGAAGTTGCAATTGGAAAGCTAGGCCCAGGCRATCTGCAGGAGACATTCAGATTGCTTCGTCTGATTATGATTCCGACTGTCGGACTGAGTTGTTTGGCCGACATCTTCGGTCGGCTCGCTGAAGAGAGAGGCTGGGATAGGTATGTGGACCTTGCAACATCCACAGTCTCGGATGCTGCCAACCCGGGCGAGAGAATGCGAATCACGACTATACAAGAGTGGCACGAATTGATGAAGGTACTTCGGGAGCCTTTGAATAACATTACACAGACGATTGACGGTGGACTACAACATGTGGCTATAACGCTGGAGCTGACCCCAAGAGGAAAGAATCGTGATCTGGAAGCTGAGGGTGGTGATCCCCAACCAGGAGACGATGGTTTTGCCGCTTCTTATGCTCAGCGGAGGTTAGATTTCCTGAAGAGTAAAGAGGTCATGCTGCGCGGCTGGTGTGCGCTACATGACATATCCCTCCCGGACAACTTCTTCGAGGCTCCCGATGCCGATCTAGAAGTACCTAATTGGATGCAAGAAGGATCCTTGTCCGAGCCGCATGGACAGCTACGCCGGCAGCTATATCTCTGCCTGTACATGGAATTTCTTCTGGTCAGCATCTCGCGCCGGGTGCTCCATCTCGTACTGGCTGTTGATGGTCTCAAGCATCATGGCAAGCTGAACAAAACGAGACTCATCTTTCCCGGCCGCAAGAGAATGAGGAAATGGCTCACCAGTCTATTCAACAATGAAGAGGATTCCATAGATGAGCTCGAAACGGAAGGGAAAGCAAATGTTGTATTTCTGGGCAGTGCATATTCCAACAAAAGGGATGCGGAACATTTACCCCCTGCCAATGCGTGGGAACGATTTGGCGACCAGCTGCGAAAGGTCGCGCACTTTTTTCAATCTCCTGCATCGACATTCGGATTTCGCGTTGCGTGTGCAACCATGTCAATCGCTATCATTGGCCTACTCCGGCCAACACAGACCTTTTTCGTTGAGCAACGACTTTTCTGGGCGCAGATCATGGTCTCGATCGCCATGAGTCCTACCACAGGGCAGAGCCTGCGAAACTTCTTCCTTCGAGCGGGAGGTACTTGTATCGCTATGATTCTAAGCTTCTTGGCTTGGTACATTGTGGATGGGAAGACTGTGGGTGTCATTATACTCTTCTTCGTCTTTATGCATCCATTCGCTTGGCTGAAGCTCAAGAAGCCAGCATACATTCCCGTCGGGATCATCGGGCAGATTACCATGTCTCTGATAATTGGTTATGAATTACAAGTGCGGACTCTTGGAATCGCCGTTTCGACCTCCAATGGGCAGGCTTACTATCCAATCTACCATCTTGGATCTATCCGACTGGCAACTGTTCTTGCTGGTCTTTCCGTCGGCTGGGTCTTTTCTTGGTTTCCTTATCCAGTTTCAGAGGCGGGCCAAGTTAGAAGACAACTAGGATCAGCTCTCTATCTTCTGGCCAACTATTACTCCGTCATGCATGAGACGCTCCGACTGCGTCTCCGTAATGAACTCGGCGATATGAGCACGAAAGATAGCCCAGGCCGGAAACTTGAAAAGGCACGGAACAAACTCTACTCCAAAACCACGCTGAACATCAACGCTCTGCGAAGTCAAGCCGCTTTCGTAAAGTTTGACATTCCAATTGGAGGTCGCTTCCCGCGTGCCACATACCAACGTCTGATCAACCAGCTGCAAAGCATCTTGAACTTTATGTCATTAGTGAGCGTGTCATCGCAGAGCTTCTCAGATCTACAAAACGACTATGGTAATGAAGGAAACATGCTGAAGTGGCTTGCCGATTTCCAGAGATTAGTCGGTCAAGCCAACTACACCAGCGAGCAAGTCACAAGTCTCCTCGCCCTTCTCTCCGCATCCGTCATGACCGAGCAAGCCTTGCCTCCTTACCTGCAAATTCCCCAATTCGGTCTCTCGCAAAAGCTTTACGAACTCGATCATGTGGGTAGCTAATCCCCCTGTAAACTTTATATCCTCTTCGCTGACTTCACCCGCTATTCTAGGATATCCTCAGTCTCAGACATATCTCTGAGCCGGGCTATGCAAGTTTTGCTGTTGTGCAGATTGGAACAAAATACATTCACGAGGACTTGAAGTCTTTGATTGGGGGGATCAGAGAGCTTGTGGGAGGTGAGTTACCTTTCCTGGTGTTGCAATCAAGCGAGCTGACATTGCGGGCGTGTGTAGAACTCGATTTCTCGTATCATATCGTTTCGACGGCCGACGCTACACGTCATGTGTCGGAGGAGACGTTGATGCTCAAGAAAGGCCAAGGCGATGCAATCAAGCGAGACTAAGGTCGGTATCGTCGGTGATGTCCTGCACATGACGAATATGACACTTCCATGCAAGTCTACTCCCTCAATGGCTATGATCGACTTCCACAACAGGGAGAGGTCGGAGCATTCTTTTCGATCGCTATCCCACAACATCGATTCCGATGCTTTTTCTTCCAAGACTTGCTAGCATCCCTGCCTATTAGTGGAGACTAACTACTGCTGTATTACTTCGGCGTAGCATTGCCAATGCTCGAATTCTTGGCATTGATTGATAGAGCAAATTTGTGAGCGGCTCCTAACGAACTAATTCCAACTAACCATTCAAGCGTCTGCACGTTGCATCGCGATTGTGGATCACTTCCCATATAGTATAAAGCACAAAAAGTTTGTAATGTCCTTCGTTAAGGAAGATCTCCCTCTCTCTCTCTCTCTCTCTCTCTCTCTCTCTCTTTCCCCCTCCTTCTCTAATAGATACGTACGTTGAAGAAAGAAACAAATCGCAGGCGAGACACGATGGTCAACATTACATACGTGGATTTGCTAGCTTTAGCATCCAGCATTCCTCTCGCTCAACAAATCAATTCGATCGCTACTACCAACACATCTTCTCCCGAACAAATCACCTTTGTAGCCTACGACCAGAGTTTTGTGACGGATATTGTAGGAAACAATGCCACGGAGGAGTTGGTGACGACTTTAGATTGSGATGCATTTCACGAGGCAGTTAGTTTCCTCAACTCCCTCAAGAAGAATTCGCCGATGCTAATTGAGAATCTCCTTCTCCCAGGGAGCCTACAACCTCGCCACCAACAAAATCTACCTAACCAGCAATCGCGGCTCGGACATTTCCAACCCCATCAACATCACCACCATCGACCTCGGCAACAACAACACCATCCAGACCCAAAGTTATACAAAAGTCGTCCAAGGAAACGGTGGTCGAGCATACTATCCTCCGGGTTCAGATCCCACCAGCAGCGCAGGCCAGCAACTCATCTTCTGCGACCAAGGGGATAAAAATGGCCACCCTCCCCAATTAACAGCCGTTAATCCCGTGACTAACGCCACCAAAGTCTTGCTGAATAGTTTCCATGGCAAGGAATTCTCCAGTATTAACGATGTGGTACAGCATCATACAGGTGATTTGTGGTTTACGGACGCGAGGTATTCTTTTTGGCAAGGTTATGGTTTAGAACCGCAACTTCGTCCACAGGTAAAAACAAGCAAAGCAATCCCCTCCCCTCCCAAATGTATAAAGTTGCTAACTACACATCCACAAGGTTTACCGCTTCTCCCCCTCAACCGGATCCCTCCAAGCAGTAGCCGACGACTTCATAGCCCCAAACGGCATAGAATTCTCCCCGGACTTCAAAACCCTCTACGTAACGGACACAGGCGCCCTCACGAACCTCACAGACCTCACACAACCCGCTTCCATCTACAGCTACGACCTGACCCCCGATGGCAAAGGTCTGCAGAACCGTCGCTTGTTCGCTTACAGCGCCAACGGGATACCTGATGGCCTGCATACGGACGCTGTAGGGAATGTGTACGCTGGCTGTGGAGATGGCGTGCATGTGTGGAGTCCCGCGGGGGAGATTTTGGGCAAGATTGTTGTTCCTGGATCCAGGGGTGTGGCGAATTTCGCGTTTGTACCCGGGGGAATGTTTATTTTCAATGAGGAAAGGTTGTGGAAGGTTGGGATCAAGGCTGAGGGGAGGGAGGTCAGGAGGGATTTTGGGTTAGGAGCGGGAATGTAGTGTTGTAGTAGTACAGAGTTGGAATCGTGGATTGACTACTGGCCAGAGAAAGGAGAGTAAATGAGCTGTTTCCTCGTAAGTCTATCTCTCCGGACAATTAATCCCACACGTCTGAAGACTGACGTTCTGTAGACAAGCTTTTGTTTAGCTAGTACGCATGCGCTGGTCCCAGTGGACATGTTCTAAGAGTTATTCATGAATGGCTTCCAAGGGTAGCTTGTCCCGTTTGATACTTACGGGTTGTGAGAATGGTCAACCTCCTTCACCTTTCAGTGGCGTCGACGTAGGAATCACCCTTCTATATACGGCATCGAGAAAACATTGACGGGTTAAGGCGATTGGCACAGCGATGTGGAAAGCACATAACAGAGGAGGAGTGTATACGGCGATTCATGTACCAGGAAACGGTTTGACCAAAGCCAATACCGCTGTGAATGCTAGAACATGTCAGGCGAAAGCTGGATTTTGCAGAGAAGGGTATTCTTAAGAGCTGTGTCTGAAGCACACTGTGATCTTTATGTTCAACATGCCTATCCCCCTATCCCCATCCTCCCATCCTCATCTCCATCCTCATCACAATCATCATCGCCCTCTCTCCAAAACCCTCAACATCCTCTCAATCTCCACCACAGCACCCCCACTAGCCTTCCCCCTCAATTCCTCCAACATCCCGCGATCCTTATTCTTCAACGCCTCCTCCCCAGCCTTGGCCACCATTCCACATTTCACCCACATCTCAATCCTCTCAGCCGGAGTCTGCGTGGTGCATTTGGGGATGAAAACAGCCGCGACTTTGGGGTTTCCCGCGCCGAGAATCTCATTAAAGAAGGGCTAGTCACATCAAGTCAGTAAACAGGACAGGCATCATGAGACGGAAGATACTCACCTCCCATCCAATAGGACTCTTTCTCGTCTTAGAAATCTCCTCCAACTCCCTCCAATCTCTCCTCCTAACCAACGATCGCAACCGAATCCACCAATACGTCTTGTCGGTAACTTTAAACTCACTCTGCACCTTCAAGGAACGCTTGAAATTGCCCATTTGAATCAGCTTGCTCAACGTCTCATTCACCGACAGCCCAATGAAGCGCTCGCCCACATCCTTTTCAAACGCTTGTTGGAAGTGTAGCAATTTCTGCGCGTCTTCCATGGCCGTGACTTGCAAGGTGTACTCTTTACTGTCTCGCAGCAACTTGGCGGCCATTTTCAACTTGTCCGTCGCGGGACCAATGTCGCTGGCAACAAGTGCTTCGGACATGAGCAGATTGGCACCATCCAGCCTTCGATCATCTTGATAATAGAGATCTTTGAGCAATTCTTGATCTTGATCGACGGCCGAGGATTCCACAATCGCGGTGGCAACGGGCCGGCTGTTGATGGTTCGGAAGAAGCTGGACRGGGGAATCTTTTTCTTCAAGTTCAATAGCACGTAAAACACGAGGTCGGTGTCGCCACTCTCAATCGCCTTGTCCAATGCGATGGATTCCTCCCCGATACTCAACAGTAAAGGAACTTGTTTGCCAGCTCTTGGCTCATGTTCCAACAGTTCCGTGGCGAGTTCTCCCCTGCCGTCATCATATGCCGCTTGGGCTACCTCTTCAAAAGAGATGCCTCGCTTGCCCTTGAGTTTGCGAACAATCTCCTCACAGATACTACCCTGGTCGGAGTTGGAGCTGCGCACCTTCTGGCGGGCCCAGTGGACGTAGATTCGATCCACGGGGAGGTGGAGATATTCCGAAATCTTGAGGGCGAGGAGATAGTGCTGTCGATTGACCAGACGTTGAATGAGTCGTTCGGGGGTCAATCGGATATATTGCTCGTAGGATAGTGGGAGGCCAATGTCGTAGAATCGCACGGCATTCAACACTCTCAGCGTCTCGGTCATGTCGACGAAATCATCGCTGTTGTAGAGGTCGAGCACCGACTTTCCAAACGACGCCGATTTCAGGAGCTGTTTCTGCCAGTGAATGCTGTATTCCTGCCMGGCCGCACGTACACAGGCATCGACCGCCTCGTCAAGATTTGACCTGATCATCTGGATGTTGTCGTCTGCTTTGGGAGACTTTTTCTCCAGGTGATCCAGCGCGTCGAGGAGGATGGCCGCGGGCGCATCAGATCCCAGTCGAAAGGCGTCTTCGGTTGGTGCTGGTACTTTTTGGAGAAACTCACACTTGTCGTTGGTCAAAATGCGGACGCCATCAATGTCAGGTAGGAGGAAGACGAAAGAGTCGTAGTCTTGAAAGGTCTCGGAGGCGCCATTTGGACCGAGGAGATGTATCTCGTCCTCCCACGCCAACACCACAGCATTGTTCCCACACCACTGCAAGTCCTTTGGAGGTGTCCTGGCTTTGGATTCATACTCGCTCAATCTGTTTTGAAAGTCGCTACTAATGACCCACACCTTGCCATCTTCAGTATACAAGGCGATGAACTTGCCGTTTGGGGAGACGCTGACGTGCTTGAATGGACCGGCTTGGAGGCCACGATCTTCACACTCGAGCGCGTCAATCACGTAGACCGTCTGGCCAATAGCGAGCAGGACTTCGACGGAGCGGGATGATGTGTGCTCGGGAGGGACCACAGTCCAGGAGGTGACGATACCGGGAGGGGCGGATGCCAGCAGCTGTGGACGGGGGTCATCATAGCGGTTGACAGCAACAAGACGGTTGTCCCCGAGCAGTGCGACGAATCCACCGGGCCAAAAGCGACAATCCTGCACTCCATGCTCCTCCGCGCCGTGTCCGAGGGAGAAGTGGGTGAAGTCGGCTTGCAAGTCGGAATACATGCGCACCATTCCATCGTCGGTGACGACCAACAATCTCTCATCCTCTGACCATCCCACCGACTTGATAGAACCCTTGTCCCAGGGGATCCGATGCATCAACTTCCCGGAGAAGGTGTAGATGTCAATGGTGGATTTGGTGGGATTGTGACCGCGGAAGGAGGAGATTCTGCTCTCATCTCGACGAAGGGCTGTCCCATATCAGCTCCAATCCCTCCACCACATGTTGAAGTGCTTACCTACCGCACCACTGTAGGGAGCGCCGGTGAGGGTATAGTGTTCCAGCTCGACGTCGACGTCAAAGACATCGGCATAGAGGGGGATGCGGCGGTAGAAGCAGTCGCCGACCCGCACCCAGTCCGCCGTTGGTTTCGACATGTCGTCTGAGGGGATCTTTTCATCGCGGGGACATGATTGTGGGGGCCGTGTACTGTCCGGAGGGTGGGATCGTGGATTGTGGTGAGTAAGGTATGGGTTGGTCGGTCTGGAGTTGGAGCTGGACCTGGAGCTGGCGGGGCTTGCGCCGGAAAGTCGCGCCTCATTTCCGTCGACATGATATTGACACTATATTGACATCAACATCACATAAATACGCTCTTCCACAGACCAGCTTGAATGCCCGTCTAATTTGTCGGTCTTACTGTCAAAGTGAACACCGCTCCCAAAAACGGCCTCACCATGGATTCCTCAACATTGGAYAAGATCTCGGAGCTGGGAGATTTAGATCTGGCTCTCCTCGTGTCTCGCGTCGCCGAACAACACTGCATCTTCTCGGCGGCGGTGGAAAGCATCAAGAATCTCCAAGAAGAGCTCCGTCTATCCTGCATCGACACCTTCGGAATCCAACCGGCGGTGGTGGAATGCTCCCCCCAAACGACCGTCGACGAATTCAACTCAAGCCTCCTCGTGCCATTCAACAATGGCAGCAAAGAAGCAGCCGATCGCCATCATCTCCTCAACCTTCCCACCTTTGAAGTCGACTATTCCCCCTCACGAGATCACAGTCCGCGTCGCTTCGGCAGCATCGCCAACGGTATAGAAGACCTCTGCATTGCGGAAATCATCATCGCCACGCGTTTGGACACGGCGGACGAATGTGTACAAGTCCAAGCCTTGGAACTCCTCACCTCTCGCCGCATCTTCACCCGCTCCTCCATGCACGTCGCGCCGAAAAATCTCCTCTTCATTGCAATCTCTTCCTCCTCCGCCCCTCAAGCAAAACTCTCCCGACATTTAAACGACGTCTTTTGCATGTCGCACTTTCACGCTGCTGAAGATGCTCTTCCACATACAGAGGAGAACAACAGGCGAGAAAAGTGGTTTCCTCCCACCTTTGATGCGGAAGAAATTCAATATCTTCAAGATCTCACCAAAACAGTCCACATGACGGCCGAAATTGCTCAGTATCTCCACAACGTCGTGGTATTTCTACGAAATAGCCGCTTCGTGCAAGCCGGCGTGACAGCAACCGCCACACGACAACTGCGTAGTTTGAGTCTGGCTCTCGCTCCTTTACATGGATTGACATATGTGCCTCCGTCGATTGTCGCCTTGGCTGCTCGGAAGATTTATCGACATCGTTTGGTCTTGGCGACGCCAAAGACGGAGAGGAGTTTGTTGTGGGGAAGTCATCCCGAAGCTGTTAGATTGTTGCTCGAGGGCGTTACTGTCGAGGATGTTATTGAGGATGTGCTTGCTGGTTTGGAGACGCCGTTGTGAATTCATGGAATTGATGGAATTTGACTGGAATTGATTGGAAGTGACTGGCATGGAATGAAGCACCCGCTGGTAGAGCCTTCACATTGAAGGACTCGGCTGCTTTCACCATTGGGTACGCCATTCACTGCATCAAGTGACCAGGCTGGAAATCACGTTACAGTCATGTTCGTTGGATTGCAAGTAACATCCCAACCTCCAATTCTCGTCAAATCCCCTCGTACATCCTATCCCATCATCCTGATTCTGCTCCGAAGCCGAGATGCACTGTACTGTAGAGTAAGCAGTAGACATGCACAACTCCACGGCATTGCAAATCTCCCGAGTACTTTGTCATGGCCGCTTGTATACATGCATCTTCTGCACCAACAATAATGATGAAGATTCGTAATCCATCCGGTCAGTATCCGATTAGTAAGTACCTTGCCGATCAACGGCAATACCATTCAACCCCACCAACCAACCGCCCAAACAAAATGGCAAGTTTGGAGAAGTACATCATCAACCGAGGTGACCCTGCAGAAGAGCTCTCCAGCTACCCAGCTACCACCTGCTGCCGGAGCTCCATGCATCATCATAGCACAAATGCATTGGAGCTCCACATGCATCCATAAGAAATCAACAAATCCTCTGCATCGTCTTACTTCTCTCCAACAACAACAACAATCACAACAACAATAACAGCAACTTTCCTCTCCTACTCAAACATGGCAGACTACAGCAAACCCCCATCGTCCGTGAAGATCCCCATCAAGCCCTTCAAAGCCCATGTAAGTAATGACAATATCCCCTTCCCATCCACCGCATTGCTGACCTCCTTCGCTTTCGCAGGGTACGTTCCAACGATGAGAAACGAGAACCACAAACAACCAACTAACCCCCTACCCTTCCCTCCCACACAGTCGACGAGCAAAAAATCAAAGACTTCCAAACCCTCCTCTCCCTCTCCCCAATCGCCCCACCCAACTACGAAAACTCGGACAAATCCGTCGACCGCCGCTACGGAGTCTCCCACGCCTGGATCACCCACGCCAAATCCCACTGGCAGCACAACTTCAACTGGAGAGCACATGAAGACCATATCAACTCCTTTCCCAACTTCACCGCCCAAGTCCAAGATGACGAGTCTCATGATTTCGAAATCCACTTCGTCGCCCTCTTCTCCCAGAAAGCAGATGCCATTCCTCTAGTCTTCTACCACGGCTGGCCCGGTTCATTTCTCGAATTCCTCCCCATTTGCAAGCTTTTGACGCAGAAATACACGCCACAGACTCTGCCCTACCACATCATAGTCCCCAGTATCCCAGGCTACGCCTACTCCTCCTCACCCCCTCTAAATTTCGACTTTAGTCTCGAAAACGCCTCCGAAGCCCTCAACAACCTCATGATCGGCTTGGGATTCGACAAACTCGGAGGATACATCGCTCAAGGAGGCGATCTCGGTTCAATGATCAGTCGCTACCAAGCGGCGAATTGCGAGGCGTGTAGAGGGATGCATTTGAACTTCTCCCCCATTTCCAGACCTGCGAATGCCGAGGAGTTGGCCATGGGGGAGGTGGAGCGGGAGGCGATCTCGAGGGGTTTGGCGTTTCGAGAAATGGGGAGTGCGTATGCGCATGAGCATGGGACAAGGACGGCGACGATTGGGATGTGTTTGAGTGCTAGTCCGCTTGCGTTGCTTGCGTGGATTGGGGAGAAGTTTTTGGAGTGGAGGTGAGTTGTTTAATGAAGATGAGAGAGGCGGGACTTGGGATCTTTTTCCTTGCTGGTGGGTTTTGAATGTTCATGCTGATACGTGCTTGCAGTGATGAGGATCCTCCCCTGGATGAAATTCTCGAATCCATTACACTCTACTGGATGACGGATACTTTTGCGCGCTGCATCTACCCTTACCGAGGAGTACGTGCTTCGAAACCCGCCAAAAGACCATACGCTGATTGTTCTCATCTTCTAGCTCTCTGGTGATGAAGAACGGCCTCGGATCGCAAAAGTCAATGGGGTATGTTTTGTTGTGGATTTTGCACTCCAACTCTCATCATCATAATCATCTTCATCATCTCGGACCCAATTGACTGACCTCTGATATACAGCGTGGTCGTGCGAGACCCTATGTCGAGAAACCTTCGGGATACTCCTTTTTTCCAAAAGAATTGGTTCCCATGCCAGTGAGCTGGGTCGCTAGTACGTTTACACCCCCTTCTCACTTCCTCTCAACCAAACCAAATCAAATCCCCCTGACCAATTTGATTGATTGATCGATTGAACCCGACGTTGACTAACGAATTTGTCATATAGCGAGTTGTAATCTCATCTCTTCTGCTATTCATTCCAGTGGTGGACATTTCGCTGTAAGTCCTGCTTTTCCTCCTCCTCCTCCTCCTCCTCCTCCTCCTCCTCCTCCTCCTCCTTCTACTTCTGTTACCTTATCCGGGGCAATGCATGGCTGATGTGTGATTCTTATCTTGTAGGCCATGGAGAAACCCAAGGAATTGTTGGGAGATGTAGAGGAGTTTGTTAGGAAAGCTTGTAAAGTTTCTGCCGGGGGGAAATTGTGATGTGATGTGATGTGATGTCAGGGAGGTTTTGGAGTGTTTTTTCTTGGTGGATGATAGACTATGCTATGCTATGCTATGCTATGCTATGCTATGTCGTTCATTTAAAAGGAAAGCTCGGCGGGGTTCTTTTGGGGTGAATGAAGGGATGGGTAGGGTGTGTTGAATAGGGTTTCGAAATTGAAATGAATTTTTACGGCTGCTGGATTTTTGTTTCGATGATGATGATGATGATGATGATGATTATGAACACAGAATGTGATGCTTTCTAGAAAAAGGAAAAGAAAGAACCTCCCCCTACCGCAATGACAAAAAGTCTCTACTCACCGTCCCCGACTGACTGACTACGCTTTTCCCCTCAATCCGCTCCTAATCAGGTCTCTGCCATAGATCGCCTCTCACAAGAAGCTTCGGTTCGGTAATGCTCAACTTCCCACATTCTCATACTCCATCATCACCTCCCCATTCTCCATACTCCTAACATCCCCATCCTCATCCCCTTCTCCCCTCCCCTGAATCCCTATAGAAAGTCCTTCCTCCCTCCCCAACGTCCCCGCAAGATATCCCTCCAAAGTCCACTCGGCCACACACCTCCCCCCCTCCCGCTCCTCACATGCCTGAAAATTTCCTTCTTCAGCGGAGGTAGATTTCCAAGCATGCACCGAGATGACTATCCGTTGTGGACGCCAAAAGTCCCTGGAATGTCGCCGTCTTTCGCGTGGTTGAGGGACCATGATTTCGATTTCGACTGGGACTTTTCTGCGTTTGGGTGGTGGCATTGAGGGAGTGTGTGCTGTCGTGGTGCCGGTGTTGGTGTCGGCGCGGTAGTGGGTGTGGATGAGTTGGCGGGCGTGTTTTCCTTGGCCGAAGAGGAGCATGCCTTGGATGGGAGGAGAGGGAGCGGCGGGGGAGGAGGGGAGGAGGGATGGGAGATGGGATTTTGAGAGGGAGGGAGTATGATGAATGTGATGGTTGTGGAGGAGTGCAGGGGTCATGCGGTTGAGGATGTCTTCTGGGGAGCCCTGGGTGGGGAGTCATTAGTATTGTCTTTTTCCTCTCGTTTGTCTCTCTTTCTGTTTCTTGATCTTTTTGGGAGGGTCGGAGATTCTATGGGGGAAGATGAATGTAAGTACCTTGCCGATGAGATTGGCTAGGGAGCCCGGGAGCATTAGGATGTCGTGGAGGAATACTGGGGTGTATTTGTTGAGATCGTACTTTCCTCCTTGTTGGAGGTCGCGGGCTTTGATACGGTTGAGGAGGGCGCGCTGGTAGGCGAATGTTACTAGGCCTTTGGATAGTTGAGGGATGGGGATAGGAATGGCGGGAGATTGCTTGATTTCTGATGGGATGATGTTGGAGGATGATTCGTGCTGTGTGGAAGGTACGGATTCTTCGTGGGTGAGATGGGGAAAGATGAGGTCTAGGCTTTCTCGCGCATCTGAGGTGTTGTCCTGGCCGTATTGTGCGATTGTCTCAGGGTCCGACATGTGTTGGGGAGATTCGGAGTCGGACATTTTGGAGGTTTGTTAGTTGACGATTTGGACACACAACTTGCTGCGGTTCTTGATGGGATCAGGCGGATATCCAATGAGCAGTTCACCTGGATCTGGAGTGTCAGTTCAAGCTGCACTCTTAAGCTGAGAGGTAATGAATGCCAGTGTGAAAGATGTCGTGTCGGTGTCAAAAGCTCATGACAGAGTGAGAGATGGCGTGGTGTTGGGATGATCACTTGAAGAGGGAAAGATGATGCCTGAACTCGTCTCGTGCAATGAGATGGCCTGGTCATCAGGCTTACTGATCTTCTGATTTTGCAGCATCCATATATCCTCACCCATTGAGGGCAAGAAATGATGGTATAATTGTTACAAACGAAGTCGACCTACAGCTTTGTGCATCTTCTGCATTGTCCTGGGGGCATCTATTCCTGAGGGCATCTATCTCGTCCAGGAAGTGGAAGCAGGTACCTCCAAGGCTCCTATACCGTTCGAGCATGCAAAGTACCACATGCAATGCACACCTCATGTATACTCATCCTTTGACCACCCACACATCGACGTAGAATCCTTTTGGTGGATATCACGGCTCAAATTGGTGCCACGGAGATTATTGGCCACCAATCCATCCCCTACAATGAGGCTCAATTCTTGTAAGATGCACAGTGTGCGCGGTCAAGGCTTTTCCATCCACCGCGACGTTACAGCGGACAGATGGCGRGCTGGCGGTGTATCCCTGTGGCGTAGATGAGAGCGCATTGATGGACCCGAGAACATTTTTTCGGACATTTGCTGCTGCCAGAAGCGGCGCCAGTGTCACCAGATGGCGTACAAGCTACACATGAAGATGCTGCTGTCAATGCGCGGGAGATTGGTGAGTGAATGGCTTCCTAACCTGGCAGCATCCATCACATTCCACGCCCTTCTGTCGTGGCTTGCTTATTCATTATTTGCCAGATGTGAATACCTCAGGCACATGCATTTGCTTGCTACAAGTGGCCAGTCGTCATCAAAGATTAGGGTTTCAGAAGCTCCGTCAACACCGAGCTGCCTCCACCACTTCAAGTACCTCTCCATCCAACCTACAACCACACCACCTCTACTTCATCACCACAACAATCTGCTCCATCACCTTTTTCCCCTCCAACACCTCCGCCAACATCCTCATCGCCCATCGGCACACACCAGCCGCAATCCTCACCGACATCGCCGCCGCCGCGCAGCTGTTGCCTTCTCAACACCAAACACAGCAAACGCGCGAACATGTCTGCACAGCCGGATCATGCCGCCTCCAAGCCCAAGGCAAAGCTGAATGACCCCAGCGGCGCCGAGAAGCGGGAGGAGAATGATGTCGCCACCGCCATTCTCAAGAAGAAGAAGAAGCCCAACAGCTTGATTGTCACAGACGCCACCACCGATGATAACTCAATTCTCGCCCTCAGTAACAACACCATGGAGCAGCTACAGCTGTTCCGTGGTGACACCGTCCTCGTCAAGGGCAAGAAGAGAAAGGACACCGTGCTGATCGTGCTCGCGGATGACKATCTCGACGATGGCTCCGCGCGCATGAACCGTGTGGTCCGCCACAACCTCCGCGTCAAGCTGGGCGATGTGGTCACCGTCAACCCATGCCCCGACATCAAGTACGCCAAGCGCATCGCCGTCCTCCCCATGGCCGACACCATCGAGGGCCTCACCGGCTCGCTCTTCGACGTCTTCCTCGCGCCATACTTCCGCGAGGCCTACCGCCCACTCCGCCAGGGCGACCTCTTCACATGCCGCGCCGCGATGCGAACCGTCGAGTTCAAGGTGGTCGAGGTGGACGCTCCAGAGTATGGAATCGTTGCACAAGACACCGTGATCCACTGCGAAGGCGACCCAATTCAGCGCGAGGACGAGGAGGGCAACCTCAACGAGGTCGGATACGACGACATTGGTGGCTGCCGCARGCAAATGGCCCAGGTCCGCGAGTTGGTCGAGCTTCCGCTGAGACATCCTCAGCTCTTCAAGTCCATCGGTATCAAGCCGCCGCGCGGAATTCTCATGTACGGTCCGCCCGGTACTGGTAAGACGCTCATGGCCCGCGCCGTCGCCAACGAGACGGGTGCCTTTTTCTTCCTCATCAACGGACCCGAAATCATGTCCAAGATGGCCGGTGAGTCGGAGAGCAATCTGCGCAAGGCCTTTGAGGAGGCCGAGAAGAACAGCCCGGCCATCATCTTCATTGACGAGATCGACTCGATCGCGCCCAAGCGTGACAAGACTAACGGTGAAGTCGAGCGCCGCGTCGTCTCGCAACTTCTCACTCTCATGGACGGCATGAAGGCCCGCGCCAACGTCGTGGTCATGGCCGCCACCAACCGCCCCAACTCGATCGATCCCGCTCTTCGTCGTTTCGGCCGCTTCGATCGTGAAGTCGATATCGGCATCCCCGACCCCACCGGCCGTCTGGAGATTCTCCAGATTCACACCAAGAACATGAAGCTGGGYGATGATGTCGATCTCGAGCAAATCGCCGCTGAGACGCACGGATACGTCGGTTCGGATATCGCTTCCCTCTGCTCCGAAGCCGCCATGCAGCAGATTCGCGAGAAGATGGACCTGATCGACCTCGACGAGGACACCATCGACGCGGAAGTCCTCGACAGCTTGGGTGTGACCCAAGAAAACTTCAGCTTCGCTCTGGGCATCAGCAACCCATCTGCTCTTCGCGAGGTTGCCGTGGTGGAGGTGCCCAACGTCCGCTGGGAGGATATCGGTGGTTTGGAAGATGTCAAGCGCGAGCTCATCGAGAGCGTGCAATACCCCGTCGACCACCCCGAGAAGTTCCTCAAGTTTGGTCTCAGCCCATCCCGTGGTGTCCTCTTCTACGGACCACCAGGTACCGGTAAGACTCTTCTCGCCAAGGCCGTCGCCAACGAGTGCGCGGCCAACTTCATCTCGGTCAAGGGACCCGAGCTTCTCAGCATGTGGTTTGGTGAGTCGGAAAGCAACATCCGTGACATTTTCGACAAGGCTCGTGCCGCTGCTCCCTGTGTCGTCTTCCTCGATGAGTTGGACTCCATCGCCAAGTCGCGTGGTGGCTCCAACGGTGATGCCGGTGGTGCATCGGACCGTGTGGTCAACCAGCTCCTTACCGAAATGGACGGCATGACCAGCAAGAAGAATGTCTTTGTCATCGGCGCCACCAACCGTCCAGAGCAGCTCGACAACGCCCTCTGCCGTCCCGGTCGTCTCGACACCCTCGTCTACGTTCCCCTCCCCGACCAGGCCGGACGTGAGAGCATTCTCAAGGCTCAGCTCCGCAAGACCCCGGTCGCACCCGATGTCGATATCGCCTTCATCGCCAGCAAGACCCACGGCTTCTCCGGTGCCGACTTGGGCTTCATCACGCAGCGCGCCGTCAAGCTCGCCATCAAGGAGAGCATCGGCATTGCCGTTGAGAAGGAGAAGGCTCGTGAGGCTGCCGCCGGCGATGGCGATGACAAGATGGATGAGGATGTTGATGAGGAGGACCCTGTGCCCGAGCTCACCAAGCGTCACTTTGAGGAGGCCATGGCCATGGCTCGTCGTTCCGTCACCGACACGGAGATTCGGCGGTACGAGGCTTTCGCTCAGAGCATGAAGAACACTGGAGGTGGCAGCGCCTTCTTCCGTTTCCCTGAGGGCACCGATGGTGGTGCGGCCGAGCAGCAGAATGGTATGTTGTGTGATTTTCCATCTCAACCCGCATACAACGACTAACCTCATCACAGGTGGCGAGGAGGACCTTTACGATTAGGTCTTGATCTGACGCATTTAATGGGATGATTCTGGGCGACGTATTACCGTGGGGGCGTCAAATGTCACACTAGGCTTTGCGGTGCTATTGAGCGCTGTGAGGCTTCAATGATGAAGGTTGCTTGCATGCAAGGCGTTTCTTACGTTTCAAAATGATAGAGTGTGCTATAGCTCGCGCCTCATGGATGGATGCTGTTGAAAATGTCACCCTCTCACGTGTGCTTGAATCAATGATGTTGAATGTGCTGAAGATGTTGATTGAATATGCCGACATGGGGGCCTGCGAATCCAAGCCCGTTTCAGCATTCGCGTCAGTCGGCTTGATATCGTATCTTGAGATCGAAAGAGCTGTTTCCTTCTCCACCTACCTACCATTTGCTTGTCAAGACACATTATTGTGTCCCGGTCTTGTCTTGTCTTGTCTGGAATTGAAAGTGGCGTTCCCCGCGAGCTTCATTCCAGGTTCCAATCGGCAATTCCAGGTTGCTTTTCCTGGCCTGGCATTGCGGCTTCATCACTTCCTTGACTCCCGAGCTCACTCACTCACCGCTATTGTCTATCCATCAATTTCTCTTCGCCCGACAACGAGGAGACGTGAAGGGAGGAGGATTGATTGATTGAGGGAGACGAGAGCACCTCCTACCTCCTACGGTACCTTACCTCCCACCTTACCTCCTACCTCCTACCTCCGACCTCCGACCTCCGTAGAACCACTCCATATTCGAAGATCGCGCGCAATAAACTTTCAATGATGCTTCCCGAACCCAATGGACGCGGACCTCGTCTCCAGCGTCCTTCATTTAATAATCATGAGCGTAGCGTACATATCCCCTCCAAACCCCTTCCTATTCACCACCGACCAGCTAACATCTCTTCCAGGGTACGTATCAATGAGATGAGATGCATTTCCGACACGACGGGACCGATTGATTGATTATATTAATTGATTAATTGCAGCCACCTACCCAAGCTACAACACCACTCGCAAGAAACCACGAAGATGGCCATTGGTACTGCGTTTCATCAAGGGTGCTATCCATGCCAATATCGCCATTGCGGTCGTTTTGCATGCGGTTTTTGCGGCGAGTATTTGTTATTTGGATGCGTGCTTTGAGGGGCATTTGGGCATGCCGTCTTCGGTTGTGCCGAGTCTTTCTATTGTTGTGGGGTTGATGTTGGTATGTAAATATCCTTGCTTGCTTGCTTGCTGATGTGCTTGTGAGTGGGATTGAGATTGGAATTGGGATTGACCTTTTTGGTGTAGGTGTTTCGAAATAGTACGAGTTATGATCGTTTCTGGCAGGGAAATCAGCTGTAAGTGTCTTTCCAACTTGGAATTGGAAAAATTACATGACTGATTTGATGGTCGGATGGAAAGATTCACAACCGTATCCACCAACATCCGAAACCTCACCCGAAGCTGCCTCGCATGTTCCTACTCCAGCAAAGGTCCCCCACCAACCGCAAGCGAAAGAGCAGACACCGACCGAGCAGTCCGCATCCTCCTCGCCCTCATCTACGCGACGAAAAACCACCTCCGAGCAGAATGGGGTGGCCACATGCCCCCTCTCCTCCTCCCCCGCTCAGAAGCCGAGCGCGTCCGACGAGAAAGCGTCTCGGTCCACAAACCCGAATACGACGAACTCCTCCCACCCGGAACCCGTGGACATGAGGAAAGTGGCCTGGGATTGGTCCTGCAACTCTCCATTCAGATCGAAGCTTATATCAAGCGCGCGCATGATCGGGGCTGGTTGCATAGTCCGCAGGCTTCCCAAATGCAGGTGCAGTTGAATTCTCTGATCGCTGCGTATGGGACCATGGAGACGATTCATTTGACTCCGCTGCCGGTTGCTTATTTGATTCATATGCGCCAGGTTCTGGCGCTGTTTTGTTGCGTGTTGCCGTTTGCTTGGGTKACGGAGATGGGTTGGTGGTCGGTTTTGATGGTTACTTTTGTTTCGTTTACGTTGTATGGGATTGAGGCGGTGAGTTTTTTCCTGACGATCCTTTCTTGAAGATATGAGATAAGAAAACGTTCTTGTGTTTGTCTGGGCTGTGATGTGATTTGATTATGTGCGATTGCTGATTTTTTCTCTCGGGGAATGTAGATTGGAAAGCAACTCGAAGATCCTTTTGGCTACGATCGAGCGGATATCAAAGTCGATGCGATTGTGGAGGATTTGCGGGTGGAGACGACGGTGCTGTTGGATAATTGGAGGAGAAATGGAGATATTTTCCCCGAGCACTTGGCGATTTAGAGGGTGGGGGGATAGATGTTGATTTGGAGGGTGGGGAGATGTCAATCTCGAGGAAGAAGGGCAAGAAAGGTGGCTTTCAGGGGAGAGGGAAGGGAATGGGAATAGAATGCTAGACCGAACACAATGTCCTCCCTGTTCTTTTGGTGTGAGGACCTACCTACCTACCTACAGGCATCCATCCATTCCTTCGGCAAGACAAAAAAAGGCCTTTGAATCATGTGAAGCATTATTGAATCTGCTTCTGGTTTCGTTGTCGTCACACGCCCGTCCCCTGTTCGAAAGGTGCGTGTCTGGTACGGGATTTCCTGGAAAGGTAAGTAGATATTGTAAAGTCAAATGAGTGGTTTCTTGCTTTTGAGGACGAGCTTTTGCTTTTGCTGGCTATGCAGATCAAAGTGACGAATTTTATCGAGAGTCCAAATATGCCCTCGAGCATGCAGTATCACTTGCTTCAAGTGTCAAATCTGAATCTTGCAGATAAAAGGCGACAATCTTCTCCGCCTCTATACGGCCTTCTTCTTCTTGTTCCCACGCATAACCTTCCGCCTCTGCGCCATCATATGCGTGAACAAAACATACGATCCTACCACCCCAAAAATGATTAGCACTTCATCCCAACTCCCAAGTTAGAGAGCAACCCATCCAGCCACTAGAAAAAAAAAGAAAAGAACTCACCCGGAATATAAACAAACAGCACCAACTTCAACACATACTCAAACGCCAAATTCCAACTCCTCGCCGGCATCAACGCCTTCCACACCAACCAACACTCACTACTGATCCCCAACGGATACAGCACAAAAAAAGTATTATACCTCAACCACATCAACACCTTGGGAACACTTCCATACCCCAGATTGACTGCGAAGAATGTATATCGAATCACCTCCGTGACGCTCCACGCGACCAACATGGTCGAGTACGCGGGACTGCCGTGGCCTGTGGTGTGGGGGAATTGCTGCACGATGCCCCAGACGAGGAGATAGCGGGAGGCGACTTGCATGAGAGTCGTGAGGAGGGGTGCGCGGACGAGACCTATTGAATGGGAAAGAAGAGAGATGTTTAGCTGAAGATGTAATCAAAAAGAAGGAGAAGAAGAAAGAAAAAAGTTGAAGAGGGGATGTTTTCTTGGAAGAATGGCTTTACTTACCTGTTGCGGCGTGAAGAACTTCCAATCCAGCGAGCGTTTGTGTCCATTTAGTGAAATTTCCCGCTCCGGTATAGACGCTTGCGTAGCCGTGAATGGAGGCGATTAATAGCACGCGACCGAGCACCACCGACCAGAGGAGGGCGGAGATGGAGTTGTAGAGGATGAGGTAGGTTGTTTTGGCGGGTGAGGTTCTTTGCTTGGGAGACTGGGCCGACGCCTTGGTAGGCTGCTGTGTATCTGCTGGCGAGTCCATCTTGGAGGGTGTTGGAAAGCTCAATGCTGCACCGAACTGTTGGTGAAGCTGGAGCTGTTGAAGTCGGAGCTGGGATATTGCCCTGCAGCAGCGGAACCGGCCCGCCCCGCCCGATAGCTGTGGCCCTGGCCTGGCGCTGGCGCTGTTTGGGATTTGACGTCAGTGTTGGAGTGATTAAATTGTTGTCGTGAAACGATACCAGGTAGTTTCAATGAGTTTTCTTCATTTTTGCAGTCGAGCGCTTTGTCTGTCACCTCGCTGCTGCAATCGCTATGTAGCTTCGTGATTGTACAATACGCCAAAGAGCGTCCCGATCAACGCTCCTACGCTGCACTATCGAAAATAGAATCTTCCGTCACAAGCATATCATCATGCAAGTACAATCGATTTTGGCAATCGATTCTGTACAATCGAATACTGCCAATCTTTTCCACTCCTCATGCACGACCTTCATCCTGTACGATGCCGTCTTGAGTGTGTAGCACTCGACGAGCTTCATGGTGAAGTTTTTGAAGAGAAGCTCTCCTGATGGAACAGTCCGTCTGTACAATCCTGCACAATCCACTCTGTACAAACGATAGACGATGCTCATCATACTACTAGCCATCCACGTAGACTCGTAGCATTGACGTCTTGGCCGTCACCGCTTTCTCGCAACCAATCACTTGGCACTTCTTCATGGGTAGAGGCATACCATCTGCTGATGATTCCGCCTTCGCCTTGCCCTTGCCCTTGGGCTTGGGGGTTTTGATACCGCGGTCACGAGCACACTCTCCGCAATACGCCTGAGAATTGTCAGCAATCGACCCAAAACGCGCATTCGCATCGCATGTCAACAACTTACATGTCCACAGGCCTTGACGACCCAAACCTGCTGCTTGACGTCGTTGTCTCCCATACAAAGCTCATCTCCACAATTCGGACAAACGACTTCCTCATCCTCTCCAGGACTTCGCGTGAAGCCAGGCTCGGCATCTGGTGGTTCCTCATACTTTGGTGTTGGAGGTCGGAGAGCCTCACCAACCGCAAAGGCAGCAATGGTGTATTCGAGATTTACATTCAACCCGTGGGGAACTGCAAGGCGAACATTGTGGGCAGTGCCGGGCTGAGCGCCGCCTACGACAGCACCTCCAGCGACAGCACCTCCAAACCCAAAAATTCGTTCCATGAGAGCTGCTGGAGCTGCACCTGCCGCACCGAACATACGATCAACGACAGCCCTAGTGCCGGTGCCCGCCGTGGCCTCTGGCCTTCCAGTGTTGAGTTGTGGTGTAAAGCGAGGGCGAACATCGGTGAGGACGACTTCATCATCATCATCGTCACCTGTGAGGTCGATGGTGTGACTATCGCGCGCCGCAGCGCCTGTTTGTTGTGGTGCAGTCCTGTTTCGGGGTGCCGGTGGTTCCCACGGGGCTGGGAGTGTCCTCGGAGGTGGTGCCATGGGTGAATTTCTTGAGGCCGCGTTCACGGTGTTGTGATCTCGGTGGAGTGGGTAGTGTGGTGCTGGAAGATGATGATGTTGATTGTGATCTTGTCGGCGGGTGTGATGTGCGGAAGGTCCTCCTCGTGACGGCTCACGTTCCTGTTCCTCGCGCTCCTCGGCGTCACTTTCGATGTCGAAGATGTTGTGTGAATGAAAGTTTGGGACTCGTTGCTGTGCACGAGAAGGTCCCGGCTCCGGCGTCACTGCCGCCAAAGATGCCTCAGGCTCTGTCCGCGCACTCCTTGAACTGTCCTCCTCCAAAGTCAGGTCAATGACGGTGCTATTATTGCCCATCCCAGCTGATGCCGCTCTTGTTGATGTTGTTGACGATGTTGTGGTTGTGGGTCTCCGATAGTCTAGGCCGTCTCCTGCATATCGTGGCCGTCGTGCGGTGGGGGGAAGGGCGAGAGGCGTATGACGGTGTGCAGCGTGTGCGTTGTTGTAATGGTGGTCGTGTTGCGAGACAAAAAGAGAATCAGGCGAGCTGCTTCGCCGGGCTTCCGCCATTGTACTGAAAGTCCTCTACAAAGAGCATTTCATGTCAGCCTCAAGTGAAGGATGCTTTGGCACGGAGGTGAGCAACGTACCTTAACGCTCTGTCGTCGAAGGAATGGGCATGCACCAGTATCGGAACCGGATGCTGAACCTGAGCCTGCTCTACCACCATCCATGATCGTGCTGGTGGCAAGTCGGTGTTCGGTGTACTGGTTGTACGGTAGTGATTGCTCGCAGGTAATAAGCAAGGGTGATGCTCTCTCGTGGGTTGAGGGCGAGGGTGCTGGCGCGAGTGGCGCTTGCTCTGTTCGAGATCCCGGTACCAGCTCAAAGAAACGTAATGATTTTTAATTCTTACCAGCAACACGTATGCCAACGTGCAATGTTGTTTGTACAAAAAGCATGCATGCCGCTGATGAATGATGAACTCAAGTGACTTTTATTGGGGCAGGGCCGACCGCGCCATCTCAACTAAGGTAAGGTAATGATGWTGACTTCGGAGCGTGTACCCTTAAAGCCGAGCTACATGTACATCTCAGGTACTCCAGATTCATCACAAGACAATGCCCCGTGTCACAATCCTCTCCTCCCAGACCAAACGCCAATCTGTGCAGACCTTGTGTTGCTACTGTAAAGCTCATGCGCTAAGAACTTGAACCGAGCCTTCACCAGTAAGCACAACCAGACTCCTCGCCTTTGATCCCCACTGGACATCGGCAACATTGAGCGCCTTTCGTAGGGGCTCGCTCCATGACTTGCTGCTCTTCGAGTACTGGTTCACAGCAATTCCTCCTGGACCGCCGGCAACCAAAAACTGGCCCGTGTAATCCCAAGAAATCCCGGTGACCGTAGTACCAATATCAATCGTCTTCAATGCAGCCATTTTCCTGAGATCCCAGATCGTGAGGACATTCTGTCCCTGGTTCGCTGAAGCCAACCAAGTTCCATTTTCGGAGAATGTGAGGGCGATGATGGGGGTGGTAGCAGAGGGTGCAGGAAATGTGTGCGCGAGCTGAGATGTCTTGACATCGTACATTCYCACGGAGCCATCTGCGCCTCCGACAGCCAAAATGTGTCCATCCGGGTGGAAGGCGGTGGTGGTGAGTTCTGGGGGTGAGTTTGTTAGCTTTGGATGTGGTCCGGAATGGATCCTTACTTACCGACATCGCAGTACACCTGCGTGAGTACCTCCATAGTGCTAACGTCGTAGAGGATATAGCTCTTGTCGTAACCAACAGATACCACAATCTCGCCACTCGGATGAGTAGCGAYAGCCGTCGCAGCTCCGGCATGTTTCTCAAAATTCCCCTGAACGGCTCCCTCCTGTGATACCACCACCACTCCACTCGACGTCGAGACCACCTGCTTGTCATTCGCCCAAGCCCCGCCCAGAATCGCACCAGCYCCAAAGTTGACCCTCGTAGTGAATGCACCTTGTTTCGCATCAAACACACCCATGGTGCCATCCGAGTCGCCGCAAAGGAAGAAATTACCAGTCTGATCGGCGGCCAAGGTCTTTGCGCCGGTGAAGTGTGTATCTACGGTGGTCTTCACATCGTATCCGAGAATTTCATCCGAAGTAGCCCATTCCGCTGGCACGGGTCTCTTTCTCCGAGTGCTGGAGAGACGCTCATGTGTCTCGGTGATTTTTGCAACCGCCTGCTCCGACAGCGCTTGTCCGTCGACCTGCATCGCATCGCCATTCGCTCCATTCGCAGCTCCAGTGACTGATACCCTCGACAGAGCGTCGCRTGCCTGGTCCCGCTCCTGCTGTAGACGCGCAATAACTCTTTGCGCGGAATCGTTGTAGTACAATGCCGTGCTCAACTCTTGTCTCGTTTCTGCAAGCTGCTGCTTGAGTTGGTATGACTCCAGGATAAGCGCGTCCCACTCATTTTGAAAGGTCGACAGCAATGCTGGGATGGATGTGAGGGTTGGAGGACGAGGCTTCACGACGCGAGCCTGCTTGAGCTCGACCAGATCGTCCACGGAGAGCTCTTCTCCATTGACAGGATCTGAACCATGCTCGGAGATGTATGCCTGGATCAATCGGCGCTCAAACACATTTCCAGATTTGCGCGAAGCCACCGGCTCTTGCGGTGCTTCACCTGAGATTGCGCACAGCATGATGGACGTTGTGATGGATGGAGAGGATGGGGATGAACTTGAAAGTAAAGATTTCGAGAGACAAACCGCGTCGACATGTAGCGCCAATCACGATGCGTCGCGAGCTGGAACTGATTTTTGATTAAATTTGATTAAACATGATTGATGGACAGAAACAGCTTCACCCAACAATGCCCTCCTTGATACGGAGCAAAGTGTATTCGGCTGCTCTTGTCTCGTGTTTGTCCCGACAACATCTGTTCGACGTTCACAATGCACAATGGAGCTCTCCCGTCCCTCTCCAACTTGTCGACAGTCACCAGTCATGCGACAGGCGATATTTCTTCCCAAGCTGATGAGTCGAATCTTGCAAGACTTGCAAGACGCTGGGATCGTTCATCATCGTTGGACACATGTGGTCCAACTCGCATCAATTGATACAATGCTCACTACAGCAAGATCAACCTCAATCTCTCATCATCACATCTCATCACGGTGGAGGTAGTAAACGGCCCTTCTGCTGCGTGCGGATCTACTACGGCCTGGCACGACCATCTCGAACCCGCTAGGCATCGTCATTAATGACCGAAATCGCAGTCAACAGTGCTTTTTCCGCCTTCATCYTCCACGAAGAAAGACTACCTCGGGAATGGTGTACTGCACGGAAGCAATCGCGAACTTTGTTCGTCTGGGCAACAGACCCGGGAGGGATCGGGTCGAAGGATATGACCATGAATGAAGACCGGGAGGTATTCGATGGAACAATTGCGCTGTTGAGGTGACATTTTGATATCATTCTAACCGCTTCGGAACCATCTCCCAGAATGTTGTTAGGGCCTCAGCGCATTGTTGTAACTTGTGCAGGGCAGGCCTTCGTTGGAACTTCGGAGGCTTCGGCCAGAAACGTGGTTGAGCAATGGGAGGAATGGCTTGCCAATGAGGGGCAGGCACACCCCACTTGTGTTTGCGTCACGGTCCCGTTGGCTGTGAAGACCTTTTTAACAACAGAACATCTCTGGCGATTGTCTCTTGTATTCCATACATCCAATCCTGCCCATCAAGGTCCCCTCTCCAACTCAATTCACCTCACACATACCCACCACATACCGCAAAGATGGCCGCCTCAGTCCTCAGCACCAAGTCCGGCGTCATCTACGGCGACGACGTCAAGAACCTGTTCAAGTACGCGCAGGAGAAGAAGTTTGCCATTCCTGCCATCAACGTCACATCCTCCAGCACCGTCGTTGCTTCTCTCGAGGCCGCTCGTGATGCCAAGTCCCCCATCATCCTGCAGATGAGCCAGGGAGGTGCTGCTTACTTCAGCGGAAAGGCCGTGGACAACAAGGACCAAAAGGCCTCAATCAACGGTGCCGTTGCCGCTGCACACTACATTCGCGCCGTTGCTCCTCAGTACGGCATCCCCGTCGTCCTCCACACCGACCACTGCGCAAAGAAGCTCCTGCCATGGTTGGACGGCATGCTCGACGCCGATGAGGAATTCTTCAAGAAGAACGGCACTCCCCTCTTCTCCAGCCACATGATCGATTTGTCCGAGGAGACTGTCGAGGAGAACCTCAACACCACCGCTGCCTACCTCAAGCGTGCCKCACCAATGAAGCAGTTCCTCGAGATGGAAATTRGTATCACCGGTGGTGAGGAGGATGGTGTGGACAACAGCGATGTCGACAACAACTCCCTCTACACCCAGCCCGAGGACATTCACAACATCTACAAGACTCTCTCCCCAATCTCCCCATACTTCTCCATTGCCGCCGGTTTCGGCAACGTTCACGGAGTCTACAAGCCCGGTAACGTCAAGCTCCGCCCAGAGCTCCTCCAGAAGCACCAGAACTACGTCAAGGAGCAGGAGAAGACCAAGGACGACAAGCCAGTCTTCCTCGTCTTCCACGGTGGCTCCGGCTCCAGCGTCGAGGACTTCCAGGAGGCCATCTCCTACGGTGTCGTCAAGGTCAACCTCGACACTGACCTCCAGTACGCTTACACTGAGGGTATCCGTGACTACATGATCAACAAGAAGGACTACCTCAGCTCGCAGGTTGGCAACCCAGATGGTGAGGACAAGCCAAACAAGAAGTACTACGACCCAAGAGTGTGGGTGCGTGAGGGTGAGAAGACGATGAGCAAGCGTGTCGCCGTTGCCCTCAAGGACTTCAACACTGCCAACCAGTTGTAAATGTCTCTCCATGAGGAAGGGAATAGTAGTTTGGATGTGTCACGTAGCCTGATGAATGCAAGAAGAAGGTCACATCATGAGGAGACTTTTCCCAGCACACTTTCTCCAAGTCGTCATCACTCCTGAAATGAGAGCCATTTCCAGCCTTCCAATCGAGTTTACAACTACATCTACTGACCGGCGTGGATATCCGATTTAGGCATGTCGATCACTGGTGTGTAGCTCATTATTTGAAAAACATCAAAATTAGGGTTAGGGTTTGGGTAGTGTATCTTCCCCGTTAAGATGCGTGCGTTCAATGCGACTTGTTGATAATCTGCTATTTGGGGGTTGATATGATATGAAATGGCTTGATTGGTCTGGTATATCACTGAGTATAAGTGGAGGTATGTCTTGGACCAAATCTACTTTTTGTGCGGCAGAGAAGCTAGATTTTCAATCGGGTACATTCGAGTGTATTAACGACATGCTCTGCTTTGCGAATGACACTTGACTTCACACTGACACGATTGTCCTTTTCAAATCCATTGCGAAAAGATCATCCATTTCGAAGAAGGACATTGTTGTACACATAGATATACATAAATCTCATTCCCAATCACCAAGAGGTAACGTCCGACTTCTTCAGTACATACTCCAGCGAATGCACCTCATCTCCCCCTCTCCTTCCTTCATAATATACATACAACACATCACCCTCAAAACACCATGGGCCCCACAGACCTAACAGCAGCATGAGGCGCAGCATGCGCTCGTCTCCCACTCTCCGTCTCTTTATCCCAAGCCCGCGACAATTCGCTCCAATCACTCGCACTCCACGCCTCATATCGTGCAGGAGGAGACTTTTGCGCACTCAAATGAAGGGGTTCCGTGGATCGAATGTACTCATTCTTGTACTTGACATTGGTCTTGCGAATCCGAGTCGGCTTTTTGGCGGGTTTCTCAAAGGCTCCGTCAAAGGAGTACCCGAGCGCTGACATGTCGTCGGCTTGGTCGTGCTCTCTAGCCGGCTTCTTCGGTTTCAGCTTCTTGAGAATCTTGGTCAGCTCCGCAGGTGTATCGGCGATTTGAGCGCGGAGATATGTCATTGCGTTTGGTGTCTGGAGACTTTCCATGATAGGTTGCCGATAGGTGTACTCGTATTGCTCCGGCTGCGGTACAATGGAAGGCTTCACGCTTGGGTCCAGATAAGCTTGCTTTCCCTTGGCGAGCAGTTGCATAATGTCCAGAGACTCGCCTGGAGGAATCGCTTCTGGATGTGAAGGGGTAACGCAATCCATGTCCACCTCTTTTCGCAAAACGTGATCGATATCGACGGCGCTAAAGTATGCACACGACTGTGGCAAGTCATCAATACCCATTTGCTGGCTGAACATGGCTCGTGTCCAGACATTTGCAACTTGCAAGGCCATGGCACAGCGGTATTTGTCTTCATCTTTTGAAAGATAGCGAATCTCATCGTGGACGGTCAGGGCCAAGCGAGCATCGATATTGTAGCGTCTGCAAAGGTAATCCATGCTGACTATCAAGAGATGAAGGTAGTCAACTCCGGAAGACTGAATTGCCCAATTGATTCGGCTGGTCATGAATCCACCTTTGCTGAGGAAACGACGCATCAGAGCTTCGGTAATGGCAGCGCCGAGCACGGGAGTACGAGGTCTTTCTTGTTCAGCAAAGTCTTGCAGCCTATTGAACACCAAGCTCTCCGTTCCACCACGTAGGAATGAACGATCGCGAAGAGCCTTCCCGCGAGACGTGGCACCTTTGGTCTCCTGGTAGAGCGTTTTGGCAATACGTTTGGCGTCTTCTTCTTTCATGGTGGGGTTGAATTGACGCAGCAGCGACTGAGCGAATGTAAGACCAGCCCCGTAGATTCTGCCGTAGTTGAAAACCTTGGCATCATTACGAGAGATGCCCAGAATCTTTGCGGTGCGTGAGTGGAGATCAGTTCCGGCCGCTTTTGTTCCTTCTAGAGTCATGAACCCAATTGCATTTCCGCCGTGGAGTTTGAAGCTGGCATCTCCAACAAGAGACGCTATCCACAACTCTTGACTGTCGACATCCGCGCCGACAAAACTATAGCCTGGCGGTGCCGTAATCATGCTCTTCAATTCGGAACCTACTCTGTTCTTCTTGGCATTGGCTGCGGTGAGCCAAGTGTTTTCCACAGCACGTCGAGTGATTGTGCCCATCGGGATGACTTGTGGGAGAATGAAGCCCAACTTCGATTCATCAGCCGCAGCACCCGGGCGTTCGCTCTCATACACGGCCATTTGCGACTTGATACGATCGCGAGCACTGATCCAGTAAGAGCACGAAGCATTCATATCCAGCGCTTCCCTCGCATATGCATATTCAGAAGAAAGCACGCCGCTTTCAAAGAACTGCAAGTAGCCTTTGGCGAGAGGTGAGGTGCACCGCACCTCTGGTCCATCTTTGTGAGGGAGCTTAAAGTAGGTGTGCTCTAGATCGTCTCGCAGTGCGAAATTCTTCTCCTCTAGCATATCACACTGCTTCATCGACTGATCTCTATACTTTTGCGCTTTGGAGTGCTCCACTTTGAATGACCAGCCAAATTCATCGGACCAGACCAGAGGATTGCCATCCCAGGCCATGCGTAAGAGTACAGGCGCGATACGAGTACGCACCGTCAAAGCGATCTCTGCATCCGCCTTTGCGAAGAGATCCTTGTACCAATTTGGCATCCCCGGCTTCTTCTGCCTCGCCGCAGGTCTAAGTGGGTCGTCCTTTTTCTTTCCCTTAACCATGCGAATGGCTTGACCGCCCCAGTCCAATTGACACAGCCACGGGTCGTTTTGATAGATTTCTGGCCTGTTGCGAAGCGCCAGGGCCTTTTCCGCCAGATCGACCAACCTTTCAACCACACCCGAGGAAAGTCTCTGGTACGTCGCCTCGGCGTTCTTGATATACGCCTGCCAACCTTTGTCGATGGGTAGAATTTCCGTCGACAGATGTCTCAGAGCAGCAAATGATACCGGGTGCGGACATGTCTCGACAAATAGCGGAAACACCTTCTTGTAAACCTTGTGAGTGATATCGACATCGGCTGCACAGTAATCCAACAACTCGTCCAAGCGTTCGACAATACCCTCGCGATCCAACTCACCAAACCACTCTCGCCTAGCCTTGTCGATTGTGATGTTGCAGTGGAACTTTGCAACATCTCGTAGACTATTCACGGACGATCGTCCAACCCACAGCTCCTCCTCTTGATCGTATCCATTTTCAGTATTAAGCAGTGCGGCCAAGTCGGATCCTTCTTCAGCAGCAGCAATCCTGTCCTGCGTGTCTCGCTGCTTGCGATGCTTCATCCACGTTGGCCTCTGTCTACTGCACATGCCATTCGCCGCAATGTGCAGACTCATCGTATCCATGAAGAAACTCTTCGATTGATCCAGACTATACTCTTCCAAAATACGCGCTCTGTCATAGCCAATGTTGTGCCCCACGATGATGCGAGGCTTTTGCGGATCTCCAAGCGGGATCAGATGTCTGTCGTTTTGGCTTTCTCCCAGAAGCCACGGTGAAAGCCAAGCGTACCAATGTGTTGCAGAGACTGCACAAGCCATTGCAGGAAAGCTGGTTTCGTGCCACATGACTTCAGTATCAAAGGTCAGGACATCGGCATCCGGGAAGGCGATGGCTTCTGAGGTGCCATCTTCGTAGTATTTGGTCCACCCGCTTCTTTGTACCCATTGACGCGGCTTGGGGTGTAGAGAAGCACGCGCATACTTCTTCGACATGCTCATGTACGGCTCTGCACTGTCCATACCCAAACGATAGAAATGCTCATCCAGCGAGGTTCCCTGCAAAGGCGGCAAGTCGAATCCCACTGGTTGCGCATTGTCACTAGTCTTTCCAAGTAGCTCATGCCGTGCGAGATGATCCTTGGATAAAGCGATGAGTTCGGCGTCCGGTTTGGCAGCACCATTGGCGCGTGGCGGAAAGAGCTGCGGATAGATGTGTGCGCTGACTTGTTGAACTCCGATTTCGTTGTGTCGACTTTCGGACGGTATTGCCAGCGTCGGTGAATTGTTTGCCTCACCACCATCCTCAATGCCATCGACAGTGGCGTATGCTCTTTTCGCACACGACCACTTCAGGGGTTGTGGTCGCAGACGTAGCAACGACGTTTGCTGTGTGCGCTCAAGGGCGTTGACGAGATGGTACTGACATCGTGATCGCATGACCGCGATGTCCCGGCGGTCGAAAGTGTGAATAGTCCAGTCCGGATGATGGTATTGATGGAGTGAAAGTGGTGTCAGCGAACGTTTGGTCGCCTCATGGAAAGAAGCTTCACGATCCCGGCTGATCGGGACTGATCGTCATCAGGGTAATGTAGGGTAGGGCCCGGCAGGCGCATCTCCGCTTTCGTGCTTCCAACCATGCCGCTGGACGGAATGTCAAGTGAATGAACGACACACGCCCGAGGGAGAGGAGAGGCCGCAGAAATGTCGGGGTCATCTTCACTTCGTCATCTGCTCAACCCAGAGCCGAACACGCGATATCTTCCGCCACCACCTCGCGACCCACCACCACCATCCTATCAGCCGCGAGAGCCTTCATTATCAACATCCGACTCCGACGCGGGAGAAGACGACGAATTCTTTACACTTGAGGATTCGGAAGCGGAAGACGACGAGGATCCTACCAACATGCCTCCCAGTACGAGAAATACCTCCCGTCGCCAGAGCGTCGTCGACCTCACCGACACCCCCGCTACTCAATCGTCGTCACGAAGACGCAAGCGCTCCGCAGATGAGGGACCCGCACCAAAGCGCCCAAGAACCACCCGGAGACACATTGAGGAGGTGGATCTGGTGGAAGAGAACCCATCGGTGGAGGAGGAACTTCGGCAAGCACAACAGCAGGCCACCATTCGCGCGCAGCAGGCAGAAGTCGATGCCGGTCCACAGAAGATTGGCAAGTTGCAGTGCATCATCTGCATGGAGACGTACACCAACGCCACCGCTACTGCTTGTGGTAGGTTGCAGCAGATACTGAGGTGCATGTTCTGAGTGACTGACATCCGCACAGGTCRCTTTTACTGCCACGAGTGCCTGCATCAATCGCTCCTGGTTGGCGAGAGGGCGGATGAGCGCAAAGGCACGTGTCCGGTCTGTCGCAAGTTCATTTCGCGAAAGAAAAAGCTCGACATCATTCCCATGTCATTCATGAAGAAGGAAACCTTTCTGAAGCAGAAAAAGGTGCAGAAGCACAAGGCCTGATTGTAAGTGTGTACCACTTTTGCTTGGTTGTTATAGCGCGGAGTTGGGGAGTTTTCCGGTACAATTCGAAGCATGGATATGACATATAAAGTAGTGGAGTAAAACCACACTCTGTTGCGGACAGACGAGGATGTGCAAACAGATCATGAGCCTTTCCTTCCACCTTGGACTCAAGCCAGCCCTTTCCCGCGGAATGATGGTCGTGCCTTCAATGCTTCGAGAGGTTGGTACTTCACGACTTCCAAGTTKTTCACACGCCATCCCATCTTCATCTGCATTCAGTCATACACATACTCCAACTCAGCAATATTCACTCGTCAGCCACCAGCATTACCACCAGCAGCAGTATAGCAACACCGCGTGTCTCGATACCACCCCACTACTACAGCAGACCACCACTTCTCGCTTTGCACATTACTGAAATCGTGAGCTGAGTGAAGTGCAAGTCCTTTTGAGTGTTCGCAATTAATCGTGTCTAGATCGCAATCTCACCATTCACTAAATTCGCATCCGTCGACTCGCTCCCACGAGAATGGGCCAGTTTCTCCGCTCTGCGCTGCTCCCAAGTGTACCTCTGACGCCTTGAAGTAGACCCATCACAACCCCATGTCCCCGACCCTTCATTTGTCCATGATTGGTCGGAGAACATGGACGTTCCGCCTGATTCGCATATTCCCTTGACCTCTGAACCCGCCAACCAAAGAGAAGACTACGACCCTGCATTTGTCCATGATTCGTCGGAGGACATGGACGTTCCGCCTGATTCGCATATTCCCTTRAYCTCTGAACCCGCCAACCAAAGAGAAGACTACAACCCTCCATTTAGCCATGATTCGTCGGAGAACATGGACGTTCCGCCTGATTCGCATATTCCCTTAATCTCTGGACCCGACGACCGGAGAGAAGACTACGATAACCACGAGAGCGCTCTCCACCAGGGACAGTTTCCCGACGATCCAATTGTCCAAGAGTGGTTGGAGAACATGGACGTTCCGCCTTATGTGCGTATTCCCTTGACCTCTGAACCCGTCAACCAAGGAGAAGACCACGATGGCCACGAGAGCGCTCTCCACCAGGCACAGTCTGCCGACGATCCCATCTACGCCCAATCGGCAGTCGAAGCTATCAGCCAGGACAGAAGAGAGGGCCAGTTTCTTCGCTACGCGCTGCTTCTGAGTACGACTGACGTCCCGAATTAGGTTCTCCAAGCCATAGTCTCCGGGACTTGCGGATCAATGAGATCGCGCGAGTGTCCAAACAACCATCTGATCCGTCTAAAACCAATGGCCTTGGTGAGCCTTACTCCGTTTCGTACAAGAAATCCCACTTGAAACCAGCGGACGATGTCGATCCCATCAAGAACCCATAGCAGCGGTTTCTTCATAAAGTCACCGGCAAGGAGCATTTTGTCAACGCAAAATCACAACAGGAATACCAAAACAAAAGATTGCGCGAGGGTCCCTTCAAGAAATGGATGAGGTCGGTATTCGCTCAGAGGTCCTAGAAAGGAGGTTCCGGAGCCACAAGGTAGGCGTCCAGTAGGTATTGGTGGTGTTGTATGCGAATTCGAGAAATCTTCCTAGACGTGTCTCCTCTTTCAAGCCGCATGATGACCTCTTCGACGCCAGAATCTTGTAGTCTTGTACCGATAATGATTTCACATCGTCATCAAGACCAGACCACTGATCCCACCATTGCTCGAGCCAATCAGCAGAAACAGCTTCGAGTGTCATGAGGCTCTTACTCGCCATTGCGCTTTGCTCGAGAGAAAACAAAGGCCGTTTGCTGTCCKCTCCGGCAACGTCCTGAAAGAAGTCGAGCAGCTTCGCGGCTGGTAAGACCTGGCGCGTAGCAGCATCATCCTGATCGGCATGAGCAGAGAGCGCCTCTACCCACTCGCTGAACGGCACCGACATGACGTCGTGTCCGAGAATGCGTTGAGCCTGGCAAGCCAAATTCCCCTGCCAATGCGCGGTGAATGGATTGACAAAGTGGCGCACAGCGAGAGGATGTCTAGTCTTGAGGCCTAGAACCTCCATACTGCTGCACAAGGAGGATGCCGGTGTGCTGGAGGTCGAATCAACGGACACTGGAGTCGTTGTTCCGCTTCTAGGAATAGCGGAATCTGTAGAGATGCGAGCTTCACCCATCACACGCTCGGACTGTGTAGGAGGGATATGCACCTCATCACTGCCTACAACAATGTCCAGCGCCAAGATATCCGCGAGCGTGTCCACAGGAATCCAGTCTACTCGGTCCATCGAGCCCAGTGTCTCGGGCAGCATCCGCATTTCCTTTGAACTGAGCATCAAACTGGGGAACCACTCGTGTGTATTCCACATTCCTTTGGATGACTTTACTGGTCCTGCAATTTGACCCATTCGACAGATCGTCACGGGAAGTCCTAGGCGTTCGTTGGCAGTTGCGAAGAGGTGTTCTGCGAGGAGTTTCGATTGCCCGTAGCCACTTTCCGCAGCATCGAAGTCATGAATGATGGCCTCGGGCACTGGGCCTTCGTTACCGGTTTGGAGCCAGTGGTTGGCGGCGCCTATGCTTGATAGGAATGTCAACGCTACAGTATGCCTGGCAGAATCCGCCAGTTCGATCAGTCGACGACAGCCCTGTAGCTGATCATCGAACGCTGCTAGTGGTAGGTTGAAGTTGACCTGCCATGCGTTGTGCACGATGTGTGTAGTTTCTTGTAGAATAGAGTATTGCTCCTCATCGAGACCGAATCGTACTTTTGCCAGTTGGCCTTCGAGGAAAACTACACGGGAGAAGTCCTCTGTCAAGCCGCGACTGTGTTGTATCTTCTTTTGTTTTGCAGCATTRCCACCTCGACGATTTAGACAGATGACTTTTGTCGTGGATTGCTGTCTCAGTAAAGAATCAAGCAGATACGAACTGAGGGAGCCGGTCGATCCTGTGAGCAAGTAGACTCGTTCGGGGGTCATCAGTTTGGGAGTTTCGATTGAGGGAGTTTGAGGAAGCTGGTTCAGGTGGGAGTCTAAGCATTGCTGCATTCGACAGTGCTGACTTCCGGCATCGTTCGTCGACTGCTCGCTTCCAGGCATCATACTTGAGGCGATGTTGGCCGCGGTTCGTTGGTTGTAGATCAGCTTGGGAGTTATGCGGCAAGCGACATCTACGCCTTGATCTCGTAGGCTGGATTTGATGAGCCTTGTCAAGTGCATCACAGCAAGCGAGTCCAAGCCGTGAGAGAAGAGGTCGTCGGTAGGAGCAACATCTCGACCTGGTAGAATCTCTGAAGTAATCACAGATAGCAACGAGGAGGCGATTGCATCTTCTGACGAGAAGTCTAGTCGAATATTCGCAGTCACACGATCCTCGGCAACCTTGTACGCTGCTTCGATCTCGCCTTGAAGCTTGTCGATTGTTGGGCCGCGTCGAACTTCGCCCTTTCCTGATCGTAGGAATGATCCCGCCTCCACGATATGAATATGTGAGGTATGTATCTTTGCATGATCTGGCAGAATCTCGTGCGCACGGCGAAGAGGCTCCGACATGTCTAGCTCTGCCGAGGCATCAATACCAGAGCGTGGCTCGACAAGGAGGAGAGGTTGGTCCCGTCTGCATCCAACAATCAGTGCGCTCTGTACAGCCGGATGCGCCGAAAGGACCGCTTCCGCTGCGCGAGGGTTGAATTTCTCGCCGTTGGAAAGGACAATGATATCGTCCAGCCGACCTTTGTACTTCCACATTCCGTCTTTGGTGGGATGTCTCTCATACAAGTCTTTCATGCGATACTCTTTCAAATCGGGAAAGGTCAAGAATGCGCCTTGATGTTTTGATCCCTCTTCGCGCACGAAAACCAATTCATGCAGTAAACCTTCGGGTCGAAATTCAATGCGCAATGAGGGGTGGAAGTAATGGTACGCCAGTTCATCCTCTGACTCTGGTAATAGCTCCGGCAAGTTGAACGTCTCCGTCGATCCAAGAAGTTTCAAGATCTTGGTATGCTTGAAAATGGACTTCATCGCCTCTTCAGCCWAAGGTCCTCCTCCATACGAAACACTGCTCCAGTTCGAGAGCTTTTGCAGAACAGTTGGCTCCTCTGCAATCTCAGCGAGGAGAGATGGTGGGATCAGACCCGCCGCTGCGACGCCCATGTCTAAGATCTGCTCAACTGTGCGGACGGAAGGCGGCTGATCGCTGGGTCCTAGGACGGGTTGTGTTCCTTGAAAGATGGAGAACGCTAGAATGTTGAACCCTGCCGAGTGGAAGAGAGGCATCGCAGCATATAGCTTGCAATCTTTCCACATTTGTGAAGTCACGCATCGACCTTTGACTTTAGGGAGGTCCTGCTGAGCATCGATTGTTGCTACGAGGGCGTGTGTAACTTTGACCATCTTCGGCTGTCCTGTGGAACCGCTTGTGTGTAAGATGACAAAAGGCTCAGATGCGACCTCCTGTAGTGTTCGATGCCATGGGTAAGCTTCCACGGGCTCTCGGTCCAGGACCATCTCCATAGTCAGCATGTCGATGTGCTCCATGCCGTATGCATCGCTGAGCTCTTTGCAGAGGCCTGCAGGTCCCAGAAGTGTGCGGCATTCCGTTTGTTCGAACAGAGCTGCGTGAGCCTCGAAGTTGTTTCGCGGCGAGGATAACAGTAGCTGTTTGATGGTCAGTCAGTACTAAACACGAAGCGGAGGAGTAGAAAACATACCTTCACGCGAGCTTTCGTGGCTGCGCATGCAACAATAAAGTACCTGATATCAGATGGTGCAATGTAGCATATCGTGGTCTCCAGGCTTCCTGCYCGAGGTACGTTTCTGGAAAGGAACCATGCGACTCTGTTGATCGCATTTGCCAAAGTTCCATAGGTAACGCTGGTCAAGACCCCTTCCTCCAAATCTTTCTGCGAGGCTATGAATTGAAGCCATGTCTTCTCCGGCGTATCGATGGCAAGCCTGTCGACGACCTCCGGTATGGTGGAGGCACCATGCGACATTTTCACAGGCGTCTTCCTCCAGGGTCTGCGGGAAGTTATCATCTATTAAGATCAAAACTCATCACCAGCGGGCGTCTAGAACGTAGCGAACAATTAGATTAACCTTTTGATCGACGCTGGACGACACGGGGTGTATGATGATGCAGGCTGCAGTATCCTGATCCTTGAGCGCATCGGAGGGCCTCTAGCGACATCCCCTGGCTGTGCATCTGCTATCGGACACACTTTGTACCAATGAAAGTCGAGATCAGGACAGACAGAGCGGATGAGCCAGAGCAGGTAGACCGGCTGTCTCGCCGCGGTGAGGCATTCTACTGCACATACAACGTTGCAAGCATGAGATGCATTTTGCATACAGAAGCTTTCGTCGATCAACGCTTCGCTTCAGCCTTTCGAAATCATCATTCCGCACGCAAATAAGTGATCGACAAGACAAGCCGATCGAGGAAGAATATGTACCGAGCACGCCGAGGCCTCGTGCTTGTGACCTTTGACGATTCCTTCACTCTCACTGCAAATGATCGGATGACGTCTTGAACATACTGGGTCAGAGTAAGGACACGAGACTTGTCTGCGATCTGTTGTGCTTTTTGCATCGTTGCGGTGTCGAATGATCTGCAAGTCAAGCTTCCTCCTTTGGGCCACTCGTAAAGCTTAGTTACGAATAACGGTCCAGACACCACTCTATTGTCGCGATAGACTTTGGCGCTGATATGCTTACCCCGGGTTCTTTCGATCCGTTGCAGCAGTTTTGTTTGCAAGTCGAAAAGGCAAAAGGGATCAGCGTAGATGGTGTGGTGCATTGACGAAATGGCGTCTGTTCTCCGCAATTCGTCTTTCTTGAGATCCGACTGTCGCGAACAACTGGCCGACGTCCATTATCTGAAGGAAGGACACCGACATGGGGACCACAGAACCCGGCGAGGTCGAATCAATATCCAGTTCGAATGAAGACGGCAAGCCTGTGCGCAATGAGTCTTCCTCCGATCCCGACAGCCACCGAAGCGAGCCTTCATCCAACGAGAAAGAGGAAGAACAAACACAAGATGCGCCTGCCGTACCGTTTTCGCCAGCGCGAGAATTTCTTTTCGTCTTCACAATATGCATGGCCCAGTTCCTATCGCTCGCAGGCCTTGCACAATCGGTAGCACCACTGGCAATCATAGGGCAGAGTTTTGGTGTGACGGATGAAGGTCTCTTGAGCTGGTATCCGGCGGCATTCTCATTGTGAGTCGCATCTTCTTGCATTGGAATACAGGAAAACATCCCGCGGWGTCTGACTGACTATCCGCAACTCAGAACGCTTGGAACATTCGTCCTGCCCGCTGGAAGATTGGGAGACATGTACGGTCATCGAAACCTCTGCTTGATGGGATACGCATGGTACGCAGTCTGGTCGACAATCGCCGGAGTCTCCGTGTACAGCGGCGACATCCTGTTCAGCTTCTCCCGCGGCATGCAAGGAATCGGACCCGCAATCGTAGTACCAAATGCACTGGCACTCGTTGGAATGGCTTATGGAGCTAGCCCTCGCAAGAACATGATATTCGCTCTCTTCGGCGCTTCAGCGCCCGTCGGGTGGGTGGCTGGTGCAGTATTCTCATCTATACTGGCGCAGCTGGCCTGGTGGCCCTGGGCATACTATGCACTTGCATTCGCATGCATAGGCATGATCGGATTCAACTTGATAGCGGTGCCCGCCGGCCATCGGGAGCGGGCTGCTCGACTAAGCGACTTTGATGCTCTTGGCTGTGCGACCGGTGTGAGCGGACTAGTACTCTTCAACTTCGCATGGAACCAAGCCGCCGTGGTGGGATGGCAAGAGCCGTATACGTATGCGCTCCTGATAGTAGGGATTCTGCTCCTAGGCGCGTTTGCCTATGTCGAACTCAATATTGCCGCGCATCCTCTCGTACCGCTGCGAAAGATGAAAGCCGAGGCAGCTCTGGCCCTCGCCGTGGTCGCGTGCGGGTGGGCGTCATTTGGAGTATGGGTGTTTTACCTTTGGAGACTGATTGAGAGCTTAAGGGGGTACTCTGCGCTAGCGGCTTGCGCACAGAACGCGCCTGTTGCGATCTCCGGATTGGTGGCAGCACTTGGAACTGGATTCATGCTCTCGCACGTCAAGGTGCCCTATGTGTTGCTGTTATCGACCCTCTTCTTCCTGGCTGGACAGATTCTGCTTGCAACAGTGCCGGTCGATCAAACCTACTGGGCTCAAACGTTCGTCTCAATCATCCTTATGCCCTGGGGTCTAGACATGTCGTTCCCGAGCTCGACAATTCTACTAAGTAATTCCACGCCACCCGAAGATCAAGGAGTGGCATCGTCTCTAGTCAACACCACCGTCAATTACAGCATATCCCTCGGATTGGGTATCGCTGGGACAATATTACGTCAGGTCAACTCCAGCGGCACGGACGTGCTTGCTGGATACCGTGGAGCATGGTATTTTGGCATTGGTCTTGATGGGCTGGCCGCAGTAATTGCTTTGTACTTTGTTTGGAAGTACTGATGCATGCATGAGAGGGCTTGAGGAGCGTCGGGTGCAACACCCACCGACCATGAAATGTCAATATTATTGAAACCTAAACGGAGCATCAGCATGTGATCCCGCCCAATCGTGACGTCCGGGGAGCACGAAGCTCAGCGTTGTACTTTGTTCGGTCTTGCGGATGCGCAAGAGGACTCTTCTTGTCATGTTCGTGGTAACTCTGCTCGGCGCCGTGCAACGTGTACAGAAGGAGTTTCGTGGTTTGAACCACCACATCTTGTCACGTTTCGTGATTTGTAGCAGTCAGCCGCCACTCGCGGCCCTCTGATATGTGAATTTCCAGGGCGAACCTGGCTGTCGCAGTCTTCACACGGTTACAAGCGCAAGGATAGACCAGGAAGGTGAAGCTGTCATCATCCTGTTTGCGCGGTCCTCGCACGCTGACATTTCACAAGCTTCTGCGCCACGACTGCAGGGATTGTCACATTCATGGCCACCATCCATTTGCAATCAGCGGCCATCAGCACAACAACAGCAGGTCGCCACATGAGCCACAATCTCGATGCCGATTTCTGTGCCAAATTTTCTAATTGCCGGGCGGTGTTATGAGTTGGGTCGCAACGGCTGCTAGGCCGGGGATTTTGACGTGCAAGATCGTCGGGGAGGATGCGTTGTGCAAGGCAGCAGGACTGCCAGCACAGCTCTTGTACGAAAGTCCAAGTCCAAGTCCAGGCCTCTGGAGCGCTGTGAGAATTCTACGCAGTACACAGTGACATGCATGAAACCTTGGCGGCGGCGGCTGGCTCGCCCAAACTCCAATTACGCTCGTGTGCAGCGGATCATGTCCGATGCTGCGTTTGGAAGATGCGAACAGAACTGTGGAATGGCGGTGGTACCTTGATGGCCACGCGAGGGCATCGGCGACGGCAAGGTACAAGACTTTGGGAACCGAAAATCGTTCTCTTACAAAATTGGTCGTCGTTTGTTGGTTGGTCAACTGCTGTTGGGTCCTGCGGAGCTGTGGAGCACCGCAATGCAACAAAGAAAGTCCGGCTGAATTGAGCCGCTCGAGCCGGCAATAAAGTGGCGCTTGGGTTCGAGGTGCGCAAATGCATTCGAGAAAGGCAGTTTACAGTGCAACATCAAAGACGTTGTCTTTGGAAGAGTCAAGACTGCCGTCATCAACACCTAATCAACAAAGCAGACCTGAGATGACGGGAAGATGTGGGGGTTGGGGTAGTTCTAGGAGTAGGTAATCTCATTTCAGCATCGCAAGCCCCTTTCATGGAAGGATCAGCAGCAGCGGGCAAAGGAAACAAGTCGATGATTCGCAATCTCACGTGCCTCACATAGAAAGCACATCGACAGCACAACACACTACATTGCAACAGGTACCAAAGCATATACCTCCCAGCGCAGACCTCTTGTACAATCTATTTGGGTGCCAAAGGTTACATAGTCGGTGGTGCTGCTTGTGACGTGGCGTGCGTCTCTCGGATCTCATCCGCCGTCCCAGCCAAAGCGGGCCAAGAGCGATTACCAGTGGCGGCGGGTAACGAACGCATCTCCTTGGGCCCGCCGAAACAGAACCCGTCTCTTCGAATCCACGAGCGCTGCTCTTACTCACCTCTATCGCCATCACCGTCACCGTCGCCTCACCTCACCATCCCGCCCTCCCTTCCATCACCCGCCAGCCAGCCAGTCCGACGTCACCGCTGGTCCGAGGCGCAGAGGACGCTGAGCGCAGAGAGAAAGCGAGAGAGCAAGGCAGGAACAGGAACAGGAGAGCCCCGACCGCCCCGCTCCATCTCACCTCACCCTACCCTACCCTCCTCCCTCGACACCCACCGAACGAATCTGCAGCGCAGTCACCCGACTGGTTGTCGAGTCGTACTGGTTCATGGACTAGAGCATTGTGTCGGTTATTTGCAGCGTTCTGTTTCCGTCTGCGGGAGGGCAATTACGGCAGTATTTGCGCCGAATTGAACAGACAGTCATCACAGTCGTCTGACCTGGTCTAATCTGGTCTGGTTTGATCTGATCGGGACGATACTTCCCATCTGCATCTGCCCGTCCCGGAAACATTGTCAAGTCGAGTTTGTCGCTGCTGAGCAAGCAATCTCGAGTCCGTTGCGCGCAGGCTGGATCAACACGCAAACATGCGCGAGGTCAACTTCAGCATCCCAAACGCAAACAAGGCGTCGGTGGGCATTACGACTGCCTTATACGACCGTCGAGCGCTGGACTGTACTTCTACCCTCCCACTGATCAATTCTCTCAACAATCTCGCCTACCTCACCACCTCCTYAGGCCGCATCCGGGACATCTTGACCGTCGATGGCGGCATTGAACGTCTGGTATGCATTCTCAAGGAGGGCCGCAGTAAGGATATGATGGAGATGTGGAAGTGGAATCTGGCCTTTCAATGCATAGTCAACATTGGCGTCAGAGGCTCAGAAGCTGTGCGGACACGCGTGGTTGAGGCTGACATGGTCCCGGTCATTGCTACCATCCTTGACAACTACTTCCAAGTCATTGAGAAGAGCAAGGAGAGGCTTGAGTCAGAAAGTCGACGGAAGTGCCCCTTCAGTGGCTCCCGCAGCTTCTCGCGCTCCTCTGGTCGGGCTGAAAATACAGAAGGACGCTCTGGCAGGAGCAGACGACACATACCACCTCCGATAGCCATCCCAGAACCGAGAGCGCCCGACGAAAACGACGAACCCGCGAGCGACACAACACCCACAGCGTACACCGCGAACCTCTCCCTCAGCTCTCCCCCTGAGCGAACAGTATTTCCCCGCCAGGTTCCCCACCAAAGATCAACTCCCGCTCGGCCTCAATTCTCGTCACCCAGCATTCCGAGCAGTCGACAAATTGACACACCTGTTTCTGCGATGACCTTGCAAAGTCACTCCAACACTGGGTTCGTCAGACCGGTACGGGATGTGGATAGACTGCCATCCATGGTACCCGCGGTACACGCCGAGCTCAGTTCGCGCCCTCAATCRCCAACAACACCAGGCGCTCCCATTCTACGAGCGGAAAGCCCGCGAGTCGTCACTGCGAGTGGTAGCAGGCCACGACGTCGCCCATCAATCCGTCACCAGCTATCAATTTCCGGCTCCGACGATGATGGACAGATGGAGGAGAATGTCTCGGATGATTCAAATGGGAATGACGGAGAGCCCATGGTCGGCATCCAAACCGACATCTCAATGCAAGATATTACAAACAACGATGGTCTGCTGGATGCGCAAGGAGCACTCACCGTTCCCGATGCGTCGGGCGACGACACCGAGACCTTCAACATCACACACAGGTCTGCTGTAGATGGCAGTCTCGCGACGCCCACGCAAGGACAGATGACCTTGCCACAAACACAAATAGCTCCTCCTGTCAACGCAGTCAACGCGACGCCTCCAAGCTTGCAAACACCTGCATGGTTCCCTTCCCGAGGCCTACCCCTGGACAGGCCACCGCCAGCTTTGGCCGCGATGCCTCGCGATGAGGATGTGCTCATGTCACTTCAACTCCTGGCATACGTTTCCAAATACTGCAATCTCAGGTCCTACTTCCAGCGATCACATCTCGTGCCCCGGCTCAAGATTGGACACGATCTTCACATGCTCGATCCGGATTACAACCCGGCCACCCACACTGGTCCCACCAAAGAGCAGTTGGCAGAGGAGTGGGATAATGAATTCGTCCGAAAGCCCGACGAACAACCCTACAACATCTTTCCTCTTATTGAAAAGTTCACCGCCAAACCCTCGGCTTCGCGGAATAACCCACCCACATCACCTCAACAAGGCGACATGCAGTACTGGGCAGGTGTTGTTATGCGCAACCTTTGTCGAAAGGATGACAGCCGCGGTGGCATCAGACAATGTGCATACTGGCAGTGCGGCAAGTGGGAAGCGTACACACGCCAGTTCGCTAAGTGTCGACGCTGTCGACGAACCAAGTACTGCAGCAAAGAATGCCAAAAAGGTGCGTGGGGCAGTCATCGATTTTGGTGTGTTGCCGCCGATGATGGCAACCAAGACGCGGCCGGTACAAGTGAGCACCGCCACAGGCATCGCTCCCATAATCACCACCACCATCATTGAACCGTGTCTTAATCCTAAAGGCGCTTTGCCGATATTGCCAGGAAGCATAGCAGGGCGTTCAGTGTGTATCATTTGGTGAATGAAGGGAAATGAAACAAAGATCTAGTCATGACTACTACCGCGAAAGCTAGCGATTGATCACGGGCATGGCTTTGATTACGAATGGAAGGGCGTTGTTCAAAGGAAGGGAAAGGATACCACAAATCATCATCATCATCATCATTGTGGTTCTGGGTGTTGTTTCCATCAGGCCAGGCGGCATGAAATACCCTTTTTAACAACTTCAAGTTGTAGGCATGGAAGAGTGCCTTAATGTCGGCGTCGTTCTTAGCATTGCGAAGGAAACCGGGGTTCTCTATGTATCTGAAAGGGGCATCATCATCATATCATGAACAAATTATCATTATCCATTGCTTCATGTCGTCGTTTGCTTGTAGAGAGAGWGAGAGAGAGAGAGAGGGTGTGTTTGTCACTCCCACTTCGAATCCCGATTAACCCGTTCGACTTCCTCTCCCATCCTCTTCATCCATCTCTCTACCAATTCTTTATTCTCCCGTACCAATTTCTCGGACCTCTGCTCCGCCATGTTTAATTGTAGGCTCAGCGCTACCATTTCATCCTGAGCTCTCTCGACCAAGTCTCCTTTCCCGCGAATCTCTTCCTGGACATCGCGGAGTTTTCGTTCGGTTTCTAGTTTTTGTTTTGTCAAGAGGGTGATTTCGGATGTCGATTGGCGGGATTGGAGTTGGAGTTGGGAAAGGGAATGGGTGAGGTCAGAAACGCGGGTTTCGAGAAGGGCGCGGGCTTTTTGGGTTGTTGAGAGGTCGTGGCGGAGAGCTGAGATGAGGTCTTGGGGGTTCTGTTCGAGTGCAGGAGAGTCGTCTTTGGGTTTTGATCTTGGGGTTGTGGAGCGGGAGGGTGGAGCTGGAGAGGAGGTGGTAGGATTTGCGGATGGTAAAGGCTGGGTGGCTGCGGCTGCCATTCGGTCTGCGAGGCGAGCGTCTGTGTCTTTTGTCAGATGTGCTGGTGATGATTGAGGGTGTTGGTGTAGCTTACAGGCATCTATGTATGGTTTGTGAGCTTGCTCGCGGACATCGCGGAGATCGAGAGCGGCGGAGTATTGATCGAACCAGTCGGTCATGATTGTGTTTGTGCGCGAGAAGGTGGCCGATACAAATCGCCTGATGACATGGCGGTCTGTRGCATCAAAGCTGGGGAAGACGTGGTGTTGACAGTGGAGATGGTGAGATCGCGTGTGAAGTCATTCACATCGTGGTGGGGTCAAATCACTGCAATCTTCACAACCATCTCACCTCATCATCGACAACAACGTCGACCGATGTTTGGAAGACGATGGATGTGAAGGCCTGTTTGTCAACAAAGCATTCACCCATCATCAGTTCGATCTGATCGCATGTGACGGCGAGGGAGAGGACCAGACCCTGCTTTCATGTACCGGGATGTGGGAGGTGGACACCCGATTTCCTTTTGCTGGACCAAGCGCACCGCAATTATCCACCTCGTCCTCGGTATCGCGGCAGCGGCACAAGCTTGAACCATGTGGCATCAATCCATGTTCCACGCCGCTGACTCCAAGCGAGGCATGGCGTTCATGATGGTGAAAGCTTAAGATTCTTGAGTCGGACGTAACACGCCCTTTCGAACCTCATCACCAGCGCCAATTAACAGATGGGAGATCTTGCCGTCTGCTCTTGTAACACGACGCATGTGCACGCGAGACCGGCCATCAGTTTCCTCGCAAGCATCACTGGTACCTTGAGATTGCCTCTTGAGCACATCATCTTGGAGGATTGACAACCGATGGAAGGCCCGACCACATGTCGATTGAATGCATGTGCTAGTCCACCCGCGAGGAGCCTACGACCAGTCGAGAAATTTACTGCCACATTATCCCGAGCTTCGTCAAAACCCTAGTACGCGCTATCAACTCCAGCTGGGGCAGGATCGCGAAGATCATATGGGGAGTGCCCTGGATGGAGCTAGATCGACTGCCCTCAATGGAGCTAGAATCAGACTATGTGCCACATGGCTAGCGATGCCACATGTTGAGGATGTCCTTTGACCGTATCCTCTCTGCTGAACGCAATCGAGGCTCCAACATCGACTTACCCAACTTCTAGTCTAGTGAAAAGAGCATCCTGGTCATGGAAGCGACTGTCACTCAAATTGCTAATCTACAGATTCAATTTCAGACACAACACTGACGACAATTCAATATCTACTTAGGCGACGAATACACGATCCTGTTATCACTCCCTGTATCAGAGATCCAGCGACAGAGTCTGCAAGATCTTGGTCCAACAGATGCATTGGGCAATTTCCCCGGCCCCTATCAGTCCTCAGATTCCGTCAACCCTCCCATCTGCTCTCGGCATAGTACAATCAACCATCACAATTGCATCCGACATCGTTGAAGTAATCAACGACATCCTGACCTCCAGCGACCTCAGCATTCTGACCACAGCAGAAGTTCCCATTGATACAGTAGCACCACCACTGCACATCTTCCTTCCCGCCACCCCGATCCGAGTTCCAGGAGTCGCAGTACGATCCCGATCCGATGAGACCCTTGCATTCCTCCGGAGGCGATAATCCATTGGAAAGCACGCGTGGGCAGATGATGTCAACGGCACCTGGCTGCGAGGGACAGGAAAGGATGTCGGAGTGTTCCTTGCCATCGCTACCTGCGCATCTGGAATTTGGAAGCCCGACGAGACCTCCAGTGAAGATGCATTGATCGGAAGGGCCACCGGCTGTTGATGTCTGGGCAATGCAGGCTATCAGGAGCGAAATGATATTCTTTGAGCTGACCATGTTTGGAGCGGCGTTTGGGTGGGTAATGGAATGAGGGGATGAAATCTCGATTGAATGTAGGTAGTCTTGATGAGAGGCGTCTGATTCGACTTGTGTGCTGCACCTGGAAGAGATGCTCCAACCTTTATGTATTCTGGATTGCGGGAGATTCGAGACTAAGGGGGAAGAGCTGGTCATGAAAAGTACGCGCTTGCTCAACGCCATGCGATCGAAACATGGATACGCCGTTTGACTACGGCAAAGCAGCAACGTATGATTTCCTGCAACCATAGCAAGCGAGCACTGCTTAGCCACTCATTCATGTCATCGACTGGGAGACCAAGGCGCGAAGGATCAGGAATCATGCATCAAATCTTCGGAGTCCTCAAGTTTGAGGCACAGCTACGGCGATTGTTGGCCAACTCGATCTTCGATCGACGAATGTGAATGTTCCCTACCGATGGAGGAGGGAAAGATGTCTCGATTCAGAAGGGCCTTGATCAACACCTATTGTTGTTCGTCCAGCCCAGCTTGGATTCCCCAGTCTACCATAATCTGGGCGAGCAAGACCTGTCGCGCGTGGAGGGAAGTGTTCACTCTCGCACATATGGCGACTTCTTTTTCACACGCATATCCAGTCGGCAAGGTTTCGAGGGATGATGTCGGAAGGATGTCGGGATGTGGACAAGCCTGTTGCCGTCCCGGGCTCCACTTTGCTGTACTCCTCATTTTTATGGAAGCAAAGCTCGATCGATCACGATGACGTCCGTTGATAACATCAATCGGGMATCGTCGCGGCACCGTAACCGTTCGCGACGGAAGTAAAGCCATTCTTGGAAAACCTCGGAAGCACTCATCTGTCAAGTCATTCACCTATCACGCTCGGAATCACGGCAGTGGCGCGGGCTTGGAGGGTCTTAAACGAGACCGCGGCGTGAACTTTAAAGGCTTGTTCAGGCTTGATGTGGACGTCCTTCGAAGGTACAACATCTACCTCGATCATAATTGGGCTAGGAAGGTGTGGCAAACTTTCTCAGCCTTCCACCCGCAAAGCGTCAAGCTGATGTGAGAAACTTTTACCTGAATGCAACCTCGAGGCAACCTGCCATGGCAAGTTTAGCGACATGCTGTGGACCCACATCGCCAGAAACACCAGTGTACAAAGTGGAGCAGATATCGTGGGGCCACCATGGGGTCCCTCAGTCCGCGAGTGACGTTCAAATGTTTGAGCTGGGCCCACTCGAAAAGATTGATTGCACTGGCTTGTTTCTCGCCTTGGAACATACTCAGCGAAGGACTTGGTCCCGCAATCTCCTGGTCAAATATTCTGTGGATCGAAGTGACTGTAAAAGGGTTTGCGAAAGAGGTGGAATCTTCCCGTCTGCGAATTGGTGATTGAGAAAGGAACGAATCTTCGTACGGTACCTTATTGGTCAAAGTCTCTCCACGGGGTGGACGGGCACTTGCCACGTGCAGTTCAAAGCACAGGTCGCGATCCAACTTCTCCATATCACAAGGCGTTACATCCGCAAGGATTTTCCCCGTGGCCGGCTCCACCACAGTTATTATCTTAACCTCCACACTTTCCCTCCCCATGCTCTTGCTGCTTCATTTTCTTTCCACAAGACAACGAAGTCGCCAACCTTCACACTGGACCTTGAGGCTGCAAGCAACATAGCCCAGTATGAAGAAATTTGGCAATGTCTATCTTAGTAAGCTTCAATTAACAATGTCCATCCGATGCATCCACTGACCATTTGACAGTTGCGGCGATTAGTATTATCGGTGAGACCTCAGCCAGTGGAGTAGGCCAAAGATAGCATGCTGACCATCGTCCATTTCATCAGGCGGCGGGCTCTTTGGTTTCGACATTTCTTCCATGTCGGCCATTATAGCTACGAAGCCATATCTTTGCTATTTCCACGAAGGCCCGGGCGAGTGCAAAGGACCTCGCAGCTCTACTCAAGGTGGAATCACTGCTTCGATGGCTGCTGGATCATGGCTTGCTTCTCTCATGTCTGGTTTCCTCGCCGATGGTCTTGGACGTAAAAGAGCAATCATGGTCGGGTCTGTCATTTGGGTAATCGGCTGTGGTACGTGTATCTGGAAGAGTTAATTCGGACATATTTGCTGATGGTCATGACTCTAGTCATCGTTTGTGCTGCTCAGAACATCCCTATGCTGATTGTTGGTCGTATCATCAACGGCTTCTGTGTGGGAATCTGTTCCGCACAAGTCCCCGTCTATATCAGCGAGATTGCTCCAMCTTCGAAGCGTGGTCGTCTTGTTGGAGCTCAGCAGTGGGCCATTACATGGGTAAGAAAGCATCTCAATGTGGAGAGTTCCCAATCTTGCTAACTTTCCGCAGGGCATCATGATCATGTTCTATATTTCTTACGCCTGCTCTTTCCTCGACGGAACCTCCGCTTTCCGTATCCCCTGGGCACTCCAGATGATTCCTGCTATCATCCTCTTCTTCGGAATGATGGTGCTTCCTGAGACACCCCGTTGGCTAGCTTCCAAAGACCGCTGGGAGGAGTGCGAGCAAGTACTCGTGCTAACACAAGGACATGGAGATCCCCACAGCCCCTGGGTAGCTCGTGAACTCCAGGAGATTCACGAGTGGGTCGAGATCGAACGTCAAAGTAAACAAGCTTCATATCTGGAACTCTTCAGCCCTCGATACATCAACAGGACTCACATCGGCCTATTCACTCAAATCTGGTCTCAACTGACTGGAATGAATGTGATGATGTACTACATCACCTACGTCTTCGCCATGGCGGATCTCACAGGCAACACGCTCCTGGTCTCTTCCTCGATCCAATACGTTATTAACGTTGTCATGACCGTCCCAGGTCTCCTCCTCGTTGATCGCGTAGGACGCCGTCCAATGCTTCTCACTGGATCCACTTTAATGGCCATTTGGCTCTTCACCAATGCAGGACTTTTAGCTGGATATGGTACGGATCCTGGTCCGGACGGTGTTGGTGGGATCAAGGAAGCTTCTGTGAGAGTAACCGGACCACCTTCTAAAGCTGTCATTGCTTGCAGCTACTTATTCGTTGCATCCTACGCTCCTACGTGGGGACCGGTCAGCTGGATCTATCCTCCGTAAGTTATCCCCAGAGCTGTCCATTTAGGGATTCCTTCAATGAGATCCTCCAGCCAGGTCTCTCGGTAATCTGGCGAGCGACTCTGCCGATGCGGTGGTTTCCATCACCCTTAGACACAGATGCTGTGTTGAAAGGTCATTCTATTACTCGAGACTAACAGAGATTTAGTGAACTCTTCCCCAACCACCTGCGAGGAAAAGCAAACGCCCTGGCAACAAGTGGAAACTGGGCCTTCAACTTTGCTCTGGGCTACTTTGTCCCTCCAGCTTTCGTGACCATCAAATGGAAAACGTACCTCGTCTTCGCCATCTTCTGCGTGACTATGAGTATGTCACTCCCAGATCCATACCCTGCAAAGAATCCTACTGATATAGTTCTTTCAACAGCCATCCACGTCTTCTTCATGTTCCCCGAAACAGCCGGAAAACCTCTAGAAGAAGTCACAGACATGTTTGAGGATCCCAAGGGGATCAAATATATTGGTACTCCAGCATGGAAGACGAAGAATTATACTAGTACTGCCAAGAAGCTAGAGAGGGGAGAGGGATTGGAGAAGAAGATGGATGATGAGACTTCTCCTGAGCGGGTGGAGCGTGTTGAAACAGGTGGTAAGATGGATGTGTAGAGATTTCCCACGTTCAATTCATAAATAAGTGATGGGATGAGAAACTCTGCCACCGCTGACAGGTAGCTATGAGTTCCAAATCTAACGGCCTTGCGAAGAGTTGAATGTTAGTGAAGGGCGCAAACCACACCACAACACAGCACCCATCAAGCATGTTATGCATTGTAGCTTGTGCTAGGCTGAGGAACGACTGCTTTGAGGAGAAGGAACTCCATACCTCAGCAGAGCGAGTGGACAAGATCATAGTCTCTTAATATGGTCTTTGCTTTGGCAATTGAGGGACCACCGCTCGACAATAGGCACTAGTATGGGGTGAATCCAATCGGGAAAAGTCGATGGTCTGTGTAAAGTCGCCTCCTTAATCGTGCCATCATGATTGCAGGAAAGAAATGATCTTAACATGCTGCAGGTAGGGCGGAATCTCGCCGGGCCTTGCTCTCTATCATTCGTTGTATACGTTAAGCGATTTGCTTGCATCACCACGGTAGTTGGATTCCAACCCACTCTTCATTTCCACCAGCCGCAGCCAGCCAGCGTTACACACATAAACGCCATCGCTATGCACATCATCATCTATGGTCTTGTGTCAAACTTCTGTCTCAACTCGCTGCTCATCTATTGCTGAGCACATTGTGCGGGCTGGCCTTCATCTTCTTCATCCTCCCACTCCGCACCCGCGGCTCTCGGATCATCCGAGTTGGCTCCAAATCCCTCCATGGTATCCAGAACTTCGAAATCATGCACCTCATCAATCGTTTCGGGAGTCTCGCCAGGTCCGAATTGAAGTTCTTGAGGCTTTGGTAGAACTGCCCGGACGCGATCGATCGCAGCTTGGTCTTTGAGGAAGCCGTCTTCGGGGAAGTTGATCTTAAGTGTGAGATAGAGATCGCCTCGGGAGTCAGATCGCTTGACGGGCATACCCTCGCCTGGGACTTTGAGAATCTCATTTGGACGCAGCACTTTTCCTTCGGGTTGTTGGACATTCAATTGGATGCCGCGTCCGTCGAGATGTCTTAGGACCACACGGTTGAAACCTGTGAGTGCCTCCGACAAGCTGATCTCCAATTCCGCCTGCAGATCTGCGCCTGCACGGGTGAAGGTCTTGTGTGTCTCCTCCACCAGTTCGAAGATGATGTCTCCAGGCTCCGAATCATCAGGGTCCTGATCCGCCTCACCTGCGAGCACAATATGCTCGCCCTCTCTACTGCCTCGTGGAACATACAACTCCAAGATCTTCTTCTGCTTGATCGTCCGCACGCCCTTGCACTTCTTGCACTTGTCCTTTTCAGCGTAGAAGCTTCCCCGTCCATCACACGTATTGCAAGGAACAGTCTGTTGCGTAACCATCCCCGGTCCCACAGGCTGTAACCTCGTAACCATACCTTGTCCCTTGCAAGTATCACAAGTCTTCGGCTTGACCTTTTCACTCTTCCCTCCAGACCCGGAGCAGTGCGTGCAAATGACGTTCTTCGTGCTGGCAAACTTGGTGGTCTTGCCCTTGTACAACTCCTCCAGCGTCACCTCATACTGTTGCATCTCGGGTCGTCCCTTGCCCCTCCTTCGCTTGGGTGGTCCACCCATGCCACCCATCCCGCCGAATCCACCGCCCATTCCCGGCATCCCGCCCATTCCGCCGCCGAACATTTGCGCGAGGATGTCGTCGAGATCCGGACCGCCGGGACCTCCCCCGCCGCCCTTTTCAAAGGCGGCCATGCCGTATTGGTCGTATGCTTCACGGGTTTCGTCATCACTGAGGATTTCATATGCCTGGGAAATTCCCTTGAATTTGACATCTGCCGCTTCCCGCTCTTCCGGAGCGACCTTGTCGGGATGTGAGGAGAGGGCGGCCTTGTGGTATGCTTTCTTGATCTCCGCCTTGGACGCGCTGCGTGGGACGTTTAGAACCTCGTAGAGGTCGACTTCTTCGGAAGCCATGTTGGCTGAGGATTTGAGGTAAAAGTTGGGGTATGATCGAAGTTCTCGTTCGTGGAAAAGATGGAGAGATTCGATGAGCGTTTCAGCGGAGTTGGAAAATGTTTGTCGGAAGCAAGTGAAGAAAGTGTTGCTTCCTTTCGATTGCTGGAAATTGTGGCGGCTGAACTACGGCAAGACCCTGGTTCCCGCCTTCCCGCAGCTTGGGGTTCGGTGCCGACATCCGCAATTCACTCACTCGCAAGATTGCACGTGCCTCCGACTCTCACTCATTTGACCGTATCTGGATTACTTCATAGCTTCACTCGCCGAACATCTCACGAAGCACCTCGCGAATGTCAAACGTGGGAATAGATCCAGAAGACCTGCTCCAGTAGCCGCCACTTGAGAGGGGAAGCCATACCACATCAGCTGCCCGGCTCTGCCTTTATCTCGCCCCAAAGAGTACCAACTGCACTCCTTTGCACACAGTCATCGCCGCGAGAGGACAAGCTTTCACTCAACTGCCCTGCACCATCTTTCATCCCTTGCTGATATCGTCATGCCCAGTCATGATCGCAAGCATGAACCTCTCTCCATGGCTTGCTGAGTTTGTACAGCCATGTCAACGGCGAAGAGTCGTCTGACATAGCAAGAAGACGAAGTTTTGGGAAGACACGTATGAAAATCACGTGATGAAAAGTCAAGAGTTGCAATCTTGTTTGACTACTCGCTCGTTAACTTGCAGCGCCAGGCCATTTCCAGTTCCATGTGGATTGTATGTGTCTCTAGGATAAGAGCCTGCCCAAAGGATCGACACTGTCGTTAACATTTCATTCGAATCTCTTCACAGACAAGCCCGACGCGGGATGTTCCACCCCCTCGAGCCTGCCGTTGTTGAGCTCAAATACAAACCCGTCAATACCGTTCACGTCCAAGATGTTGAAGTCCACCGACTCCCATCCCATACACCCATAATCAAACATTCCCTTTCCGCCTTGTATAAGCCCTCGAGGAAGAGCTAGAGCTGGTACCAAACTCGGGATTGCTCTGAACGAATGTAGCTCTCTCCTACAACCTTCCTCATCAAGTCCCTGCTCAACAAACCCCGTAGGATAAAGCCTCACACTAACATTCGCAGCCGGGAATCCTGTCAATACAAGGATGTATTCCAGCATATCAATTCCCTCAATGGAGAATGATTCTAGACCCATCCCAGGTCTATCTTCATCAACAGTAAGGGTAAGATTACTTCCCCCATCTTTAAAAGTTCCCTGGAAATTTTCCGCAGCGTTCTCCCAAGCAGCTTCCTCAGCAGCAGTAATCCAGGCTTCTGCAACGAGAGCTGGAAGCGTAAATCGATCGGCCGCAGAAGTCTCTCCAGCCAACAAGACCGAGAATCCAATATTGTGATCTGGGGAGAGAGCGAAGAAACTCGCGTAGCCGACTTGACCGCCGACTTTTGTGTAGAGGTCGGATATGCGGGTACGATTTGAATTGGGAGAGACTGGAAGGGGGRGACGGTTGATCTCCCAAGGAGCGCCGACGGAATTGCTGAGCGAGGCCGTATGAGAGCGCGGCTTCATCCACGAGCGAGTGTCGGAAGGAGAGAGAAGCTGGGAGTGAAGGATTGACAATCCGAGCGTACGTAGATCTTCGGCGTTGGAGTATATCCCCCCGGAACTGTTCAGCGGTTAGAGGTATTTTCGGAGATGTTGTTGAAAGTACAATACTCACGGCGCCGATATTTGAGTATCGAAGCCCCACGACGAGAGTGAAGCGTTACCTGGTACGATGAGCGCATTCAAAGAATCTCCCATGGGCTCCAGTGAAGATGTGCTATTGAGAGTGAGTGGTCCTGCGAGCACTTGTTGCAATGCTTCCGCGTAGGTCAGTCCCGTCATGCGCTCTAGGACCCGCCCCAAGATCCCGAATCCCGCATCGGAGTACAGAGCAGTTCGGAAAGGAGGTATGACTGGTATCTTTTGATCTCGCATGGTTTTAAGAAAGTCTGAGACACGGTCGTGGTCAGCATCCATATGGTCCACATGCTCGCTACGGCATACCCGGAATAGAGCAATCACTCTGCGATCCGTTGTAGCAGAGTGTCGACTCTATAGCTATTCAGAAGTACAAAATTAGCGAAAACATCTCAACACTCTGGACAAAAATTCTTACGAAAGCCTCCTGTTCCGGCCATCTGCGAGGCGAGTGCACCAACAGTAATGTCCTCCCAAATTAATTTTTCAAGAGGATTGGCTCCACGGTTCCCAGCCAGCTCTGGCACATATTCCGTGACTGGATGATCAAAGACTTCCAAGCCTCCAGCATGAGCCAAGATTGCATATGTAGTAAACAACTTCGATACACTCCCGATTCGATATATCGTTCCATCGTCCAGGAGATCAGCAGTCAAGCTTCCATTCAGTGCAGGTGCGGCGTGATGGTAGCTGTAGATCGATTGATTGTTTGTAGCTGAGAAGACATCGATGGAGAAGGAAGTATGAGTGCGGTTGAGGTTGCCAGAGCTGAAAGCAGACTCGATGATGTCGGGAAATGTCCCGAGCAATTTCTGAATGGCTTTGGAGTTGGCAAGGTCGAAGGTGTTGGGAAATGATGGGCCGAGGATGGGACAGTCTTCCGATGGGAGATATTGAGATTTGGTGTCGATGGCCAGGGAGAGGAAAGCGATCAATGCCGCAACAGAGAACAACATCTTTCGTTGGGCTGTTGAAATTTACCGAGGAGGGGATTCTTGCAAGCCGGGTAGTGAAGGCTCTGGCGTTAAGATGAATGATGAAGCATTATGTGCGAACCCGCTTTTTAATGTTTTGCAAATGCGAAGGAGCTGAACTATGACCACCCAGCCCCGATGCTATGAATGCCTGCCAAGCTTCTTCAACCTTCGCCCTAGTCCAAGAAGGGAGACATGCAGCGCCAGAACTGTAAATTGCGCGGCATTTGTCTACAACCGGGAGGTCCATGGAATGATCTTACAAAGCTACAGGTTGCAGGCTGAAGTGGTGACGCAGCCACATTATCCTCCTCTGTGCACGAGCTGAATATATTGTCACCCTCGAGGCGGCATTGCTCAACTACTCGTAGCGAGGTTAATCCTGCGACATTCTTCCTGTCGTTATGGAGAGCTGGTCACTTTTATTTCCCTGTCAATCGAGCCACCGAGAACCCACGCAGCTATCCTCTCGTACTGAGAAGTCAGCACAATCGAAAAAAGAATCCCACTCGATCAACGCAGACGACAGTGGAGGCGGTGTGGTAGTGGAGCCCCACGCCGTCATTCTCATCCGATCGAAAGCGTTGCTGAATAGACAGCGGGCATCAGTCAACGAGTGGGTGGCCCCATATGGCCAGCATATGGACCAAGCGGTATCAATCGACGGCCTCTGAGCGGGGTCTGTGACGGCAACCCACGTACTCGCCAGACATATGGTAATCCACCCCGACCCCAGAGGCCTCCAAACAGAGCCTTGAATACAGAGCTCAATGATCTGCTCGCATAGTTGACTCGACTTCTCGCTCAGGGATGCATTGTACGGATCGTAGACGTGCAGAAGGGCAACGAGGATAAGTTCGAATGAGAGATACAAGGCGTACGACTTCTGGTAGAGGGCGAATCCTCGAACGGTATCTGGCGTTTTGGCAGAGTGCATGGCGGCGATTGCTTGGTCGTATTTGTCTTCGACCAACTGCGTTGTCGTATGAAGGCTGTCGTAGGCATCTTGGACTTTGGGTTGTTGGGCTGGATCGTACTGTAAAAAGGCTGGTAGGTGGACGAGACAAGACAGAAATCCCATGCGCTGGACACGTTTTGGCCCGTGGAACTCTTCATCACTCTTGGATTCAGCGAGACCAGCTTGTTCTTTAGCGAGGACGAAAGATTTCAGCCATGGGTTGAGGTGCGCCTTTGAGTCATATATGCTTTCGTAGGCCTACAGGCCGTGTTAGCGATGACCGAAATTACCATTCCTACGTACCAACCACTTACCACTGGGCCTGCGATTGTGAGGAACAAAAGCTGTTCAAATTCGTCGGGATTTTCCTTGCTACATGACAGTACGTTAGTCTTAATCGAACCTCAAAGGACGCCAGGAAAACAGCAAGTATGTCGGAGGGGGAGTTTCATGAACCCATCGTCGGGGACCATTAATACGCACCTTACATTTGCAGCGGATAATATGCGTACTATGCCTGGGCCATGGCCAACCATATTGTCTGCTTCGCCAAACCAGCTCTATGACCTCATGAGAATGGAGATCAGCAAGTAAACGCCCATCACWCACCTGGCAAATCCATATCAGGAATATAGCACAAAGGGTCTCTGGAGTGTAGACAAAGGCAGGATCCGCCAAGGATAGCCGGAGAGCCTTGACAGCCTGACCAAACTTGGAATATGTCTCATTTGACATTCGACCGACGCTCAGCCCAGACATCGCCGATGAAAGCGCAGCAGCAGAGGCATCCAAGGCTGCATTTGTACCCAGCCTTTTTGGAATCTCGTTGAGAATTTCACCATACGACCAACACAGATCATATCTCAAATCCTTGACGTCAAGTCTGTGAGTAAAGTCTGCGATTGCAATCGTACAGTCGTTGCTGGGGCTCCGCGAGACTGATGACCGAATGCTGAGAGAAGTAGTGGAGTGAGAGCTGCTGCCGGAGCCTGCGGCTTCTACAAACTTAAATCGCTGCACACCGGATCCTACGCATGGGATCTGTAGGCGACGACATCGCGAACAAGCCGGCTTCGCCTGGTCGCACTTTGGACTTGTCAGATTCTCCATTCCGCGTGGTGAATGTGGGCTTAATGCTTTACCTTTTTCTTCTGTTTGGAACAAGCAACACACCCCTTACATGAGGGGACGCCGGGCATGGCAGTGTAAGGTAGTCCAGTTCAACTCATGACTTGAATACTGCCTGTTGTGAGATCAGCCGCCGCTTACAGAAGAGATGTCTCTATGATTGCCAAGGGTGAGGCTGAGTTCCTCGGAAGGATGCTGTGCTACAGACAGCACTAGAGGGTCGGGCCGAATGAACTAGCGCGAAGCTGAGGGCAAAATGGCAGTGCCTCTCCCGCGTTCAAAATACGCATTTTCCATCACCCCCAATTCCGTGGTCCAGGGTGTGATATAGAACGGAGCAGTCTTGTTCGGTACCAGCTGCATGGGACGTTGAAAGCCAGCGCTGCCTGAATGACGATCAATTCTCCGAGTGCTGATCGCTTTGCTGTATGTCACCCCACTCGTCATTCATTACATTCCTTTTGAGACTCATCGTAAGCTTGGGCTGCTCAAGACTGGACGACACTGATCGATCCGAATGCGGTAACTCACCTCCAATCTTTGAGAATGCGGCCGATGCCGATTATCAAGCTTACAGCAAGCCGCGACCTTTCCAGATCTCAATGAGCTCTCTCCGAAATGCTTGAGCGACAGCGAATGATCGCTCAACTTGAGAAATCAAGCCGAGGACATTTTGACACTGCGCAGTGGTATCGCATCTATTGCCAGCAATGCGAAGAGGTACTAACAGTAGTACTGGCGACTCACGAGCTTGCTTCAATGCTCGATCGCAGAGATGAACGATCTTTTCTCGATAGACTGCGATCTCTTGAGAGTGTAGCATAGGAGCTCCTGTGGGCTGACTAGTCGATACACCATGGTCGAAGATTCCAGAGAGATAGATCATTATCGCATATCCGTAAGACTGCGCCGTTGTTTGTTCCTCGAGATCGATCGGGTTTTGGAATGATGAGATAAAGGTTGCAACCTCAGACTGTAGGTGGATGCCCCGCAGTTGGAAGATGTTCATCTCCAATGTCAAAGTCATGTCCCGTGGTAGGCCTTTGGAGCTATCGTGTTTCTCGGTTTCCGGATCTTCTCCACGACTTTCTTGAAAGTCTGCAAAGCTCTGTTGAAGCCCTACACATTGCAAGAACAAATCGAATGCAACCTCAAGCAAGCTCCAGTCACCAGCATTAGCACGGCACAATTGATCGTGCATCATCCACTCAGAGTCCATTAGCAGCGTCGTGTGAGAGAACAAAGCCGCTCGACTGATCTCGAAAAGTCGAAGTTCCCGATAGATTGCAAGGGCGCCTTCGCTACGGACGAGAGATGGGCCACAAGCTCGCAAGATGACGGACGTACCGAATCCCATATGTGAATCCCATCCTACACCAGTGTCATCGTACATGAGCTGTCTTGGATGTTAGTAAGAAGGGACCGTAATGATTCGGGAATACAGCCAGGTACCTCAAACATGCTGAGCAGAAACGCGACGGATAGAATTGAGATGGGATCCCATTGGTACCGACTTTTGTCGATCTGGCTCTGGAGGAAGCGGACCCCGTCTTGGTACGACCGTAGAGCGGTTACCAGTAGTCTGGCAGAATGAGAAACATTATGGCGTTGCTTGTAGAGGACTAAAGCCCCCAGTGCAGCCAAGGCAGCAAAGTGTCCACTGCATCGATTGATGTTTGCCAAAAGACACAAGTGCCAATTTGCAGCAGTTCCAGTGAATTGGTTCCGTACTAGGAACACTTCGAAGAACTGCTGAAAGAAAGTTGCCTCCTTGATTGGGCCTGCAGCACTCGGAGTTCGAGGTTGCAGTGATGAAGCAGTATTGTGACGCCACGCAGCATCGGAGATGACACTTTGTCCAGATTGAGAATAATCGCATATCAAGGAGTCCCGGCGACACCTCAGACATGGGATTGTTTTCGAGCACTGTACGACTTGTCAGGCTATGCTCTTCCTTGCCATCAAGATGGATGTTGAGACGGCAGTTGACCTTGAGATGTTTCGTAGCGCAATTGGAGCACCTAGAGCGCTGTAGCCTCTTATCATTAGGACCTAGTAGCATTGAGAATCGAGTGCGAAAAGTTGAACTTCATCTCCTGACATTGATTCTCGCCTCCAAGAAAATTTCCTCCGAAGCGAGTCGGAAGGTTGGTAGTACTGTCCCACGCGACGCAAATGATACGTGGGCGAGGCAAGACGTCCGATGACGCGAGTTCAATGGCCACTTCTCGTCGAGCTTGGTTCGAGCGATTGCGGCTGAGAGCTGAAGAGTCTTTAGACTACGCGAGGCTGGAAGGAGTCAACAGAAGCTAAGTCAAATCAGGCAGTAACCTCGCGGCGCTAGTTTGTGCGCCTTGGCGCTGCCAGGGGTAAGTAGTCGAAGCCGAAGAGTGACCAGCTTGAAGGACGAGTCGTAGTGTTGAGCTTTACCCAACGTGGAAGCCATCTCGCGGTGCTAGGAAGAGACAGAACGAATATGGCCCACTTGGATGCTACCGTGCCCAAAGATATCGAATCCTTTCTTGCAAGGCCTACGTATTGCAGAGGTCATTGTGTCTGTCGAAGAGATATATTAACTGCGCGTGCTTCCTGTATTGTCATGATCATCAGCATACTACGAACGACTTTGATCCGACACTCCCAGCAAAGACTCCGAAATCAACCCCCACTCCCTTGACAACTTCACCCCCTCGATTCCAAACATGCTACTGCGTTCATCGATACTAGGTCTTTTCGTAGCCCTAGCTGCCGGAGATGCTATCATACCCCATGCAGTTGGACAGTACGGTGTAGCAACGTCTCAAGCGTTGCTCGTCGATCACTCACGCAAGGATCCTTACGCCGCGGAAGCAGGCTTGGATAAGGACCGCGAGCTCATGGTCTCCGCCTTCTACCCGACAAGTCTCTACAAGGACTGTGTCAAGTACAGGTCACCATACATGCCATCAGTCTCTGCAGAATTTTACGACACCACCTACGGGGCCCTTGGGATCCCGAACGGCACTTTCGCATCTTTGACCATGGAGCACTGCCGTCAAACGAACCGTGGATCTATCGCGGGGAAAACATTCCCCATTGCTCTGTTCTCTCCAGGAGCTGGCAATTCACGGCTGATATACAGCGCAATGGCGCAGTCGATCGCCAGTGAAGGCTTTGTCGTTATTGCAATCGACCATCCCTACGATGCGGATATCGTGGAGTTCCCAGACGGGTCAACCATACTTGCGGCCAACATGACCACCGATGAAGATTTCGCACATTCAGTCGATGTTCGCGCCCAAGATGTGAGCTCTGTGCTTGACCATCTCGAATCTGAAAGCAAGTGGGTATCGCAACTTCTCCCGGGTATCTCTTGTAACCTCAACACCTCGGAGCCTGTTGTAATGTTCGGCCACTCACTGGGCGGCGCGACAGCCGTTGCAGCAGCAATAGCGGACTCGAGATTGACTGCTGCGATCAACCTAGATGGGTCGATGTTCGGCCGTGCATTGTCAGAAGGATCCAAGGTACCCATGCTGCTGGTTGCTCATGATGGCAAGAACATCACCACGGACCCCAGCTGGGATGCGACCTGGAAAGCGACCAAGCACACGCCGAAGCTCGCTGTGCAAATCTTGACCACTGAGCACGGAAGCTTCACCGACTTCCCAATGATTCTCGATGTGGTCGAGGGCGTACCGCAATCATTACGCGATCAGCTTGTTCCTTTTGTTGGTGCTTTGCCTGGACTGGTAGGAAGGGGGATTGTAAGCAAGCTTGTGGGGCAGTTTTTCGAATTCGCCCTCGGCCAGTCCAAGTCTGCTCTGCCTAGCTTGAGCCGCAATGACTCGGATTTGGTAGAGGTGCTGGGTAAACATGTGAAGATCTGATCTGTCTCCGTTCTGAGATACGGAGCTGTCAATTTGAGTCGCCCGCGTTCTCTTCAGGCTGTGTACGTCCAGTGGAGGGAGGTGTTCCATGAACATGTAGTTAGCGATAGACATTGCCTTGGGRAAGAAACCTCAAGATTTCGTTGCACCAAGAGTATGTGCAATCAAACATTGCCGCCCTACCTATAGCAATCCAATATGTTGTACTTTCGATAACATCGAGGACACGGTTAGGAGGATTTCACGTGGTAGAAATTTGACTATCCGCACGACTGCTACCGTTTGTGATTGTAGCTACCTTTCGCGAGCTTTGGCGTCGATACAGTATAAGTAGAGCCGTCGACCTTCAATTTAGCGGCCATTGCACGGAAAGGGAATCAAGCGTCCAGGTGAGGAGCATGTCAGGCCAGATCTGTGGCAGCGGCGTTCCCGAGCAAGTCAGATAGTCCGGTTGTCCTCGTTGTGTCCCTAGTCGCGCCAATGACATCCTCCTTGATGGTTGGTCTGTGGCCGCAGTCTCCCACTCCACGATTGCTGGGAGTGTCAGTGGGGAAGCGAAAACGCCATTGCCGGCTTTCTTGGTGGCGACTCGACGACCGTGCCCTCGAACAGGCAGCCAGAAGCATGAAAAGAAGCAGGATTGGAAAGATTCGACTGTCTTCGCACGTGAAATCTTCTCAATCGTGTTGTTGTTATTACAGAAGGTCAATCCTTCCATGACAGCTCCACCGATTTCACCGGGCCTTGCCAAGATGAGCTGGTCCAAGCGCTCGGTGTTTAGCCTAACCTGGCACGCTAGTCTGACGACACGCGAAAGTTAACACACCCGCGTGCTCTTCAATCATTGGGTTCCCTTTCCATCAGATACACCAAAAATGATAGCCTCGACTCGCTTCAGACCATTGGTCAATCCGACCAGTCATTGGATATGCAGCTCATGCCGACATGCAGCTGGATTGTCTCAACGCTCCTTTTCCCAATCCATTTCTGGGAAGCAACCTAGGCCCAATATCCAAATCCTCCAATCGAGAATCCAAAGGAGACGAAATGCAACCATAATCAGAGAAAATGCCACAGGTGATCCAAAAAGCACGAAGAATGTTCGATCAGGCTCAAATCTTCCCGACTATCCCGCCCGGACACGTTTTGCACCATCTCCGACCGGATACATGCACATCGGCGGCCTGAGAACAGCACTCTTCAGCTATCTCCTAGCCAAAAAGACGGGAGGACAGTTCCTCCTGCGGATTGAAGACACGGATGCAAAACGCTTCGTCAAAGATGCCGAGCAGAGACTCTGCGACGATCTTCGATGGGCGGGTCTTGAATGGGATGAAGGTCCACAGATCGGTGGTGCTTTCGGACCTTATAAACAATCACAGCGCAATCATATTTATCAGGAGTATGCCAAACAGCTTGTCGACTCTGGATCTGCTTATCGCTGTTTCTGTGCTTCCACGAATCAGAATGTTGGAAATGTTGCGTATTCCACCGGAGGATGCCATCAAAGTTGCTCGTCGCTTCCATCTGCGCAAGCGGAAGAACGGGCGGTAGACGGGAAAGAGGCATTCACAGTCCGCCTTCGTCCACCTCCCGCCAGTGCAAAACGAGTCTTTCCCGACTTGGTGTATGGCAAAGTTCAGCGATTGAAGCGCTCACCAAGCGGAGCTCGATCCGAGGATGGAAATGGCGATGTCATGGACGCCTCAGATCCCGTCCTTGTCAAGAGTGATGGTATTCCAACATATCACTTCGCCAATGTTGTTGATGATCACCTCATGAAGATCACCCACGTCATCCGTGGCTCGGAGTGGCTGGCCAGTCTGCCATTGCATTATGACCTCTACAATGCTTTCGGATGGGAACCTCCACTCTTCGCCCACGTGGGATTGCTGGTGGATCAAGATGGCGCGAAGCTTTCCAAGCGAAGCAATAATGCCTTTTCTCTCGACATCCCCACGCTTCGACGAGAACAAGGCATCCTTCCTGAAGCACTCCGCAATTACCTCGCACTTCTAGGATGGTCCAATCCCCAAAGAGAAGACCTGATGGATCTCTCAGAGTTGATTGAAAACTTTGACCTCAAATTTGTCAAGGGCAACGCAGTTGTAACGCCCAACAAATTGTGGTATCTTCAAAAAGGCCATGTGTTTCGCCGTTGCAAGACGGTCCAAGAAAATGGCACTTTGGAACCCATCCAACCGATTGTGGAATCCATCGAAAAGGAACTCCTCTCCCTCTACTCCGCCTCGGATATCTACACCCGCGACCTGCCACTCCAATCCTACATCGCCCAAGTTCTCCTCATAGACGCAAAGGACTACATCACAGCACCCCAATTCGTCGCCCGAAACCAGCACTTCTTCCACTTTGATCACTCACAAGTACCCACGACAACAACAACAACAACAGTGATGCCAGAAGACATCACGCTGATAAACAAAGAATCTCCTCAACAACTCCTCTCCAGATTCCTCTCAGGCTGTGATTTGCAGCAATCTTTCCAAGCAACAACTTCTGCTCAAATCATCCCCAAAACACCCGAAGGTTCACACGCTATAATGGACGCTCTAGCGAAAGATATATTCGCCGCTCTGCAAAATACAATCTACCGTTCCATGCTCACTCAAAACCACCCCTCACCAGAAATAGGCGAGCGAGTGATGATCGGTCTCAGATTTCTCGAGCAAAAGAGAGCTTCTCCCGCACAACTCGCCGCGTACGTAGCAGGACAATTGGGAAATGGCATCACCCCCGACGAAGTTTTGTCGCAGCAGAAGAGCTGTTTGAAAGTTTTGATGAAAGTTCTGAGGACGAAGTTGTGTTATGGCTTGCCGGGACCGAGTATGGGGCATGTTATGGCTGTTTTGGGGTGGGAGGAATGTTGTCGACGGATGGGAGTGGATGGAAGTGAGGCGAAGGGATGAGGTTGGTAGGATGTGTAGGAATAGTGTTGAATAGATGTAACACAACTAATTCTTTGAGACTCACTCGTGGGAGGCAAACAGTGTAGATTGGCACGAAGTTGTACACCCCCAATCTCATACATATACATACAAACTCTCTGCCCATCTATCTGAACCTCTCCTCTTTCAGTCTTTGATAAGGTAGCGGCTCGATTCTCTTCCTCTTGAACTCGACATCCCATCCAGGGACTCCTGCTCTCTTCATCACACCCCTCGTACCCTCATCCCACTCCGTCCTGAACAGGTCTACACCCACAGGCTTCAATCTCAGGGCCAGCACAAGACTTCTCAGAGTAAATCCTTCTCTCTGAGCATACTTTCCACCTCTCGCTTCCTTGACATCTTGCACCTTCAATTCCACGCTCGGTGCGACATCTCCACTCCCCACAGCAACCTCCTCAGCAGCGGGCTGCTCCAAGACAAAGATGCTCATTCTCTGATATGGTGCACCCTTTTGAGAGAACGCTGGGAGCCAAGGATGAATGACCTGGCTTTCCGTGCTCAACTTGTCAAATTTGACAAGCGCTCCATCGGGAGAGATTGGGATATTGACAGCCAAGAAATGACATCTGTAGGAGAAGTCATCATTCTGCACGTCTGGAACATCGGGGTTCATGACCGCAATGGTGACCAGTTTCTCTCCCTTTTGGTACGGCTGGATCTTCAAAACCGGCGGCATTTCCGAAATTTTGGACTCGACAATCTCGCCGTGAGGGATGTTCCTCCGCTTGTGGGGCGTTGCCTTGATCGGGAAGGACAATGCCGTGGATACCACCGGGTCGATGGCGGGGAGGAGGTCTGGAACGACATTCATCTGATGGATTCTCTGCAGCAAAATCTCCCTCGCATAGCTCCTCCACTTCTTATCCGCCAGATGACGATAAATCGGCTTGTTCATATCGCCCAGTCCGTCTTCAAATCTCTTCTTCACGAGCGGATCATTGATGTCGGCCGCAATCTTTACTCTTTCCAATCGCTGTCGCATATCCCGTAGTGTCTTGTCCCGCTTCGCGGCCTGGACTTCATCGACAATGACTTTATTTCTGAGAACTTCCATCCGTTGCTGTTGAGTGCGGATCTCGGCCAGTTTGACTTCGCGGTCGGCGGCGAGAAATTGACGAGCTTCTTGGAAACATTGGTAGGGGAGTTGGGTGAAGGGGATGGAGGAGGTGCTGGACAGGGCGGCGCGGCGTCGACGGGATCCAATGGGGAGTTGCTTCTGCTGACGGAGGAGACGGCGTTCGGTGCGCGGGGTGGAGACCTTGAGGGGATCCAGCGTTCTCTTTGCTTTGGGAGGAGGTGCAGTGGCATTGGTCGTGCTTTCCGTCTGCTCGACTTCGGCGCGGGTAGTGGCGGTGGCGGAGAAGGAGCGGAAGGGGAGGATTATCCGCTCATGTCGCTTACATCTCAGGCCTTGTGCCAGCGGCCGGGCGCCGCGTTCCAGCGCCATCATTTCTGGTGATGTCGAGATGGAATTGTGAAGCTGCCGGCGAGAATGCCCTGATCAAGGATCTCGGCTCGGCTTGCCGAGTTTAGCGTGGAATTCCACGAGACATGCATAAACAACGACTTCACTTTGCGGACTCCCGAGACGCTGATAATTCATCCACGTTTCTTCACCCAGAGATTGTTGATATCGGGCGGGAAAGATGTTGCACATTCCGCTCAACACGCAAGGTTGAGGTTGACCGTAAGACGTAAAACGCCTGTTGCGGAGAGCACGCGCTCTCCCAACCGTGTCCCCATTTGAAACCACGCGAACAGAAAGCATCACCTGAGTTGCTCTCCAAAACGAAGGACACCGTCTTACCGAACCACCCCAATTCATCTACTTAAACGCGCCCTGGGCGGGTGCTGAAGAACACGCAGCTAACAATCGACCAGGGCAAACTCCGCATTGATGATGATTGAAATTTGAGAATTTTTGTCGATTTTACAAGTCCGTCTACTGAATGCTACCCCACCGTGATAATAAACACTCGTAATCTCCCCAATTCCACTGCAATCCCAAGACAATACTCCCATCATCATTGCTCCAAAGCTCGCATACCCGCCTGCACTCCATCTGCGTCGGTTTGGAATGGAGTGAAGGGACGAAAGTCAAGCGATCTCATTCTCCGCCAATCACGACGGTCACCGTCATAGACCGCAGTCCATGGTCGTCCAGGGACTTCGAAGAATCCTGCGTCTTCAGGAGGCAGCATCAATGGGTAGTTCTCGATCACCGCTTGCTCTGCTGCGGTCCGATTGTCGCCAGACTTGCTCAGGGCCCGGTCGAGACTGAGGAGGCTCTCCGGCGTCGGCGCACTGTTTGGATCCCACAACAGTTTCGTCACTTCCTCGGTGGCGTGGTTGACGACGAAACCATGTGCGAGGTCCTCAGTCCTGGAGGGAAGCTCAAAGTGCTCGCGGAGTGCCTCGATGGTGGCTGCACCGGTGCCTTCAACTTCCTCACCATTGTCTGGGTGAGCAACCGTCATTCTGGGACAGACAATCACCACACTGTTCTTCATCTCCTGCTTCTCAGCTTCTGACTTGTTGTGGAAAGGGCTCGGCAGCGCCTGTTGGAGCTCTGCAGCGATGTGGGCTTTGAGCAGGCTGCGTTGGCGCTCGCTCTTGGGAATCCACTCGAGATCCGCGTAATAGGACCGAGTGTGTCCGTCGATGTGAGCCGCGAAGCAGCGCTTGTCGTCGAGTCGGACATAGACGCAGACACAGGTCCAGCAGCTGTGAGTTCCGATGTGGTCTACTTCAACACCGTTGTGGTTGTAGAAAGGGAGTGTGAAGATGCCGCCTTGTCCTTGGTTGAGGTGGAAGTATGGCGTGAGGGGTTCCTCATGCGTCGCGGTTGTGCTGTCCGCTGCATTTGCGGCACCGTCGTCGTTCATGCCGGCGGCGGGGAGCATGTTGAACTCAGCCATGGGCGTGTGATGGTGTCGGCCAATCTGCGCTTTGTTAGTGCTTGGACTTTTTTCACGCTGTGGTGCGTGTTGTGATGTTGATGAAGAAAAGTGGTGGCTGTCGAGAAATCGTTTTGCGACAAGGGCTGGAAATTTTTACTATTGTCGAGTCATGCGGGTAAGGAAGAGTGAATGGATGGTAATCTCAATCGGTTTCATTCACTTGATAGAATGCATAACTTACTTCCGCAGGCAGACACTCATCATTCAACACCATAGCACCATCGCTTTCAATGTGGACATGCCCCAAAAATTGCCTTGTTAGGTATCTGACATGCTGCTCTGGTATTGGGAAGGGCTTCGATGCTTTTTGAGTTTGGTGCTGCGTTGAGAGGCAACGCCAGATCCAACATCGTTGAGGCGAACACATCTCGCGGAGAACCATCATTTGCCTCAAACCGCTTCCAACTGGAGATCAAGGAAGAGCTGGAACAACGCCAGGTCGCTGTTGGAACAGACTCAACATGGGCGTGAAGAGCTTCCTGTCTGGCTCCTCGCCGGCGRTCTGTTTCCACGCCGTTTCTTCTAATGTCTTCCAAGAAACCCATTCCCAGCCCTCGCATTTCTCAGGCTCCATCAGTTGCGGTTCGGCTTTGTCGTCATCCCTGGCTGCAACCATGAACATGGTAATGTAGTGCTTTCGATCAGCTACCATGATATCGTTTGTTGCAGTGAGAAACCGGGCCGGACTGCCATCAGTATTGCTGAGAAGTTTAAGACCGGTCTCCTCGAGGACTTCTCGCGCTGCACATTCTTCAACAGCTTCGCCCCATTCGAGGTGGCCTCCAGGCAAAGCCCAAGTCTCTGAACCGTGGGAGTTGAGACGCTTTCCCATGAGGAAGTGAGGGTTGATGGCATCTTCTTTTGTGGATTTGAGTACGAAAACACCAACACCAACGCGTACGACAGGATCAGAAGATGTCATATTGGAGACAGAGTAGATGTTTGTGTAGGAAGGAGAGATGGGTCTCTGCGGCTGAAGTTCGATACCGTAATGATGCGTGAGATCCGAAGACGGTCCGAACTCCGCGCAGTACTCAGCCTCTTTCTTGCTGTGTTGCTGTTTGACTTTCTCCTTCTCTTTCTTCCTCACCTGACCTGGTTGTACGTCAGACAGAGGGCGAAGACTCATGTCCTCGTCGGGGAGAATCTCAAGTCCAAGCCAAGCCCACTTCAGAGCACCTCTAGCCGATATATCGATGAGGACGTGAAAAGACCACTGCTTGAGTGCTGGTATGATTGCACGATTTGAATCGTGTGGATCGCACTCTCATCTGCACATTGGGACCGTCTGTTGATTGTAAGCATATCATACTGACCTCTCCCTCAGCTCTTCCCGGCCTTTCAGCTGCTGAGGGCGGACTTCGGCGAAGATAGGGCAAGACTCTTAACATTATTGGCATCGTCTTGAATTCAAACGCCAACATCATCTGCACACCAACAATAATAACCTCTCGCTTCCACAGTATCATCAAGATGTCATCGCCAGGTAAAGCCTCGGTTCTGCTAATCGGGAGCGGCGGCGTCGGTACCATGGCCGCATATGCTTTGGAGACTGGTGGCCGAGCTGAAGTCACCGCCGTGTGTCGCTCCAATTATGATGCCGTCAAGACCGCTGGATTCTGCATCGATTCTCTAGATCATGGTCAAGGTATTAAAGGCTTCAAACCAACGCATATCCTCAGTCATGTGCCAAATGTCCAACAAAGTGGATCTCAGTACGATTTCCTGGTGGTGACCACGAAGAATATTCCAGATGTGAAGCCGACTGTCTTGGATATCATCGAGAAAGCCGTCACTCCGGGCGTGACAGCGATTGTTCTGCTACAGAATGGACTGAACATTGAGAAGCCCATTGTGGAGCGTTTCCCAGAAAACGTGGTACTCTCTGGTGTATCTTTGATCGGAGCGACAGAGTTCAAGCTGGGCTCAATCAGACACGATGACCGCGATAGAGGGAAGCTGGGTCCCTTTCCTGGACAGCAAGTCGATGCACAGCTTGCGGAAGCCAGAGGCAAGGAGTTTGTCGAAATGTATACTGCATGCGGAAAAGTCGATTGGGCGTATGATGAGGATGTAAACTTCACTCGATGGCGGAAGTTGGTCTACAACTCGACATTCAACCCAGTCTCGGCAATCTTGGGGATGGATACTGCGAGAATGCGCATGTCAAGATCCATTATTGATGACCTCGTCAAGCCAGCAATGCTGGAAATTGTGGCCATTGCAAAAGCAGCTGGCGTGGATTTACAAGACAGTGTCGTTCAAGAAATCATTACTGTAGATCCTACAGACACAGCTTTCATGCCCAGCATGGGTCAGGATGCCGCCAAGGGTAACTTTATCGAAAGCGAGACTATCGTGGGCGAGCCTCTTCGGGAAGCCGAGCGATTGGGCGTGCCTGCGCCGACTTTACGAACAATCTATGGATTTCTCAGAGGCATTCAGCTGAAAGCGAAAGAATCGAGAGGACTTTGGGAGCCGAAGTTTGAACCTGACAATCCATACGCCTGAGCAGGCGCGAGAATGGAGAATGTGGGAGTGAAGGCTGGAATGAGACAAGTCTTTTGGCATAAGAACTTTCGGCAAGTTTGGCATACGTCGCCGTATTCTTTGTTAAGAGAAAACGAGAACAATGCTGATGGGGAGCAGTCTAGGGGGCTCAGAAGTGGGGACTCTGCCGCGGATAGTCTGTCCTCAGAGGTTCACTCAAGCTAGTAGTATTGTGAACTAGTCGACAGAATGTGTGAAAGACGAGGGAGATAATTACGGCATGTGTTTGTAGCATCGCTAAGCCGACCATCGAGCAGCAGCAAATCCGAACAACACATTCAAGTGCACACCCACCTATTTGCGCTCCATGTGGAAGAGCTACTGCTTGGGTTTTCGAGAGGTATTTCCAGAAGTTTGAGAGGCCAGACGAACAGAGCGTACCGAGGATCGCACTCCTGGGCGTTCCTGTCATGTGGAATATCGCTGATCATATGTCTCTCTATTTTAGGTGCTCTACTGCAAGGTCTGTGAGCGGTTTGATTGCCAGCACTGACGCCTAGGGAAAGAAGGAATGGAATCTTTCTAAGCTGTGTTTGTTGACTGGGGGAATCAGAACAATCATAGACACATCCCTGGCTACGAGACCACAACTTGGAAGATCAAGGGACGACCGAAGATAGAAGCAAGCCACTACAAAGGCTGGTCTCAAATGGTCTATCAAGACCAAAAATCCTTGTAGTTAAGGCGATTGCTGTGTCCGACACTATGGGATCGCTTGCGGTACCGGATATCAAGCCATCTGACTGGAAGCTTCATCACTCTTCAAAAGCAGAATGTAACTCGAAGTGTGGGAAGCATGTCTCTAGCCTTCCAGTGACCTTTGATCTCCGAAACACATGCTGAGCATCCCTTCCAGATTCCAAGTAGCCACGAATGTCGAGAATGCCTACCAAGCATTTGCATTGGATGAACGGCGATAGGCTTCTGTCCCAACGATATGGGAGTCACCACGCGAGAAGACTCATCCACCTTTCAAAGACTTTAAGACAATGCTGGCTATCAAGATTCGAGCGGCAGCGATCTGACGTTGGCGTGGATCATGACCCAGCTGTCTTGCACGTTCTGAATTTTACCCCGTTCTACGATACTCGAGAAGATCCGGTGCCAGCAGAGGTACGAAGGTATGGTATGGGCGTGATCAATCAAGACAGGTCCGCAAACCAGGCGAATATCATCTTACCGATCCGAATACCGAAGAGCCCTACCCCAAGTTTTGAAGAAGACCTGCGAGTTCATGCATCAATCTGTGCGGAATCGAATAGGGAGTAAGGGATGGGGTTTGACTAGCAGCGCCGTAGAATTCGTTGGCGGTGGAGTATACACGTTGGCTGCGTTGGGTGGTGGGGACTACTACCCGGCTGGAGCTGAAGTACCTGGCTTGGAAGACGATACAAAATGGTCCAACGCGGCGAAATCTTACGGCATACATTGTCGAAGATCGCATAGAACAGGACAGTGACGATTGGTTGTTGGCGGAAAGTTACGATGAAGGCGTGGAAGAGTTCTTGAGCGGCCGAGTGGAATGGCTTTCAAGGATTGGTCGCATTTCCATCAGCTTGAGGAGCATCCTTCATCAGCCTAAAGTTGAGGGACGGGGAAATGACTTTTGCCGGTCTCACACAGCAAATCGATGGCCAGCGTGCTCGCAATCAGCTTGCTGGGAACTTGATAGCGGCACCACATCTGCGACTACGATGTTGCTTGGCTTCAGCTCTTGCCTCGACGTTGTTCAGATTCATGGGGTACGACAACGTCTTTGGTTGTGGTACACATGACGGCATCCTTGAAACGTGGCCGCGTGTTGGTGGTACCTTTAACAAGCACTCACAATGAGCCATTCTTTGGAGCGACATTCTCGATCTGAGTACCTACATGGTGAAGCCAAGCAAGGCTCCGAGGAATGGATACGAGGCGTAAGTACGAGGCGTCCAAGTACCGTTCTGTACCGCTCTTTTGCGGCGCTTTTTCCTGTCATGTCAGGCTGTGCTGTGCTGTGGCGTCGGGTGATGTTTGATGTGTTCTAGCATTCTTCTTCCTGCTGAACGCATCATCGACCCGAACATTCCACACTTGCGAGCTGACTCGTCGGACGTGGTCGCAAAGTTGTGTCGATGTTGCGGGTTGTGACGAGGGATGGACATGGTCGAGTCTTGACGGATAAGTTAAGGCATAATCCAACGTGCCTCGGCCGTGGCATGTTCAACATCGTCGCGGGAAAGAATTCCTTCACAAAGACATCCCGACGGTGTCACTTCTTACGAAAAGCAAAGACCGCATCAAGTCCATGCTAGTTACGGCCAAGATGCGAACAACCACGCTCGGCAGGTGACTACCTTGTGCATGGCGGAGCTGCAGCCTGAACAACGAACGCCAACCAACACGGAAGTGGTTCCGTGAGCGCATTGACCCGATTTGTGTTCCGCCACACACCACCTGTACGCACGACTCGGTGGAGGAACGATTCCAGGGCAAACTCATCTCGATCGCGTGCCGCCGACTCCGCAGGCCAATTGGGTTCTCGGATTGATGAGATTCCCGGTCTATCAAAACCCAAAATCTCTCCTGGGACTAGCACACGGCACGTCTGACATGTTTGAGTTCAGTTAAACTGCGCAAAACAAGAAATCGGCAAGAGGCGCAGGATGTGGGAAGTCTGTGGACTCCGATGGAGCGATCTCAATGTTACATCACTGGGGTCTGGCAAGTCAAGGAGAGGTACATCTCTACTTTGATGCGTGTCGTTGCTGCTTTATCCACGCCCTTTCGCTTACAGACGACTTGCAACGAACCAGGAAAGACCATCATCCCAAGGAATACCGCCCAGAGTCCGCCAACATGTTGCATGGACATCATGTACGTACCTGCAATGACTCGTCACCACGGGACAGACAGGAGGAGGTGGACGACGGGATGTAACTGATCAATACTCCAGCTACCCTTCAAGGGTGCAGCATGGCCCCTACCATTCACCAAGGCATCCGATTACAAGAGACGAGACATTGACGACGAAAAGGACTGGATCATGCGTGAGTAACTTGAAGAACAAAAGGGGTGCTTTCAACATCATGCTAACTCTTCGTTTCTAGGTATTCCGTTTGGACAGTACTTGAACGACGTAAGCAAACCGCAGGGAATAGGCCATCCAGGCTCGAGCGATTATGAGCATTGGTTCATATCGTCCAAGACATTGCTAACCATTCTACCCCTTACTTCAGACCGTTCGCAATCACTTCGTGGTGAGTTTGATCCCTTCTTGCGATGCTATTTGTACTGACTGTTCGCAAGGCATGTAGCGGAGAATTCGTCGGAACGGTCTTGTTCCTTTTCCTGGCCCTGGGAGGCACTCAAGGTAATTAAATCCAGAGCACCATTGAAAGGAGCATGCTGACGGCCGAAAAGTCGCGAATAACATCCCCACTAGCTCCGGACAAACCGTCGCAGAAGTCGGGTCCAACCCGCAACAACTACAGTAAGAAGAGCGCAAAGCAGTGTGAGAGAGCTTGGAGCCTCCAGGCAGCTCCCCCTTCTTTTGCGAAACACTTGCTTACCTCTTACACCCTCTTTAGGTACATCGCGTTATGCTTCGGCTTCTCACTTGCCGTCAATGCCTGGGTGTTCTTCCGTATCAGCGGAGGACTCTTCAACCCGGCCGTCACAGTCGGAATGTGCCTGATCGGTGCTCTGCCATGGGTGAGAGGAACACTGTTGTTCTTCACCCAAATCGTCGGCGGTATCGTCGCAGCAGCCATTGTCTACGGCATTCTTCCCGGTCCGCTTTCTGTTCAAACAACACTTGGAGGAGGAACCAGTACTGTCCAAGGCCTCTTCCTCGAGATGATTCTCACGGGACAACTCGTCTTCACCATCATCATGTTGGCGGCCGAGAAACACAAGTCGACATTCATTGCACCGGTTGGTATCGGTCTTTCGCTCTTCATCGCCGAGCTTCTCGGGGTGTACTTCACCGGAGGATCTCTCAACCCAGCACGCTCTTTCGGGCCCGCCGTGGTCACGTCAGACTTTCCGCATTACCATTGGAGTGAGTAATGATTTGATATCTTGGAGATGGACCTAAGCTGACGTGAGAAACAGTCTATTGGGTTGGCCCGATGCTTGGATCTTTCCTCGCCGCTGCCTTTTACAAATTCATCAAGGCCCTCGAATATGAAACTGCCAACCCCGGACAGGATGGAGCCGATATTATCGACAGACCAGTCACACGCGACGCGCAAGCCACATCCAGTGATGAAGAGTACCTGGAGCAGGAGAAGTCGCATGTTCAAGAGGCAAATAAGAATGCCGACGGAATTGGAGGCGTTGCGTAAGTCCAATTGTTGTATGGAGTGTAGCGACATGCTGCACCTCCTTTCTTGGTCCCTCAAACATGTACTGACCCAATTTTCTCTTACAGCCCCCCAGACCAACGTAAAAACGACATATCAATGGGCGGCGGCCAACAAAGCGGAGGAAAAGTTCAAAAAGCCGCCGTAGGCATGGGAGGTGGTGTTGCCGTAAGTGAAATCCCAAAGTGTGAATCCATCGAGCAGGTCTCGAACTAGCTTTCACAGACTCAACCTCTTATCTCTGTGACAAATGCTTACTTTTGATACTTTTACAATAGGGCGTAGAAGGCACCAAGTCGAAAACCGGCATGGGACAAGGCTACGAAGGCGCACCACAAGCTCAAAAGAGTGATCCCACCATGGGTCAGGGTAGTCAGAATTCCCGCCCTTATAATCGTGGGGCCAGCTACATGGCTTAACTTAGCTGTTGGTGCTCCCTCTCTCGGATAAGAATGTTGTTATGAATTGAGCGTTTGTTGTTTGATGAGCGAGCGAGTATGGATGTATGTATATAGGATGGTCATGATGCCACGATGTTCTTTGGTTGAATTTGCGGAGGTGTTGTTGGCTGGTCATGGGGAAACTTCTGTGCACATTATTATTATGATCTGATTCATCTTCTCTCTCAGCTTTTCTCATTTTGTGACGCGTATCTCTCAGACTCTACTCGCAATCGTGTGTAGATTTTCGTTGAGAATGACACAGGGGAGATTTTGGCTTCCGAAGGCTGCAGAGATCTCATCCCCAAACCCTTACGCTTTGCTTGAGGAATTTGACTGTGTTTTCACGATGTCTTGCTTGGTGTAAGATCCAATCCGGGAGGTGATGTTATGGTGTCTAACAGGGATAGACTATCTGGTATGCCTGCCGATAGCACGTGCCGGCTCCATTTATTGTAAATGCTTGGAATATGTCCCAAAAACCTGCACGTCACTTCACCTCTTACATGTAGGTACTTTCCATCACTTCTTCGTGTTATTAGTCAAGTGCGGGATTAATTCATCAGGCGTCAGTACATTCCCCGCGTAGCAACAAAGCAGAGTCACAAAAGTGTCGTTGCTGGAGTGATTTTCGTGATCTTGGAGAGAAACTTGGCGGGGCTTAAGGAGGAGGTTAACAGCAGTAAGTATGAACTAAGAGCAGCAAAAGCAGGTGGAGCAGTGATGAGTTCACTGGGATCGTTAAGCGATGGACAAACACTGTGGCAGTCCGGTCTCAACGCTGAGCTGGACCTGTTGGCTTCTCTCATACTCCGAGATAATAAAGATGCGAGTTCTGAATCAGACTGATCTGCAAGAAACGAATGCGGAAATTACCGCAAAGGCCAAAGATTTGGCGAGCAAGTCGCCGCGGATGGAGGTCATCAGTTGGAACCGTCAGCATTGAATCATATATCTGCCGCAAACCATTGAGGCGTCGTGTTTTACAACACGATCGGTCTTCCAGGTTCAGTGGTCTTTCTTAGACATGTTTGGAGCTTGAAAGGCTTGTCGACCTTCGAGATTCTAAACGTGTCAGTCTTCATATTGGATCGTTCTCCATTCACTCCACTCTGATACCCATTCGCTTTTCCAGGACTATAAGCTCTGGTAAACTTAGTGTACCTAGATGGATTACTTAATCCTCACATCAATGAGCCGAACCTTCTTCGCAAGATCATGTCTTTCTGCCTAATCCTAATCTGAGAGCTTTTCGGTGCACTAGCCTATCGATCCGCTATTAAGGATGCTTGAGATATCGAACATCTGATTCGAGATCATGCGAAGAAGTAGCAAGCTTAGAATGGATGAGCAATATACGACTTTCTGACGGATCTACACGAGACTCAATGCACATAATTTCAAACATTTGACAGGGGATAGTTGCCGTGACTGCGCAACAAAACTACTTGATGAGATTCAACGACCTGCTCTAGTGCTCAATCTCAGGTCATTACTGCCCTCGATGGTACAACCCACCTACAGCCCAACGATTACGACGATGGGGACTGCAAGTACTCCTGCCTCTTCTCTGGCAGCTAATGTATGCGAAGAGCTCGACGCTTCGAAATTGAAAACTCCAAGAGCGACAACGAAGGCCAAGACAAAGACCGCAACGAAATAATCGACATTCACAACAATTTCCTGAGCCAAAACGACACCACCAGTCAAGAAACGCGTGGAATTGAAGAGCAGTCAATCTTACCTCAAAGCAAGAATTGGGCGATCTGAGTTAGAAAGCACAAGGTTTTGGCAATTGGGAGAAGTCGGAGGATGAGGTGGGAGTGGAAGTTATCAACAGCTCAGCTCAGCAACGAAACAAGTGCTTTGTGGTGAGAAAATGAAAGTAGGTGTTGAAGACACCACGACGTCTCGACAGCTCGATAGTTAGGTAGATGATCGGAGGTGTCGTAATTCTCAGGGGAGCTATACGGGCTTTGAGGGCTTCAAGGTGGAACATTGTGGAAGACAGCGCCTCCGGAGACGATGAAACAATCACCTAAGATGCAGGATACAAGACGTCGAAGAATTTTTGGACAAGTTGAAGGCACAAGATATTAGTGTGATGAGCGCCCTTTACCTAGTAGAAGAGTTCAAAGCATATCACTCAACTGGCCTTGGCAGTAACCACCTGTAGATGTTCGATTCGGGACAGTTTTGTTTGAGGATCAGATCGAAAGGGATATAGGGAACGCCATACTGACTTACCCGGTGGGACTTAACGAGCTGCATATACTTCGTGGATCAGAGTCGTGAGAGTTACAAGACGAAGAGTGCGACTTCAATCGAGAGAGATCTKTATGAGGCAAACGGGTGGCTCATTCTTCTGCAAGTCGCTGAGCATCGACCAGCCTCACTAGTGACCGAGAACCCTGTTTCTTGCATTTTTTATCTGGCTGCATTGGTGTGTACCTTTACACGAAGGCTGTACCTCTGGAAGAGTCACGCATCTTTTCAGATCCCACTTGGAAGCATTATCCTAACATGTATCTGTTTTCACAGGCTTGGAAACAAAAGAAAGGGGGTTCAGGATTACTTTTGAGCGGCAGATCCCAACGTTGATTTCATTTTGCCTCTGTCTGAAACTGATAATCTTGCTAGTCTACAAAACAAACAAGGTGTTATCAAAACATCAAATCATGCGTCCAGTCCGTAAAGCTTGTTGGCAGCCTCCTTGAAAGTTGGCAAGAAAGCATCAGTGCAAAGAGCGCCAGCAATCTGTTTGCCGTTCTGAGCACCAGCTGGAGTAGCAACTCTCATGGTGACCTCTGGTCGTTCAGGCTAGAAAAAAACAATCGAATATCAGCATTTTCTTTCTGGATGGGAGAAATTATCATGACGCATCTACTTACGTCGGCAACGCTCAAAACATCCGCGTCGTAGCCTGTGATGGTGTATTTCCTGCCTGCGACCTCGACTGATGAAGCTCCAGACTTTACTGCTCCAAGCAATGGAGAGAGGTCTCCTGATGCGAATCATGAAGGGTCAGCATGTCTCCAAGATATGTCGAGAGGAGCTCTCCCATTCTCATGCATCAACATACCTAGGCTGAAATCTGCGTTGGAGTAGAACTTTCCCTCGGAAGAGAAGAAAAAGGCGGCCTTGCATGCCTCGTTGGCGACCAGGTTGTCGAGCTCGGTTTGGATTCCTGTAATCATGGTCAGTTGAATGAAATGGTGGATGTGAAAGAGGCGGAACGGGTGATCGATGTACGAACCTGCCATTTTGACGATTGTATTATTGTTGATGGTTGTGAGGTATTGATTGTAGTTGACTGTAGATTGGTTTCCATTTCGTGGTGTTCATGTACATTTATATCACTTCTGAAGCTCGTGTTAGCTTGGCAGGTGAATTGATCCGTGGCCGATCCTCAGCCAGCATATCCTGGAGATCCGGGGCTTTGACCATCCTTACCTCACAGGCCGTCCTTGATGGCGTGACTGAGAGAATCCCGGGGACGAGCTCAATCATATCCTTGTTYGATTCCGAGGATCTCCCTTTGTTCCGAAGAAAGATTTGCCTTGGCATACCAGATGCATTCCTTCTGATGTCACGCAACGATTGGAATTGATCTTGAAGTAGTAGACAAAGATCAATGACTCTAGAAGCTTTCATTCATGTGACTAGGTGAGTTGGAAAAGACTCGGCGGAGAAGACATTCGGAATTCCTCCGAGCAGAATCGAATCGGACTATATAGGTACAACTCCTCCCCGACCAGATCATGGACAGAAGCTTCGAGCTATAGCTGTCCGCTCGGCATAAGCGCGAGGATTCATCTTACGTATCGTCGACGTATGTCGAAGAAAGAGGAAGCCAACGACGAATCCAGAGCTTCGTCCGTGTTAAATGTCCCTAACACTCCGTTTGTACGAACCCCGAGACGTCACTACGCTGTCGTGATGTTAAGCGAATCCGTATTGTGTAGCTTTACGCTCTCCGAGTACATCTCAACAGCAGTAGTGGGCAAAGTATGTTTGAAGCGGTGAAGTTTTGGGAAGAAGGGACTCTCAGCCTGCTGACGATGGGTCCGATGAGATTACATAGCGGGGACCTTCAATCTTGGACTCACTGGTAGCTTCGAAGCAGCAATCTCATAGCGGATGAGGCAATTGTGGCCACGGTATGCATCTCGAGCTGTAGTGAAGTGGGATGACGCTCGTGCACGGAGCTGGCCAATGCTTGATGGCTTCAAGAAAAGTTACCCGATTAGGCAATTGCGGACCTGCGTCCAGCGGACTGTGGGCGGTCGACCATTCGTTCGTTATGCACTTGCCACAGACATATGTAACTGGCGATACAGATGGGCTTGATCTTGTAGTTTTCTGCGTACATCATTGCTATTCGACTAACATTCAGCTGCCATTGCATCTGGCCGCCTTTAGAAATCATCCTCCCACTCTGTTTTGACACTGCAAATGATTTGAGCTTTTTGAACACATCCGCACGAAATCTCAAGAAAAAAACTTGGGCGGAATCGCTGGCGAGATTGGTCCGTTCGGAGGACTTGCCAGTTCATGGACATGGCCAATGACTACTTTCTCTAGGGAATGGAGAGTTGCATAGTATTGCAAGTATTCGAGCCTGGAATTTTCGCTTGTCTTCAGCACCTCGATTGAAAAGGCGATCTTGGAGTCGTCTCTAGAGGCGAATCGATGCTTCAAGCTACTCCATGATGTGACAATCAAGTCCAAGGGTTATCTCGATGGCCTGGACATTATAAATACAAAAGCTCGATGGACTTGGCCATCTCACACTGGCGAATACATTGAAGAAGAACCCTCTTCTAGGGCAGGGCTCGTATCGAAGGTCTCGCCGACAGCGTCTCTCCCGGTAGTATATACGCATGCATACTTTTGATGCTGATGCAATGTAGACTATTACCCGTCGAATGATGCTCTCAATTTCATTTTCTCCGTATCTGCACTTATGGCTCGCTTCGTCACTACACAAGAAAACATGGCCACACGTAGTCGTAGTTGTCCTAAACCCAAGAGGCTTGCGTAAGTCGAGTGTGACATGGCAGGCGAGAAAGTTGAAAGAGGTGGAGACTGTATACTTGGAGTAACAAGCTCATCATCCAGATGATTCACCCAAAAGTAAACAATGTAGGATCATCTCACGCAGGGAGATGAACTAGTTTTGATTGAACTTCTCTAGCCACATGACGTACAACCGTCACATCGTCCATTCAAAGCGAGAATGTCTCCAACATACTAATCTTGCCATTGGCAAATGTAACAGTCCCACGCAAGCCTAATAGAACAGGCTCTTAGAGCTGTCAATGAACTCCTGACTGGACCTCTCTGCCTGCTCCTCATTGTCGAATTGGACCCCAAGAATACGTCGACCATTCATACCAATCACCACAGGAGATCCGAATTCAACCTACATATCCGCATAATAATTCATCAGCATTTCCCAATCCCTGAACAACACGAAGAGAAAGAGAAGGGGAGAAAAAAAGGGGAGGAGGAGTTCACAAACCTCTTTCGCTTTGATCCACTTGAATTCACCCTCATTCCAAGCTTGATTGACGCGGTATTCCTGGTTTGAGAGGATAAAATGGGTCTTTTGACCCTCACCTAGGTGGTAGATGTCGCGGCACATGGGCCTTGGTTCCATTCTTTGGGGGAAGAGGAATGTGGGGGCTTGTTCGTCATCGGAGTAGAAGACGAAGCCGTTGGCTGAGTTTTCCAGTCCGTGCTTGGCGGAGAAAACTTGCATGTACGACATGACTTGTGCTGGGATAGGATGTGGGTGTTAGAGAGTCGATGGGTGCTGACTTATGGTCGGGTAAGGGAGTGAGGGGATTGACATACGATGATTGAAAGCCATTGTGAGTGAGAAGTTACTGTTCGAGATGTTGAGAGCAGAGTTGTTGTAGGTTGGAGGGAATGAAGGGGAAGTTTGGAGTATTCAACAGGTATTTATATCCTGAACATGATGGGATGGTCTTTCGATACGTAGCTGTTGACTTTACGATCATTTGCATTAGTCTTATCTCCTCCCCGCATATCGAGATGCACTTTTTTTTTTTTTGAGGGTGTGGTAAGTACATGGGACGGAAAATGCGATTCATCTCCCCAGATTTGTACCTCGAAAGTTGCGGTCCACGGCGTTAGATTCGGTGGGAGGAGAATGGACTACCAGATCATGAGATCGAATGGAGATCCAGAATTTGAATTAAGACGAGCTGCGACTTGGTCTAAAGCCCTGGAGTGAAGCGTGTAAAGAAGAGCACGATCGTGAGAATGTCAATGTAATCACATTGTAAGAGGTTTAAGCGATATGAATTTGAACGCTTCGTTGGAAAACTGACGCCGACTTCTTGTGAGGAAAAGAAATGCCAGGGAAAGACACAGAGAGAGAGCTGGAAAGTGTTGTGGAGTATTTGCTCTTGCTGTGCAACCAATCTATAGCTACGAGAATCGAGACATAGAGCTTCGGTAGGAAGAAAGTACATTCAAGATCGCACCATTCTATAGGAGTGATTTCCGTGTTTTCCATATTAAGGCAATGCTAGCAAGCTACTGCCGGAACGTTCTAGTGTACCAATATCACCTCACAGAGAGCATGCTCATATGATCCGCGATGAATGACGCCTTCTACCTCATCCGTACGTACACGATAATATTAAATAGCGGCTTCCTATCATCTTCTAAACGAATCGCTTAATGAAACGGATAGGGAAAGCTGTAGTTGTAATAGTCTCTAATGGATAGTTTGGTCGTGATCCTACGATATAATTCAGATCAAGTAGTCGGTGTCACGACTTCGGTCAGACTAAGGTTTATGTCGTGGAATTGGATTAACTTAAGGGGAGCTTTTCTAAAGGATGTATACCGATTTCCGGTCCGCTAGGGCGAGTAGTTATTCTGAAAACCTGCTTTCCCTGGTTACGAGCTCCATTGTGCATAAAGATCGAGGAGCTCTACGGGATCAAATTATAAAGATTGTGATTAGACTTGCTGACCTTTCGCACTGGAAATCAGTCCTATCGCATTAGTAAGAGGACTGTGGAGCCCAGTGCTTACTACGACTTGTACAACGTACCTTATGGTTTGCAAAGGGAGATTAGCCAGAGAAGTCGCCAAAAACGATTCATGAAGGGAGTCTAATCATGAGAGAAAGGTCGGTCTGGACTCTTCACGTCTGCAGTAGCGTAATGCAAAGTCGTAACATGTGGGCGGAATAGGGCAGTGTGGTTGTCTGCACGTCAAACCTGGATCTAAGAGTCCTCTAACCCGATTAGGAAAATGCGCGATGTCCTTCGATGTACGTAGCAGGGCTCAGGATAAGAGTAGATTCGACATGCTAAGGGAGAGAATGGGCTGGCGGATAGATAGCAGCAGGTAGATGGATGGGATGTTAAGCGTCCTAGAAAATCGCAGCGTTTACGAATCGATTCATTTCCTTCTCCTATTAACTATGCGTATTACTTTGCATACATACAGCTAGGAAGGATAGCTGGCTCACATAGTATAGACTAGTAAAGAGTAGATACTGGCTATTTCCACGTGAAGTGAGATCCTGGGAACAAGTACCGAAAATTGAAATTAGGAAGATCGTAATGGAAGAGGATCATGTCGTTCGAGACCCGTTGAAAGGGAACTACATGTTAGATCTCAGATGCGCCTTGTGGTACAGATCACTCGGAGTGAACAAGGGCTCCACTCTTCTCCCACATTGAAGAACATCCGTAGAGATTGCCCTCCGCAGGACTCTTTTTTTTTCGATGAGAAGTGACCAAACGACCGACTAATGGGATTTCCACGATCATGTGCACGTGGAAAGAGATTTTGAAAGTGAGTGCTGGACATTGAGGATCAGGAACATCATGTCGTCTTGAGATGTAGAGGAAGCATTCGTTGCTATCATCTTGAACCCTCCCCCCTTTCCTCCCCAATCCATCATCATCAACAACCACCATACCACCACAACACAGTAGGGTACAGATCCTATTAATTCCCCGCATTCCCTCTCTTACCACCCCTCTTCCCCCGATCAACATGCGCCTTAAGCACCCTCTTCTCCTCCACCAAACTCCTCTTACCCTTCCTCTTCGCCTTACCCAACGTCATCAAGAAATTCTTCTTCCGCGCTTTCTCCTTGTTCGTCGTACTCTTGCCCTCACTCCGCTTCTTCTCCTGCCTCCTCGCAGCGGAAGAGCGATGATCATTCGCATCCTCGCCTTCCTCTTTCGCATGTCGGATCTTCTCCTCGCGCGTCATTTTATGGCCCATTTTGGCGAGACCTTCAATGTTGGCTTTGGTGACTTCGTCGTCAGCATGGCGGGCTGCTGCGGCTGCGATGCGTTGGAGTTCCATTTTGCGGCGTTTGGCCGAGGGTTGGCTCTTGTCTAATTTATCCAGAGCGCGGAGTTCGTTGAGCTTGGCGAGATCGGCGGGAGTGAGGATGCGGGTGGTGGCGAGGTTGGAAACGCGGGCTTCCTCCCGAGCCAGAGCAGCTGCTGGTTCCAAGGAAGCAGTCCTTCTCGCTGCATCCTCCGTGTCGTCTTCATCATTGCTGAATTTTGATTTTTTCGCACTCGGCTCCTTTTCATCTTCCGAGTCGGAGACGTTGATTTCCTCGCCATCGCTTTCCACATTCACCCACCCTCCGCTACTTTCACTGTCATCACTCTCGGCCTCCCACTTCCTCCACGCTTCTTCATCATCATCACTGCCAATTCCTTGCTCCTCTCTCCACTTCTCCAACAACTCAATACCTTCAATCCCACCTCCATCGACTTCGCCAAACTTTGTCCCGAAAGATTGACCGGCTTGGAGGCCCATTGCCGCATCTCTTCCACGATCACGTCGGCGTAGGAGAGTCGGTGCCACTTTCTRATAGAGGGAGAGCAGGCCTCGGGCAGCCATTTGCACGCCCTTGTCCTTTGACTTGCGGTATTGGACGAGATCTTGGAGGAGGGTGTCGGACATGGCCAATGGTTGTCGCACACACACCTCTCGGATACCGTTCAATCCCGCGGATGCGACCTCACTGGCGGCGGCTTCGGAGACGAATTCATTGGCAATCTTCTGCACCAACGGCTCCAACACATCGGGTGGGACGAGATTGTGTGTGGATTGGGCGAGAGAGGCGAGGAAGTTTGTGACGGAGGGTTGTTTCGGGGTGAGGTATTTGATAAAGTAGGAGTAGAGGGGAATGAGGGTGAGTTTGTGCAGTCCCACCAGACGGCAGACCAATTGCAAGACGTACAATTTCTGCTCCAATACGAGTTTGACCTTGGGATGGGAGGGTTGGAGGTGTTGTTGGAAGAGTTTCTCGGCGAACCCTTGGGGATCATTCAACAAATGCAGGGCGCTGAAGTTGAGGGTGGTGTGGGCATTCTTCTTCCGCTCCCTCCGCTTTACCTTGGCGGCGGCGGCACGGATTTCATTGTCTCGTTTCTGCGTCTTTTTGTTGATGCCCTGTTGATGTCGCAGCTTTCCCATGTCAATCTGCTCCTCGTCGCTGTCATCATCCGCCGCTTCTTCTCGCTCCTGATCGGCGCCGAGGAAGAAGCGCACGGCGGCGGTGACGACCTTGGCGTCCTGGGCGAGGGCCGCAATCTCCATGACGCTGACGGCTTTGGCATCGCTCCAAATCTGTCGCTTCCACAATTCGCGCGTCAACTTGACCGACCACAATCCTTTCGGGGAGGCGGGATCGGTGGCGATGAGATTGTAGCAAATAGTCTGGATGTTGCGGTTCAACTTGTGGTTCTTGGTCTTGCTGTTGCTGGTGCGCAGTTCCGACACAATCTTCTGGAACAATAATTTCCTCAACGCCTGGCTTCCCGTGGCAATCAACAGCGGCCAGAGGGTGTTGAGGAGGGTGTTGGAGTCGATGACCTCCTTCTTCCGCAGTAACACCAGACTGCCAACAATCTTGTCGCGCAGGTCGGTGTTCAAGTGGGAATGATGCTCCTCCAGCAATCCAATCAAATCCGTCGGGAAGTCCTTCGTTAATGCGGGATAACAGTCGGAAACGTGGGCGAGAAAGTCGATGAGGTCGCGGAGGCGCACGACGCCCGTGTCGTCGGTCGTCGTGGGCGATTGGCGGAAGAGTTGCACGAGGGATTCGTATTGCGTCCACTGCGAGATGAAGTCGTCGCGGTAGGAGGAGGGGTCATTTTTGATTTTGTGTTGTAGATTCGGCAGATCGGCGTCCACCTTTTCCAGCGCTCCAATCTTGCGCTTCATCGTGAATACTGAATCGTGAGGGATGTGCTGGTGTCGATATTCTGGGGCAGCTGGAGACGAAAAAAGTGTTGGACCGGCTGCGGACCTGCCTCCGTTCTGCCGGCAGATCAGGGTTCTTGCCGAGAGGCTCGTACCGTTGGAAGATCTAAGCGAGCCAGATCCATCTCCATCTCCATCTCCACCTCCATCTTCTTCCCCTCGCCTTTCTCAACATCAACATCAGCATTCTTCCTCATGATAACACATCCCCAACATATCTTCCCCGCCATATTACTACCATGTCTCAACAACAAATCCCACACTTCACCCGCATATCCGACTCCATCTCCCTCCGCCAAGCATCCCCCTCATCAACAACAACAACAACAACACCATCCAAGAATGCGCCTCCCTCTCTGATAGTCCTCTGCTCCTGGATGGCCGCAGCTCCCCGCCACATAGCAAAATACACTTCCAACTACCAATCCCTCTTCCCCGACACATGCATCTTACTACTACAATGTTCCCTCCCCGCAGTCTTTTACTCCAGAGCGAAACAGAGACGTCTGCTCGCTCCCGCTAGAGACATCATTCGGAATACCAAGGGAGGGATCATCTTGCATGCGTTTTCCAACGGTGGCGGGACCATAGCTTGTCATCTCGCGGAGCAATTACATCACGATGATGGTGATGGGGGGAAATGGAAGGGGTTCGAGAGGGTCGTGCTGGATTGTACCCCGTCCTTTCCCACCATCGAGGGAGCTGTACATGCCATCTCCTTCTCCCTTTCCAAAAATCCCATATTGCATGTACTGGGAYGATGGATGTTGAGGGCCACCATCTTCACGTACCTCATTCTTTACGTTCGAATTTTACGGCGCGAGGATGGCGTGCGTTGGATCAGGAGGACGTTGAATGATTCGGAAATGTTTCGGAGAGATGCCGAGAGGCTGTATGTTTATTCCCGACAGGATGCGCTGGTACAGGATTGGGCTGTTGAGATGCATGCAAAGGATGCTGCGGACCGTGGCTATCGGGTGAGAAGGGAGAGGTTTGAAGTTGGGGCGCATTGTGCGTTGGGGGTTGGGGAGGGTGCGGAGAGATATTGGGGAGTTGTGGGTGGGTTTTTGAAGGGAGAATGAATGAGCTTCTAGATGGGAGCAGGATATGGATGACATGGGATCTGATCAGAGATGTCGTGTTTTTTTTTTGTCATCCCCTCAAACATGACTTGGACCGATTGGAACGACTTGTACCATTCATCTCTGGAAGCGTGTCATCCGAATTACTCGCCAACACATCCTACAGCTCACTCACGGGCCAGGAGCGATACCACGACAGTCCCACGATCTTCCGAAGACCATGCTACGAGTCACCCCAGCGACGAAATCTCGCATGCCGGATCGATTTCTTCCTCTGCTCTCGAATGCAGGCAGTACGCTGTTGAAACTGTCCTCTCCATCTTCCACTCGGCATGATTTAGGCCTCAACACATCTCCGAGCAGTATCGTATCTGGAGTGCGGACTTTCCCTTGAGCAGAACAAATTCATACTAATGCTGACAATACTACTCGACATGGCACTTATCATACCCAAGGTCCTACCCGTTGACGCCCATGAACATGCCATCATATCTCAGGCTCTCACGAGAGTGAGGGTGTCGGAAAGTGATTTTTCTTGATTTGAAGGTCACGACGATGTTGATAGATCTGGAGTGGTTTGAAGAGATTGATGACGCTCCACTGCTCGGACATTCCGAGAACAGACAGGCGGGCTGCCCAACACTTATACATCGGCTTTCTTGCTGATAGAAAGTGGGTTGCCGCGACATTGAGGTTCTACTCTGTTGTGGCTTATTCAAAATTCTACAGCATTTGTGGTTCGTTGTCAAAAGCATGATGATCTTCATGGAGTCTGAGCAGCAACAAGCACTGAAATCGTACCACGAATGTCTCCAAGAATGATCTCAAGCCGACAGCGTCAGCACAATCCCACGAGCTGTCTTCTACCCGACAGTGTGACTTCAGAATCCGGCATGCTCGAGGATATCTGTAGAGGGTCAAACTTTGAGGGAAAGGTATGAAAAGTCATCGACGAACGGCGGCATTCAATAACAAAACATAGGCCTGCACTATTTGCAATTGATCCTACACCAAGAAGAAGACGCAGACCGCTTCTGATACGCACGCCTTTCAACGACGGCGAAGATCTTGCACCCGCATCAACTATGCTGGCAATCACTCTCTACCAGACAATCTCCCTCATCCCCGACCTCTTTAACATCTCCATCCCTTCATCAACATAATCGACAACGACAACAAGCACGTTTTTCTTGATGGAGCGGTGACTCGTTGGTACAGGAATATCCGGGCATTTATGAAGCAGCAACTCGAGGTTGATGTTGATTTTCAGTGATTGGGAGGGGGAGGAATGGCATCTTCAGTGTAGAACCATTCAAGACCATCCCACTACTCAATTGAATCGGCCGCCTGTTACAAAGATTCAATCCCGTACGCAAAATTGAGTGCCTCGAAACAGCAAGTGATCCCAACGAATTTCATGCCAGAATAACAACCACGACCCTCCTATCACCTACTCACCCAAGACATCAATTCCTCCTATAATCCTTGCTCCACTCTCCAGGTTCCTAAAAAGAAAGTAATTAGCAATACTCCATCTTCACAAAATACTCTTGGAACARTTCAGGAGCTACACGCAAATTCAAACTCACATCACTAGCTTCCCCCCTCGCAGCATGCACCAACCCCTCCAACCAATCCTGATGCCCATTCAACATAGGATTCGGCTTCCTCCTCGCAAACTCCTCAAAAACCTTCCCAATTTGACTCTCTTGCGTAAGAATCCTCACTCTATCACCAGACAAATCCTCCACAAGCCAAGCATGATAGACGTAAATTTTATCCTCTCCTTCCCCTGTAACGGCCTCCCAGGCAATTCTTCCCTCATGACCTGCTGGGGAGGAAGAAGGCGGCACGGATTCCTTGACGGTGCAAGGGAGAGGAGGGAAGCCGAACGTGGAGAATTTAAATTCGTCGTCTTTGTTTAATATTTGACCCGAGGAGGGAGGAGTGATTTCTCCGGAATTCCAATAGTATTTTTCCCATTGGGAAATATCAGCCAGGTATTTCCAGAWTTGGGAAGCGGTTAAATTGCTGGCTATTACTTCGTTGGAGACGAAGTTGGAAGTTGTGCCGGGTGTGTAGCGGTTTGGCCAGATGATTGAGGATTGAGAGGGTTTTGCTGAGGCGTTGTGGATAGACATTTTTTTTTTGTTTGTGTTGGTGTGTTGGTGATGGTGACGAAGGATGTCTTGCAAAGTGGGGGAGGTTTTTGTATACGGACTGGGGGAGAGTTTGAATATGACGAGCATGTGTGGGGTTTGACGAACAGATCTGCAGGATGCCAGGCATAGAGCATTGATGGTAAGGTACCCAGCATTGCTTGATTTAACGGCACTTTTTGATAGGTAATCCTGAGACTTCCTGGTGGTGCTATAATTGTAGATAGAATTGACACACTCTATCAGAAGTCCCATGTCATCCATCCGTTTCACAGGCGGAAAACATCATTAAAGCCCCTACAAGTTCACAACTGTAGATCATTGGTGGTACAAAATTTGCGAGATGAGGATGTCTTAATGTTTGAATGCAATCTTTGTAGCGTTTGAAAAGATGAATTGATGTGTAGAAGAAGAAGCCTTCACATCGCCAATCGTTTGTTTCCCTATAAGTATGTACAAATCTCTCCGACAATAATGTGTGTTCTTTACAAACCAACAGCATCGAAAAGACCACTGGTAATGTTATTAAGAATATTCGATCCACCACCCAGAACCTCAAAGACGTCCTTGTATGAATCGCTGCAAAATCTCCGTCAGCGAATTGTGGAATACAACAAAAGAGATGTGAAAACCTACAGCAAAATCTTCCTTCCTTCAGGAACCCTCTGCGGGCTAACATTAAACAAATTAAAGACCATCGTCCCAAGACTAGCAACAGTAATAGGCTCCTTGCGAGGTCTCCAACCAAGATCATAAGGAAGTCTCTCCTCTTCAAAAAGCACCTTGACCCAATCGATGCGAGTCACTCCCGAGACATCATCACTTCCCATGGTTTGGAGGAAGATGGAAACTTCCCCGTAGCGTTGAATGAACTCCCGGAAACCGTAGGTGAAAGTGGGATTAATTGCTTGGGAGTCGGCGGTTCGATTCGCAATGGCTTTGGAAGCGGGTAAGAGGGCTGTTTTGTCGCCTTTGAAGAAGGAGAGCATGTCTTGGAAGTAGGGCTCGTAGAATGTGTGGTCGTCGCCAAAGTAGGCATCCTTACGAGACACTGAAAAGTCAACATCAGTAAGCCTGTCTGTCGTTCGGATTTATTGAATTCGGTGTTGGGTTTGAAAAACTCACGACTGGCGTCATGCTCGATGGGGAAGTTGTGCTGGTCAAGGTCGTTGAGATCAAAGGACCCAAGCAATGGGAAGGGGGAAGACAGCAGACCGAGACCGCCGATGAGAACTGTGAAGTCTGCGCCCATGTTCTACACATGATTAACATCTCCTCGAGTGCGTGATTGTGGTGTAGTAAGCCTACCATTCCAGCAGCGAGGCCCTGAAGCAGATGAGGCAAAGTTAAGTTACGTCCGTCGTGGTGAATGAAGTCATGGTTGGCCTAGGGTAGTCAGAAAGCGAACAAGGGTGGCGATATCGAAGTCGACATACCAGAGCGTTCAGACCGGGACAGGGCGACCTGGCTGAGATGCGTCAGCTCTTGCAATTATGTCGTAGCTCGCCATGATAAGTTACTGACCATCATTCGGTCCTGGAGACTTCCACGTCGTGAATCGAGAGTCTCCCTCTGGCGCTGGGCCCAAGCCCGACAGGAGAGCTTGATGTTCGGCGCTCTGCTGAGCAGCAGCAGCAGCAGCAACTGCGCTGACAAGAAGTGCACCAATGCTCGCGAGTTGAACCATGGTGATGGTGTTGTTGATCTGCGAATGCTGGATAAGGAAAGGAGAGGACCAACTTCCTTTTGCATTCTAGAAGATATTTTCTCCGACATGATGGAAGTTGCCTCTTTGGATCTATAGAAGGCCGAGGCTCGATGTCATATGCAGAAATGTATGCGTAATGATTCGCCAGCTTCTGGTTGAGTTCGCTGATCAGCATCAGACATGTCTCATTGGGATTGATGGGTCAAAGTCTGTTATAAGATCTTGATCTAGAACGATTTTGCGCGAAGCTTAAGTTATCCCTTGCATGTTGAGGAGCACGTGGTGTAGAACAAATCAGGAGCACGAGATTCTTGGAAAAGTTACAGTAGAAGTAGATGGATGAGAGGGTGTTCGAAACGGGAACCATTCAGTGCTGCGGCTTTCGACCTTTGCTATCCAACACAGCGTGCAAATTTCGAGAAACTCATGCACTTTGCAGGCTCCGCGAACGTCTCTCATTTATTAGGGTGTAGAGAGACGCTTCCATGTAGGTAGTAGCATTGTTACGTTGTGTAGGAGAGAGTGACGGTCAAGATTCACTCCGCGGTGGTTTCCGTTTTGCTTTTCGACCCTTGCCTGGGAGAGAGAATGGAAGGGCTGAAAACCTGCAAAGATCAGTCGTTCTGAAAGTCATGCTAGCTTAGGTGCTAGGCATGCAAGGTGAAGAAGTCGCAATATAGTGAATATAGAGACATGTCGACGTGACCGGATGTCGTCAGATTTCGATTCGTGCGCGTTGGCGGATATCAAGTCTGTTCTGCTAGGATGATCTCTTAGAGTCAGGTAGTTGTCATGATAAAATAACTTGCAGGAAGGAGCAGAGGTTGGAAAAAATGGTGATCAATGGATGAACTTTTTTGTGTGTTTGAAGATGCGATATCCGGCAATAATAATGTGGGACGTGCGTCTAGACTTTGTTGATAGCCATGAAGCGTGATGATGATGCTCAGAATGTTGGTTCTAGGATGTATGGCTATGGGGTTGGTTGGTCTGACCCCTACCCTACTACCTTGACTCATCATCTTCAATGATGTGGATATTCTGAGTAACGTTCCACAATAACATGTCTAGACTCGAGACAATCAAGTCGTCACACATTTCAATCATCAACCGAAGAAAGGTGTAGTCTGCATTCATGCGTGATTGTGCTGATTAGCAGATATTTTCAGCAAAGCTACTTGGTTTCCTGCATCCGGTAGATCTTCCAGCCAGCAGTAGCAAGCACGCGAGGTACACATTCAACCATCACTCTATCAACCTGCAACAAAAGCATTAGTTTCCATACCCACAACAAAGTCCTTCAAGAAAGAAAAAAATTAAACAACTTACATCCTTCCAATCCTGCGTAAGATCCCTCCACGGAACCAAAAACGGCGTAGTCCTCTGCCCAGAATTCCTCGGTCCYATTCGCCATTGTCGCTGCAATCTCTCCGCATTAAATCTCTCATGTTCCATTTCCGAAAGCATATCGAGTTCCTCAGTCGTAAACGCAGGAACATGTACAAGGGGATCCGTACGGTCTGAATCCAACATGAAGCAACTTACAGCACGCAATTTCCTGGGAATATCATCCGCTTGGGCGCGAGTGGATTCTTTGAGTTCGGGGGCTAGTTCATCCCAATCGTACATTGAAGGGTCGGATTCTAGAGTTTCGATTTCTGAGGGCGTTCGTGCCATTTCTCGGCGTTTCTTTTTGTAGGATTCGAAGAGACCGAGTGCGAGTTTCTCACGGAGGGATGCGGGGAGTTTGGGAGAGCGGAGGAAACTCATGAAGGTTCTTCCGTCTACGTGTAGCTGGATGAACTCCTCGGGGGGTAGTGCGCTGATTTCGAATTTTGTCCTTCCTGATAGACGACTTGTGCTGAGAATCTTGTCCAAACTTCTCAAACCGTGCTTGTAGGCTGGTACGAGGAGAAGGGCATGGAGGACAGCGTCGTCAATCTTGATCGTGCCGTTCTTCTCGAGATGTGGGAATTTCTGCAGTAGCATGTGTCGCAGCATCATAGCGCGGCGCACTGGGAACATTTTATCATCCAGTCCCGCTTGATTTGGACCTGCCACTCGCACAACCCCGTGCAGATAGTCCAATAGTATGGAGTCGTCGATTGAGCGATTGGAGTGAAAGTCTGTGGCAGTTGGCGTTGGTGCTCCGCCTATTGTGGATGGGGAAGTCTCTTGATTCAGCAAAAAGATGAATAAAGGGTTGCCGATGTGGTGAGAATGTCCCCTGTCTGAAAAGAGACCATCTCGAATCAGGACCAAGAAATCGTTGAGAAGCTCATTCCGAGGCTCCATGATCGCTTCGAAATTCTCAAAGGTGACGATGGCCAAACCTGAGCTGTCGCGAATCGTGTGGCAGAGAGCAATCAAGTCTTCTGAGCGTAAAATCTGCGCATTGTACACCAATCGCTTGACTTCTGTATTCTTGCAAAAGTGCTTCGTCAAGTTCGATGCCATGAACTTCTTGCCAGATCCTGGAGGGCCCACGATGCCAACCGACGTGGGTTTTGCAGCATCGGATCGGATGCGCTCTTGAACTGCATCTACCACAGCCCGCAGACTTTCTTGCTCATTTCTTTGGATGCTCAACAGATCTCCAAATTGCTGTGCAGGACATCTTGCAAGCGCATTCTCGGGTCCGTTGGTAACAATCTGTCGTGCGACTTCGGCTGGGTCTCCCGTCAAGGCTTCGAAGATGTTCCAGCTGTCGCCAGAACTGATACGACCGGATGGGATGCTGACGACCGACAGTCTACTCTCAGGAGTTAGGCCTTGTACCACGGCATCAACAGGGTAGTCTGGCGACTCATCGGTCGAATTCTTAACGAAACCGATGCTGTCCATGTTTTGCGCGGCAGAGATACCAAGTCGGACTGCCATGTCCACATCCGGTGGAGATGCTTTTGCAAATCCGAGGGTAAATCCTGCTGTGAATGCTGAAGCCTGTCCGATCATACTGTTACTGTTACTAGCCGCCTGACTACCGTTCTCGATATCCCGCGGATGAAAGTATATTTTGGGATTCACGGCGTCTCGTCCGCGATGATGAATGACCCCTTCGTTTCCGAACCGAACGATGAGATTTGGACACGTCACAAGCGTATCCAGCCGACCGTTGGAGCCCAAATTACGCACAAAGTCTTCTGCTGTGTGCTCCCAGGATAGTCCTCGACTTAGTGATATGCCTTCTGCTCGGAGATCTTCCGCGTCGATGATGACTGCGAGATGATCTGGATCGGGGATTCCGTCGCGGGTTTTTGGACCGTCTCGGATGATGTCCCAGAGTCGTCCTCGTGCGAGGGGTTTTGTCATATGATGAATGATGTATTTCGGGCGTACGCGCTGGAGAAAGTCCAGAGCAGGTTCTACGTCTTGAAGAGCTTCCCCAGAACCAGAAATGACAACTGTGCTTGATTTTGTTGAACTGGTTTGTTCAACAGGAGGAGMGTGCCACACAGGCGATTTCCCAACAACCCTCTTCCTTACAACGCGGAGGGAATCCGTCAGATCAACAACGGAGGATGCATTGTGTTTAAGACAATTCGACATGGGCGGCTGTAAGGTTGGACCTATCACTTCAAACCCCCAAGTAGGTGCAGCATTGGTGAGAAGCTGAGCCACCAGATCAGCTGCGCCTGTACGGATGACGAGCTGGGAAGCATCATCGCCCTCGTCCGGGAAATCCATGGATGGCTGAGGATACACGRGGTAATCGTATGATACAGCTCCTGCTACGAGCAGTATATGAGAGGAGGTCATCTAGTAGATTGTGTCCTTTTTCAGTTCTCCGGTCTCGTTCTTCGGAAGCTTCGCCAAGCGCCGCAATACTCTTTTGTTATTTTTGACTTGCATGCCGTCTCGGCGGGAATCCTTCAGTGACAGCGACAAAATTTTCTCATCACCGAACGGTCCATCTCGCATTCGCAAGTTCTCTTTGGGGTCGATGTCGGTGTAGCAGCGGCGAAGCCTTGCACTGACTGCGATGGATCCTCGAGGCTGGTCGCTTAGGTAGTTCTAGCTTTTACACAGCCACAAATTGAAGATCGTCTCCACCACCGACGCCGACACCCCCTATTCTATTCCATTCCACGACGGCGCTTACGAAGAGAATCTTGTGGTGTCGCGTTAAGCCTCTTTCTGCAACATATGGTCGTCCGAGTGATGGCTGCGTGACACCATCGCATCGTGTTCATCATGTTCATGTTCATGCAGGACTACTACTACTACTGTAGACTACTTGCATGGGTGCAGCGGCTCAGCTAGCCCAGTCCAGCATCGTGCATGATCTGTCATGCAACGACGCCACGAGCTGAGCTCACCGACTTGCGCTTAACTTCAACGTGTGTGGGATATTCTAGAAATACCTAGGGCTGACTGCTTGTTCATATCCGTTATAGTTGCGGGACGTCATACAAGCCCGAGTCTACCAATGTGCGGCGTGTGAGGAAGAGTTATTAGCACGGCACAGAGGTTCGACTTCCGCGGTCGAATCGGGCTGGCAGGGAACATGGAGCTGCAAAAGTTTGAGATTTCGGACTCAAGACTCGAGGTATGTATGTATGTTATGCTTGTACATCAACACAGCACGACATTGCTGGAATGTTATTATTATTATGGGCTGATATGAGCTAATACGTTCCGAACAAAGCACAATAATTGGCAATTTCCAAAGTTGCTCAAAACTCGACCGTTGAGGAAGCTAGGTGAGGAAGACTTTCTCGTCAATCACAAGGTAAGTAAGATGGCGAAAGACAACAATGCGAACCCTCTTGTTGAACCATCGATGTAGATTGATAGAAGTTACGACGACAGCACAGTCCGATTTAAATTGCTGTAAGGATTCGCATTTTGCTGCCATCATCAATGCACTTAAAACTGACACTTACCACAGTGTTGGAAACGCAGTATCAGCCAATCTAAAGGACCAGGATAACCTCCCCTACGACCCCGAAGTTCTCCAAACAATCAAACAGCAAAAATGGATATCCGAAGAGTATGAGCATCTTTGGCGTCGCGATGAAGGAGGTTCTGCCGCTTTGACTTCGCATGGGATTTTGACCTTTCTTCTGCAAACCCCTCGAGATGGTCGATCATTCTGCTCTCTGTCTCTTGTCAATTGTGAGAGGACATATTGCGGCGGTCTACACATTGCAGACGAGCAGTATAACTTGAGCTCCCTCTTATCGAATCAGCAGTATGTGAAACTCCAGTGTGCACTCACGCGGCTCATTCGATTAACATCCTTGCATCAACCAGTCTATAAGCTAACAATCCCAATTCCAGATATCTCAACAAACACCCCAAAGTCCCCAGAGACTTCGCCGTACTTCCATTCTGCATCCTTAAGCAGCATGTAGACGAGACATTAGTCCACGTCCAGGATCTATCCCGACAAGTCACATCAGCGGAAAAGCGCATTGCAGAAGGTATCATCTCCCTGGAGGATAACGGGGATTACAAACTCATCAACAGACTCAACTTGGAGCATGTCCGACTCCAACGCCGATCAGATTTCCAGCTAGATCTGGCGTCTAATCTCCTCAAATATCTCGAGGCCTATCAGCGTTTATGGGCCGTACTTATGGAGGGTGGAACTGGGTATATTGATGATATGCGCGAGAAGGTTGAACAGCAATTGCGGTATTCGCGACAAGTTGAAAAGGATTTGCAGATGTTACCACGGCGGATCGACAATCAATCCAAAGCGGTATGTTGTTGTTGATGACGCCCGTCAAACCTACAAAAAAAGATCAAACTGACCTCAAGATTTTCATTGAAGATGTTCAACATAGTCGCGCTCAGAGACAACAAACTCAACATCCAACTCGCGGAAAGTTCTCGGAAAATCGCCGAGGAAAGTCGTCTGGACAATCTCCTCAATGTCAAATTGGCAAAAGCCACGGCGCAAATGGCGGAAGAGACTCGGCAGGACAGTGCCGCGATGAAAACTATTGCTGTCCTAACCCTTACTTTCCTCCCTGGCACGGCTGTGGCTTCGTTTTTCGGAATGGATGGCATGTTCAATTGGTAATCTCCCCTAAAGCAAAAGGCAGTGAGTGAATTGCATACTGATATGGCATATTAGGAACCCCAAAGTCGGCGAAAGGATAGCCTCACCATTCATCTACATCTTCTTCGTCGTGACGATCCCTCTCACGGTGATAGTTTACACGGCATGGTGGTGGTGGTTTCGCCGCACAAAACGAGAATTCCAAAAGCAATTCGAAGACAGTGATTTGGCGGGGATTGAAGAGGAAATGTTACGTAGGATGCGGACTACGAATACTTTCAACGAGAAGTCTCCTCTTCCGACGTTAGCTGGAACAACCACAACTCGTGGTGGTGGTGGTGGTGGTGTTCGAGTTTGAATACAATAATCAACAGTCTAGCTAGATTATACAGGGTATCCTATCTATCATCGTTCAATCATGTACACACTCCTTTCTTCTTCTTCTTCGACCATAGATTTTTTGCTGCGCTTTCAAATCCCCGCTTGAGCTGGACATGTGTTCTATATAAACCTCATCACTGAACAAGACAGACTTTCCCAATAATGTCCACTCATCCTGACCAGAGAAATCTTGTCCAGATCTTCTAGGCTCCAGAATCCAAAGTCGACTAAGATGAACATAATCCGGATGAATCAAAGCAGTAGGGATAGCAGGTCTGATAAATTCCTTCTTCCCAACAGGCACGAAACTAAGAACTTTCCCCCCAGCTTCCGTAGAAAACCACACAGGTCTCCAATCTTCCTTTTCGGAAAGCTGTCGTAGTGGTAAACCACGAATCACAAGAAAATTGACAAAATCCACAATGAAGCCTGCGGAGCGCTCACTCCATGCTTCTGCGGGCCATTTTCCCGTAGTGTTTTGTAGAGCGATGAGGAGTTCATAGGCGCCGTGTAAGTCGACTTTCCAGCGTCCCATACTATAGCGCTCGGCTATGTCGCTCATCCATGCTGGTCCGCATTCTAGAACACATGCGAGAGTTTCCACGTAGATGTCATGCATTGGTCCGAAGAGGAAGTTTGCTTTTTTGTCATGGGTTAGGTATCTTTTTCTATTCCTGCCCCATTTTCGTCCTTCTCCGTCGCAGATTTCGAAAATGTGGCGGGCTAGTTGCATTGCTTCTGAGGTTTTGTCGACTCGTAATGCATCATCCAAGGAGGCACTTTTGCATACTTGTTGATCGTGTCCGATTTCGGGGATGCTCTGTAGTCCGGGCGGCGCTCGTGGTTGTAGGAATTTGAGGTCCAATTGGATGTAGTGCTCCGAGCCAGAGGTATCGATGGCAAGTCTAGCGTTTTCGGGTAGTCGTTGAAGGGTCTTGGAATTATTTAAACCTGCGTCTGCAACAGTCGGGGTGTAAAGTACGCTGCTGTTTGAGGGAGATATAGGTAATGGCGACCCAATCGCGCACAATGAGCCGGGATCTTGTGCAGCCAGTCCAAGCATCAGTAGATCATGATAGCATTCATCCTGCGAGATTCGTATACTTGGACGTCGAAGATCCTGATGCAACGCCAGCCCACATTCCATGGTATTCAAGATGATTGCGATCTTGTCCTTTCTTGCATCCGCCTCTCTTTGCTCAACAGGAATTCGAGGATCCCCTCCAGCTTCCATCATCATCACTTCGGCCACCACAGTTGACATGTTGCCGTGATGTGAAGCCATCTCTCGTTCATCGGGCGCCATCTTAGATCTGTCTCGGAAAAAGGCGTGCAGGGCAGGCTTCACTGACTCGACATCTGATTCAAATGGCACTTCCAAGGATAGGTCGAGGAGATGCGCCATGAATTTGCCATTGAATCGTAAAACATCTCTTCCGGGCCGGTTGTTGTTACGTGTGCAAGGGATGAGGAAGATGTGATGCTTTCCCAAACGCATCTCATGTCGACACCATGCACGTTTAAACCACGAGGATCTGAGAATCTTCCGAATCATCTCAAACATATGCTCGTGGCTCTCCAAGAAACTCGGCTGCTTCCTACGAAATCGTTTCCTTGGAGCAACGTGAGCCAGGGCATTATACTCCGCCATGTGACTTTGAAGTTGTTCGCCTTCTCGATGGTTGAATTCAATATCATCCAGAGCAACAATCACCCGGCGTGCGCGACTGTAAACCATATCCATGGCGCTCATCGAAACCGTCCGTTCAAAATCGGAATCCTGGTCGATTGAGATCTGGTCAATCCATATCCCCTCATTCTCTCCCCTTTCCTGCCAGACGGCCTCGAACATTTCACAGTCTAGCGGAAGCGTGAACAGGGAAGGTGTCTTTCGAACCGAAAGCTTTCGACGATAGCTCAGAGCTATGAAGGATTGGTGTCCCTGACTTGCAATATCCTTGTGTTCGTAAATCAAGCGAAAGGCAAAGCTCTTCTTGATATCCTGCTTGACTTCGAATTTGGCGGCTGTAGTGGGGTCCAACTGATTCAGCCTGTCGAGGAGTTTGCTGGCTTCTGCTGCTGCTCCTACGGCATCTGATTCCGCTCCAAGTAGCCGCGCTTTGTCCGCATCGTTGAGTAGATGGACATGCTGGCGCGGGATGTGGTAGTGATGCGGTGTACCAACTATCTTGAGCTCAAGCGAGCAGCCGTCATTTGTGTGAAGAGTTTGTTCTCGAGTTGAAGATGAAAGAGCGCGTCCCACGGGACTTGGTGAACGTAGATGGCGTTCGACCGAAGCACCCAAAAGCTGTGCTGTGCTTTGTGTAGGCACTATGGTGAATCTGTGATGGTTTGCGTTTGTCGTTTGTGTTAAATATGGAGATGGAGATGGCTCCCTCGATGACGGCGACGGTGTCTCTCCACTGGAACTCCGACCTTCTTGGATCGAGCTGAGGTTGGTCGGCTGTCGTATCACGAGTTGAAAGGGTCCATCTGGATGAGATTGCTCTCTCGCGTGATCCGATCGTCCCCGGTGAGGTTCCATATTCACATTAGTCTTTCCATAAAAGGAACGCCGCCAATTGCTCATAGTACGAAAGTGTGCGTCACCTGAATCCTCTTCACTGTCCGTCTGATCGCCACTGACATCGGTGCTCCACGCCCTTTTGTGCTTTTGACGACCAAGTGCATTGGTCGGACTGAGAAAGTGGGCGCTCTCCCCAGGACCTTCAACTGGGGTGCCACTACCATAGCTCACAGTAGAACGACCACGTCGTCTCGGCGTATGATGCTCAAACGCAGAAACCGCACCCATGAAATGTTGAAAGGAACGCATACGCTCCCTTGTTTCTTTGGGAGCTCTCTCAAAGTATTCTCGCTTCCATCTCGCTCTTTCATACAGCTCATGCTGCTTCTCGGCCTCTTCTTCCGCCTTGAACTTCAATGCCATGGCCTCCCGATAACCCCAAAACGCCTCGAGCTCTTGCTTCTCCAACTTTTTCAGTTTCCTGCGTCGTTGTGTAAAGTAGTCTGCCTCTTTGGTTGTATCATCCTCCAAGACGGTGGATATATTTGCCAACTTGGGCCATTGCAGTCTTTTTCTCGTAGGACTCACCGGACTCACCGGCGTCAACACAGAAGACGTGCCTTCAGATTTATCGCGTACATGCTTTGCTGTATTGGCATGTCGCGAAAGATCAGTCTGTCTACGTTGCAGGCCCAGATTGGGTAGATCATCGTCGGCATCGCTGGAGAAGAGAACTTCCTGATCATCGACGATATGATGGGCTTGTTCCTCCTCCTCTGGTGTTTCGGGCTGTTCAATCAACTCTGCAAAGTGTGCATGAACATCTTCTTCCAAGTCGAGCAGATCCAACAATTCTGCCCGTCGTCTCCTATTATCCGCTTTGGATAGCAAATTATACGCCTCGTGTACGCGGTGGAAGTGATCAGAATATGTCGACTTTTGTTGTTGCTGCTGATCTGATGAGCCCTGATGTCGGTTGGGATGATAGCGTAACGCGAGCTCGTGATATCGTGCTTTGATCGTGCTTCCAGAGGCGTCCCGAGCTAAGTCTAACGCCTCAAACGGGTCAAAGGCCACTCGGGCCATGAAGTTAGGGATATATGCTTGGGAGGTGGGAAAGAAAACTACAACAAAGAGCTCTCTCCGTCTTGCACCTCCCCCATGTTTCCGTATAAGGATCCCGTCTCATCTCAGCTGAAGTGGCCAGTGCATGCGCGAGGGCTCAGCTCCAATGCCCAGACTTTTAGACTCACGGCCTCGCCGGCCGGGCCGCCAGTGAACCGAACCATCCACCATCATGACCCACAATGCATCAACAAGGGCAAAACACCGTCTTTGCTATCTTCATCATGTGGAAACTACAGATGTCCTCCCAATACCCGGTGCTGTTGACTCAATAGCAGTCCTCAATGGATTGGATCTATCACTGACTGGAGACTCCTATCTTACGGTGTTATCCTGCTGCGAGAAGACGCTGTACAGTAACCAAGGGACGGGGAGATTGCTGCCGCCCGGATCTCTCGCATTGAAGTATCCTCATCCGCGTATGCCATGATGCGATGAAAACTTATTTGTGTTGAGAATCGTCGTGCGGGATGTTGAAGTCGGGGGAATCTCCCAAGATCTCTTACCAAAGCCGACTTCCTTACATCAATTGAAGGTAAGGCGGTCAAAGTAAGAAGACATCATTGGGGGGGGAGTCAACTCCAGTCTCCGCGAGGTTACTTTTCCATTCGCGAACGTCAATCGTAAATTCACTTGATTGAGAGCTTCAATTTGTACTAACATTGTGTAGAAGAGTTCTCGTCCTCCCAATATGTGTTAGTTGAAGACCATGCCCTATCCAGCAACGCCACCCTCGAGGTCTATAGATTTGAAGCGAGATGGCCCTGTCTCGTCGTCGACCAAAAGCCAATGTGGGACGACGCAAAAAAAGACCGTGTTTAAAATTCGACTCGATAACCCGACACTGTACAAGCTGCCGAGATCTCTGCAACTAATCCACTCGCCGCAAATCTACCTCCTCTCCGAAGCAACCTGCTCAGCACTTTCACGAGTTTTCCAGGCTGGTGCTGTTTGTTGAATGTTGGTGTCAGATATTGGAACACAAACGATGCGTTTGATGTAGTAGACGGGGAAACATACACCTCCTGTCATCAATGGCTTGTCACCTTCACGCTTTGATGAGAATTCGGTGCCAGCACCTGGACCATCTGGGTTGCGGCTTGCGGACATTTTTGAAACTTGSTCTTGAATGGATGGATGGTATGTTTTTGTGAGATTTGGAGGAACGTGTTAATTCTTTCTCTTTCCAAGTTGACCGGGACAGGTACATATACGCATTTGCATTTTGGAAGTGGTGGAAATATGGAACTACCTTATGTTTCTTGCGTTATGTTGGCATCATCGAGACGTCAATTGACCCTTGAATTATTGGCATACGGATCTCTGATCGAAAGCCTCCATCCATTCAATCTGTCGAACGTACTCCACGATAAGTGGGTACTTTCATCATTTTTTTGCGGACTGGATGTCCACTCGGACCTCCAAACGGAAGGCTTCTCGCTACCTATATTCCGGGAATGTAGCACTGTTTATGAAAGATCAAAGTTCATCTGCGACTGGCAAGAAAAAGGTTGTCTCTTGACTCTCCACCAGCCTTTTGCCACAAACATCCACCTAACTCAAGGCTTCATGAGCTGCTCCTTTCTAAAGAACACAAAGAATCCCACAGGAATAACAAGCTGACAGACCAAAGCCACCCAGAACCAAGGTTGAGCCAATCCAGCCACGACTCCTTCAGAAAGATCTGGAAACACCGGTCCCGGACCTGCTCTATTAGGCGAGGAAGCCTTCGCAATCATAGTCACTGCGGCTCCCAAAATTTGGGATGCCGTCAAAGTAATGGCCACATGGATTCTCGTAAGGGTTTGAAGTAATGCCATGCCGATACCAATTCCTTGAATCGAGTCCAGCACTCCGAGCCACAACCATAACGAGCGACCAGCAATGGCGCCGCCTACAGCTCCACCTGGTATCCATGGAAGCCAGAGCCCATATGATGATGTACCCCACCACATCTGCGCCCATCGGGGAGCAAGTAGCCCGAAGGCGAACATTGGGAGGAACCAAGAGTGTGACTTGCTCAATTGTGCGAAGATGAGGAGGAGACCCGTCCAGACTCCTATGAAGAAGAAGACGGCGAGGATGGCTATGGTCCATTTTGGGGCGTGTTGAGATGACCACAAATACGACCAACTTCTCCCGTAAGGTGCTGAAAGCCAGTAATTGGACAAGACCACCGAGACGAGCATCCAGATGATGAGTTTCCTTCGGAGGAGTGATTGGTAGAAGTTTGGAATCTTTCCCGGCGTTTGGCGATAGTATGGAGGAAGTGATGTGAAGAGAAGCGCGCCGATGGCGAGCAAGACAGCCCCAATGGGACACGCAATCGCCGCCATTATAGGTTTGTTGGCAATCATGGATTGAGGGGTTTCGCCTGCGGAGGCTGCTTCGGACATGGTATTACTCCAATAGAACAGTGCCGTCACATATATCGACTGGATACCTTGCACAAGGCAAGCACGATAGATCCACGATTCGATCGGAGAACCACCTGGATTAGATATCGTTAGCTGTCATTCTCCATCAAGACATTTCCAGTCTTCTCACCTTCATCTCCAAAGTTAAGAGCAAAGTACAGCGATCCACTCGCAGATGCAGCAGCGTAAAGCCCCGTTGCCACATTACGAGCCCAATCCCTTCCCCCGCCCGAATGGATAAACGGCGCCAATCCCACAATGAGAAACGTCATTCCATACAAGGAGAAAGGCAAGCTCAAAACCCACCTCGGCGTCATCTTCCGATAAATCACCCACCAGAGACCCGAAGCGAGGATATAAATCCCCCCAACGACGTATAGAATCTGCGCCTCATCGCCGCGAGCACCGCCAGTAAGCAGGACGATCTGGTAGGAGTTTGCGGCGATGATCTGTCCAATTGCTAGAAAGAAGCTGTAGATTGGCCAGTCGAGGATTCGAGTTCGCATCCATCTCTTTACGATTGAGGGCTTGATGTAGTCTCTATGCAGGAGGAATTCGTTCATCTCTGGCCCGATATATGCAATACTGCTGTCACTAGAGCTGTCTCGATGTGAGGAGTGGATCCCGCTACCGGAAGAGTCTCTCTTATGGCGGCCTGGACTTGGGGAACGGCCAAGCTTCGCATTACGGTAACGCGCTGCCCATTCCTTCTCACTCTCCTTGAGGAAGTCTTCGATCACAAGGGTGCTCTCTGAAGTTTTGGCATCTAGGTCCTTTTCGAGCATGCTTTGGAACATTCTATAGTACTCTCCTTGGGCGTCTGTGAAGTTGAGTTCAATCTTCTGTAGATTAAAGTCTTGTCTGCCATGCGTCACCTCGCTGAGACTGAGCAGTGATGTGGAGGAAGCATGTCTCGAAGAGCGGATTTCCGTGGGCGCAAGCCTGGCTCCGAATGTAGGACTCAGAGAGCGAGTTCGATTGGGAGTGACGGTAAAGTCGAATGGTCGGGCTTCGACTGCTGTGGGCAATTCGACGGAGATCCGCGGAGTGCCTGCGCCAGATCTCCCTCGTGAGTCCTCGTCGGGGTCGGTATCGAGACGAGTAATAGCTCTTGGACGCTTGGGGCGTCCCTCTAACTGCCCCAGAGTTTGTCGTACCTCGTCACCACGAAAGGCGGCTTCGGCCTCTTCCTGAGATATCGACACTTCAGTCTGCTGTTCCACCTCAGCCCACATGTCGACCGTTTGGCCTCCGTGGCTGATGCGATGTCCAGGCCCAGCTCGAGTGCCCAGGGTGAGCGTCCGACCAAGTTTACCTCTGTCAGATCCAGCATCCTCGAGAGTTGGAATGGGATCCTCTTCATAGGAAGAAAGGCGGTCAGTGCTTGCGTATGGATTTGTAAACAGTCCCGGGGATACAGATCTTCGACGAGAGGTACGTTTCTCGTTCTTGTGGATACGAATCGCCGCGCTCTGGAGTATCTCCAGATCCTCAACCCACTGAGCGACTGGAAAGCGCTGTTTGGCGGCGCGTGCTCTCATCTCAGCTCGGACGGTGGTGGAGGATCCAATGGCATCGTCGATTGCGGATTTGAACTGGTGGATCATGTGTTTGGTGGTGCTACTTTCGACAGTGAACCACCATCCCGGCCTAGGTGAGAATTGTCAGTTGGTGACCACAAAACTACCATTTAGATCTCCTCAAGCGTCTCGTCCTTAACAGTGTTTCCCATCACTTGGTGGACAATATCGCGGGTGAGGATGATTCTAGCAGCTTAAGAAGCAGGGACTCCGTCGACAACAGGCAGATTGGTGTTGAGAGTCTGTCCTCGTCCACTTCATCTCACGTAGAAAGCTTTGCATCTCCAACTCCCCCAAATAATGTATCAAAACAGTGAAGAGAGAGAGAGAGCGGACTATAACTCACATTTGTCCCAACCCTCCAACCCTCGCACCAACCCCAAGAGCACCTTTCCGACCAAATTCCACAGCAACAAGCCCAAACGGCTCATCTCTAGAAGGAATCAAAGCAAACTCAGCCCCACTAAACAGATATGGTGGAATTTGTGTGAATTCGGGTTTGGAAAAGACTCTTCTGGGGTAATTCTTGGTGATTTGCTCTAGCTGTTGCACATGTCGTTAGCTATGCATATATGAATCACCAGGCGGAAGGAAGCATTGCAGATTTTTTTCGGTCATGCAATTTGTCTTGGAATATGCTTACTTACTTTCAATGCAGCGAATTTCCCATGTAGATCAATCACCGGTCCAATACAGATGAGTTGTACGCTTTTGTGTTTTTCCAGAACAGCCGGAAACACATCAGCAATAAGATCAACACCTGCGCAGCGTCCGTCAGTGACATTGCAAATTTGATCCATTTTTTCTGGGGGACATCTTTGCTCTCACCTTTCTGAACAGACCATCGACCAACAAAGACAAAAAGCTCTGCGGTGGGATCCACAACCAGTCCCGCCCATTCTTGGGCCTGCTTCCTCAAATCGCCACGGGAGGCTTCATAGATATGATCAATTGTGACACTCTTGCTAGCATTAGCTCCGTCTGTTTCTTCTTTTTCTTCGGTATCTGTTGGATCGGGATTCGGTAGCGCTCCGATCTCTTTCAAGCCCCAGAAGATGGGATATCGTCTGTTCGAAGTTAGAGTGTACTCTTCCAGCAGTGGTTTCTGGAGGGAACTTACGCGTAGGATCTCGGACCATACTTGCTGCTCACACCCACAGCTCCAAATCCTTTCTGATGCACCCTCAAATAACTCGCTATGCCRAAAACAAAAATTAGTCTCAAATGCCACCACTACCAATGAGGAGGATCTTATCAGGACTCACCTCCGGCGTGAAGCAAATTAAACACTTCCCCGAATTGAATATACTTTTCCACAATCTCCAGACTCAGATTGAAAGTCTTGCAAACCTCTTCCTGTTCCTCTTTCGTACGTATAGGCCACAGTCCTTGAAACTCTGCATTATGCAATGAGAGGCAGCAGGGAATTGTTCGGGGGAGAAGATAGAGTGGTGCGGCTGCGCCATGGTAGTCATTGATGTGGTAGATGWCCACGGGAAATCGCTTGACAGTCTCTGCGATGCAAGCATTCCAGGCGGAGTAGTAGATTGCTGAGTCTAGGTCATCCATGCTGAGAAGAAACAAAAAAAAATTAGCAAAAAAAGGTTCGGTTTGCTCTCGCGCCTTTTTGTGAAAGTTGTTGTACGAACCGTGGGGGGTATGGCTCAGCTTTTGTTTGCTGCCTAAACACTGGAGCGTCCAGGAGAACATATGTGATGTTCCGCAATTGGTGATATTGTACCTGCACCTCGTATTGCTGATCCAGAACAGTCACGGTTATAGGATCAGCGGGATTGTCGATGGGATAATCAATCCCACCGACACWAGGGACTACCCAGATCAAGTCCTGTTCCGTCAGAGCTTTACCCATCAACTGAGCCATGACTCCAAGTCTATAATCATCAAGGTCAGATCCAATGCAATGATAAGCGCAAAAGGATGTGTCTTACTTACCCGCCAATCTTGATCTTAATATCCCAGTCTTCAATGCTGATGAATCGTCAGTCTCCATCGTACGTACGGTCTTCTCCTTTGGAAGTTTCAATACATACTCATACTCCATAGTAGCTATCAAGACGCATCTTCTGGTGGTGGTCTTCTCTACCAACCCACCAGCCGATGATCCAGCAGACACATTCCTCGAATGTACAACTCCCATCTTGATGTCTTGATCGTGGTGGTCATTGAGAGGATGAAAGCCTGCACGTCGAATCTTGAACCGTCCGAACAGACCAGGAACAACAGCATTTTTCGAGCTGCCAGTCTTGTTGAATTTGATTCGGTAAAAGGCTCCCATCTGAAAAATAAAAAAAGACACTGTCAGCATTCGTTCTCGAATCCTGGTCCTCGGGCGTAAGTAGCACTTACGTATGCCCATATCCCGATCGAAGCCGACAGAACTGGCAACACCCATAGTAGCAAGTATGTTATGATCTGAACCATGCGGGAGCCAACCGCGACGAAGCTATAGCGAAGGGTCCCTTGATTCAGACGCAATTGGTAGGCCAAATACGGCGAAGGCGGCAGCACACTGAAATTCAACACAGTAGGAGCCAACGCTTCTGGTACAACCCGATCGAGGACGCTGTCGTTATTTGCATCTCCAAATACAAACCCTTGATCGGGTTTGCCGTCTGGGTTCATGCCTATATTATTCATGCTCAGCTGATGGTGTACAGAGTGGACCGAGAAGATGCGACTTACCCCAGACGTTCAATTGAAGTACTGTTGGCCACTCAGTCATGAGGTGGAATGTCGACAGACCACTAGATGATTCATGACGAAGACGACTCGGTAAGCCTGCATCGAAACCAAACTGATTGTAAGGACCCTGCGCATACATGTTGGGATACCATCGTGGAGGCTTCTTGGACCAATCAGCATCAGCATGCTGGATGTGAGCGCTACTGCCAGATTTCTTGCTCCAGTATTGGAGAATAATGTGATCTCCGGACCATTTCTGGCGACGGGTTCCATTCCAAGGAAGCTCTTTGATCGTTGAGTTGCCCCCTTCATATTTCTCCCATAGACTCCAGCTGCTTCCAAAATTGGTGGAGTATCGAAAAAGGTCAGCTCCAGGTGCGGTGTGAGATATTGACAATTCTCCGCTTTCGACCTCTTTGGTCAGGGCGGTACGACTGTAATTTGCCGTGCTGGGCCACACCATTGGGTTATCTGGGCGACCCACGCGGAACATGAGGTGATCGATAATGTCCCGCACAGCTGAGGATGTTGAAGGCGTTTTCAAACTGATGCTGTGGATGCCGTCCGACACATTGAGCAGTGTTGCTTGCCATGCCCAARCAGATGGGATATAAGACCCATTAGTTGGCTGCGATATGGCAGAGCAGGATACAGATTCGGGATCAATCTTCGGAGTCTTGCCGCTTTCTGTTGTTGAACTGATCGTCATGCCTTCAGTTATGTCATCGCAGACCATCTCGGCCGAGAAATGTAGCTCGACTTTGATTGTTGAGGCGGATTGCAGTCTTGCATCGTGACCAGGTACAAAGCCTGTTAGCGACGACATCGGCTTCGTCCATGCGCTGCTTGGTACAAACGCCTTGAAACCCCATGCTTCCAGCTTAAGCTTTCCCAAGCAGCCATTGAACTCCTGTGACTTGTCGATGAATCTTTTGATTTTGGGGCCGTCCTGCAGCTCAAGTTCTTCGTATGGGAAGAGAAGGTTTCGGATCTTGGTACCCTCCGCAAACGGTGCTATCAGTGCAGTGTCGTTTTTCTTGCAGTCGAAACTGTACGTAATTTCATGGTCTTCATTGTGATACACCAGCCATACAGATTGGTTGCCAGAGTCCAGTTGTTGAACATCTAGCGGAGTCCGAACTACACTCCACGTCCCAGTCTCCGTAGCCGTACCATTCGAACCAGGCAGTTGGATTTCATGCGTCTGCTTGGACAACGCCTGAAGAGCGAGCCCATCATTGAGGATCGAATATCTCTCGCGGAGTGAATACATGGCCTTCATTACGTTCCGGACTGGATRAGTAGGATCTCGATGATCACGACCAACCAGCTCATCTTCGCAACCCTTCAGGGCTGCCTCGAGAGGTAAATGAAAGAAGTCCGAGGCAGTGGTGTCTAGACTGAAACATCCGTGAAGCTGCCAAGCAACGTTAGATGCCATGGGCTGTCGACCAAACATGTAGTTGACGGCTGTGGTCTCAGTCAGGAGATACAGCGCTTGCTCTTCTCCCCAAAGGGAAAGAGGAATTCCAGGTAAAACCAAGGTTGTGATGAAGAGCCCGAGCAGCATACGTTGCGTGCCATCGGCGATTGCAGGCCATCGGWAGACGTCTCTGTGGTTGGGGAATGATCAGTGGGTGATCTTCGCAAAAGCATCAGGGTTTCAATCTTACTGATTGGTCACTCCGTACATATGCCGGGGGTCTAAATCTCCTGTTCAGCGTTAGTGGGTGTAGAGTGCTGGGACAAGTCGTAGTAAGAACCTGTGTTGGCGTTGAGAAAGTCATTTGACACGAGCATGGTGTTCCAGCTGTTGGAAATATCAGTCGGCAGATCGTACCCATTTTCGAGATGCGGTCCGTCAAGGCCTAGAAGCCTGGTGAGAGTTCGACGTATACTATAGTGGAATGCAGCAGCATCGAGCGCTTCAAGTCCCTCATCTCGAAGAAATAAGGTACTGTTTGAGTAGTTTGTCGGTACCTCATCTGGATAGGTATGAAATTCTCTCCCCCGACCCTTTCAAAACGTTAGCACAACCATCTCATACCAATACCAAGCATACCTACCACAAAAATGGAGCCGAATCGATCACCACCTGCAATTTCTCCAGCGATGAAGAAGTTGTCTTTACCGTGACTTTGAGCACATCGTCTCAAATCAGCTGACATGGAAGCAAGAGCATCCGGGGTCATCTGTGTTGCTTTGTCAAAGCGGACGCTATCAATGTCTAATTGCGAGATCAAGAGGCAAGCGAAGAGCGAGATCTTCTCCCTGACCGAGGGCATCTACAAATCGGTCATCAGCGTGTCCACGAATTCGTTCCATCCGAAGTGATATTACCCATTCACGCAAGCGGTCTTGTACCGAGGCAAATTTGGTAAGCTCTCTTTGCCAATCAGCATAAACACCAAAGGCCTCCGTATCGCCATACTGTGTACATGATGTCAGCGTATCGCCTTTGTTATGCTGCTTGTCCTTACCTGGTCAAATTCGCTATTGTAGCACCCCACGAGTTGCGAAAACTGAGCGTCAACAACCTCAGTAGAATCTTTCAGCACTCTCTCGCCGGATACATTCCAGAAGCGAGGATACTCGCACGTTTCATCGCGGACGTTGTTGAATGTGAAGTCTGAATAGTTCCTCGCTGGATCTTTCCAGATGACGTCGTATTCTTTTGGTGAAAAGGGTGCTGTCTCGTTTAGATGCTTCTCGACTCCGATCAGATCCGCTAGACTTCAACACAGTCAGTAKACGTTTTTGTGCACGATTTGCTCATTGGTGAGTCTCACGTTGAGCCAGTCAAGTCCAGCATCAGGTACATGCCTCTCGAGTGAACCTCGTCGACCAAACTCTGCCATTCCTTGATAGTCCCTGAGTGGTGGTCGAGAATGGTAAGATCGAGGGGCTGTAGCATGGTCAGAAATGCAAGGCCATATAAACGAGCGTCAGCGAACGTCTGCTCACCGAGTATTGGTCGTATTTCCACGGTCTGTTGAGAAAAGGGGTACCGGAAATGTAGATTCCTTTCACGAGCATTCCCTGTAGATAGTCCAACGAGTCCTGAAGACCAACAAGGTCTCCGCCATAACGAAATGAGGTACTCATAACATCATTCTCAAACACCGTCCCATTGATGTCATCATTCCTCGGATCTCCATTCACGAATCGATCCAGGAAGCTGCTCATGAGGTCAGTCCTTGCGCCTTCGATAGTCGGGTCGGGGTATCTTACAGCGTATAGAATGGAAATCTCCAATTCTTGGGCGAAGCGGTGTAGTTGTGTCCCTCCCATTTCCCCGAATATTGCATAGGATTGAGCGCTTCTTCATTCGTGTTGAGATTGAAGTCCACTTGCTCCGGATCGTGCGGCCAAGACAAGACTCCGACCACGAGTGACAACAATCCCAGCATCCTCTTCGCCATGTCTACGACAAAGCAGTGAAGATTCAAGGGTCGCACGTCCAGTATCCTTTCGAGATTGCAAAATTTATGGGAGAAATGTCACTGGAATTGCCTCGAAACCCGCATTAACAAGATGTGTAATGTGTTAAAGGATGATGGTGGGGACCGCATTATGAGAGCAAAAGAAAAACACGCAGGCCAGGGACTGGGACCCTGCTCACCGCGATTATCAGGGGATGCATCCAAGAGAGGCTGAAGCGGCATCGCCGAGGGATGCGTGATGCATTGCGAGGCGGCAAGTCTGACATGCGTCGTGTCTTTGTGACTGTAATATCAGTATACCCACCCCACGCTAGAACATACCTACAAGCTTTCCAAGCTTTCCAAATGATAGACCCAAGCCTTTGGAATCTACCTACCACATGGCTGATCAGAGTCCGGTTGATCTCCTTAACTAAACAATGACGAGGCAAAGTTGGGATGTTGATACCTCCTTTGTTCACACATCACCTTTGCGGCCAGATGCCTGTCGTAAGCGGTCGCTGCGGTGTAACAAACGTACGYACGCAAAGTACGATTGATTGCAGGCCTCTTGGGACCTCGCCGAGTTCCAGGCCGTCGATACTTTCAGCGGATCAATGAATCGGTATCGATTCCAGACCGCTCATCTAGACGCAATACACTCTTCCAAGGACAAGACAAGACATGATGCCATTTGCATGCTGATCCTTCATGTCAGCAGCATCTAACATCACCGATAGATACTTGTCGAGCTCCGGAAACGTCTGGCGTCCAGTCATTATTATGCGGCAGGCTTTCTTACGGAGAGATCCGCGCAGACCAGAAGCGAGTGTGGATCCTGCTGCTGATTGTTGGGCCGTGGTCGTGGTCGTGGTCATGGTGTCTCAAGGTGTGAGGTGAGAGCGGGAGGCAATGCCGGAAGCTGCGAATGTCGTGGCTTGAGTATTGTTGCGCCACATTGATCAAAGAACTATCCCCGGCTCTGTCTTTCAGCCTTGCTGACATTCAATTTCCCACGGCATCACAGGCCAAATCGAATACCGGGCATTGATCCAGTGGCGTCGGGTGTGATTGAAGAGCAGATGAGGTGACGGGAACGGGCTGGCCGGAGACGTCGAATTTGGATTCTGCGGTACCATAGCTACACCATTCTCAACTCTACGGTGGAAAATGTTCTCGGTTCTGTTCGTCGGTTGGTTGGTTTTGTTCGGACGTTTGGGAAACTTTGATACCTGGATTGATTTGTACTCTGAAGCCACTGAGGAAGAGTTGGAATTATTCGGCTAGTTCTGGAAATTTCAGCGTTGAAAGAGACAATACTACTACTCAAATGAGATTATTGGGTCGCAAGAAGAGACTAATGGGAGTAAAGCCGACTTGAAGTTGTCGGTTTGCGTAGCACTAACGACTTTTGAAACATTATAGCTGCTCGTGGCGCAATGGAAGACGAGTATCGTCTACTTGGAATTGCCTAAGCTTTGCTGAGCCCGGAGTGAAGTCTTCCGGATGAACTACATTGTATTTCGTAGAGCTCCTACACTTCCACAGCGGGCGCCGACAATTATGCCAGCCGCTTTTGACATCGCTATGGCGGCACTTTCCCGAGCTCATGTTAGTAGATCCGCGAACCTTCCTTGTCGATCTCACCTGTTGCACTAGCGTGTATTTGAGTGAATATGAAGTTGTGCACATTTAGACCCAGCTTGCAGGCTCGCTGTTAGCTACTGCGATAAGTTGAATGGGATTCCAGATTAACGTCAGGATTGTTTCAAATTGTAGTGTTCTCTTCGTCTATAGCCAGTCTGGAAAAGTCCCATTGCCGAGCAAAAGTTCAGCACTGACAACCACTCTCATTTGAGCAGCTGTAAGATTTGCTGAGGTTGCTACAATCTCAAAACAAAAAATCATCGACGTTGGCAGGACTCGAACTGTGGTATTGTTAGTTGGGGTTCAATTGATGAAGTTCACTATATGGCTTACCCTACGCCCCCGAAGGGAATTGATATCCGAATTAAGTCTACAGAAGCAGAACATTCGAGTCAATCGCTGGAGAGGACGTTAGCTAAGGTTGAGAGTCAAGGACGAAGATCCTACGAACCAGTAACCACTTTGCTACAACGCCAGCGATGAAGGCCGGCAAATTTTGTTGTGATTATGTTGCTGACCGTAAAGGTCTTACGTAAAGCAAGTTACAAGGTTGGACCACACAAACCGAAGCCACGAGCCAGCCACACCACATGTCGACACTCCTATTGTATCATATTGTAGAGCGTGCCTTGATTACCCGGATTGCGGATCGAGACCATTTTCATGCGTTGTGCTCGTCAAACGTTGAACAGCAATAGAGCTTCACTCACTTGCGAGCGCCAAGACGAATGTTTAATCTTTCATATGACAGCAACCCAACATACAACGAAAGGATGTTCCAGCCGGGGACTGGCCAATCGAAGGCGCTCTTTCGATTGATGAAAATGAAAATCTGTAAAAATGTAACGTCGTCGTGCGTTTCACCAAAAAGCGCTCCTCCCAAACTTGAGCCTCCGCAAAACGCGGAATACATCCCGCACCTGGCTTCCAAAAGTTCTCGAAGCTCTCTTGAGATCATCATCGACACAACATCATCGACGCAACAACAACATCACGTCTTTCACATTACGACCCCTCCTGGCCATCGACACACTGTCCCAAAATGTCACATCCTCAACCTCCACAACGTCAGCCCACCCCCACAGAAKTTGAGAAATACACACGAACAGTCCACAATGTCGCCGTCTTCGCCGTGATAGCATGTCCCATCATCGCCCTCATCCCGCCTCGGAAGCTCGACTTTTATACCTTTACTTTGATGGGAACGACTGCATATACGGCCAACTATCTCATTCGGGAATCTAGTGGAAGGTCGATTTGGCAGCATGTCAGTCGTCAACCTGGAAGGCCAATGCTGGAAAGTCCCGTAAAAGCGGAGGAGGCGAGTGTTGTGGGTGAAATTCAGAAACAGACGCGAGGGGCTACTACTACTACTACTACTACTACTTCTGCTTTGGAGGGTGCGAGTCAGAGGGAGGCGTGGAAGATTCAGCGGGAGAAGGAAATTAAGGAGGATGTTGAGGAGGGCAAGGGATTTGGTGATATGATTATGGATCAGATATGGGAGGTGTGGAATCAAGGAAAGGTGGAAGAGGAGGATGATGATGAGGATTGAGGTGGGGAATGAGGTGCGAGGTATTGTCTTACCTGCATACTATGTGCATAGATATGCCTRGGTGGCATGTTTGGTGGAGGAGGCGATCTCAAGCACTTCCGGGGTCGATGATTTGGAGAAATGAAACGAGAGGTGCCAAGGAAGTGCTGCAGAGCCTTGATCAAAGAGCACAGATTCTTGGAAATGCAGAAAAGATGGACCCCCGCCCTCCTACTCTACGGACACTGGCGGAAACTTCGGCAGCACATCAAGAGAGACGAACAGATTGCCGTACAACTCATGGCAGCGGTTAGAGATCGGCCCTTGATATGTGGAGCGATATCAAAAAGGCAGAGAGTGAAAGATCTGCCAAGCGCGGTGAAGGGCGAAGTCGTGGGAGATCACTCCTGGGCATGCAAGGACTCCAGGGCAATATCAACAACGCTCGCAATACCATTGAGAAATCGTGTCCCAAAAATAATCCCCTCTCATCCACAATCCTGTTTTACCCGCGCAGGATACCAATAGCCAATCACTCGGGACCGTGCGAATATGAGACACATTTCGCTTGCTGCGAACTCATGCATGTCTTGACCCGACGACGAACCCATGAACCACCCGTCCCGCTGCCACGCATGGTCATTGGCTTCCTAAAATCGCGCCCTGACATGCGGGTATCCCATATGCAATATAAGATTCGAAGCAAACGCGTTCACGGCAGCTACCCGTCACTGCCAGCCACTCGCGCGGTACATGTCGCCCTGACGACCCTCCAAGCATGTCTCAAGTCTGATGCAGCCATGGCCTTGTGGACAAAGGGTAGCGGTGAGGGATGCCTGTCCTCCGTCCTGCGAACGCTGCTGCGAACAAGCGTTCATCTGGTCCATGTGCCACTTACAGGGTCCCTTCGATCATCCTCTGTCGTCGCACAACCTTCATTCCTACATTTTCACCCTTTTTCTACTCCCACCCACCATCGCATGTCGGCGAGCAATTCCCCACCACCGATTGGCAGCATGGCCGACACAGCGCCCCTCTTCACCGACGACGAAAGCTGGCACAAGGATGCAGCAGGATTGGATGCGATTGCAGAATTCAACGCCAACTTCGGCGCAAGCCAGAACAATGGGACCATCGATCCGCAGTTGACGTTCAGCAACCCGCATACACCCGCTCCATCGCAGAACAACCCGTTTATGAATCCACCTACTTCCAACGCTCTCGATCAGACCCTCAGTCCCGATCCCACAATTTCGTACGCTGAGTACCCGCCCGACTTCCTCAACCAGGGAATGGTTAGTCCGTACTTTCACCAGACTATTGAATTCAACCCACCGCAGCAATACTTTCCCTCTCCGTTGCGCAACATGCACAATCTCCACCGACGCTCCGTTTCGGAACCACCAGGGCAACAACATCATCAGCAACCTCAACACATGCAACAGTCAGGGAGTGGAGGGGGAGGAGGAGGGGTACCAACAGGCGGCGGCGGCGTGGTCTTCCATCGCGACAGTCACTTCCTCGGCAAACCACTCCCAGGGACCCGACCAATGCCGCTCAAAAGCGTAACGCGCGGCAACAGACAGTCTCGTCAACACCCATACTCCCGTCCAAAATCTCAACGCGGCCAGACGATGGCGCCGACTAGTATGCCTTTTCCACCTCAACATCAACATCAACATCAACATCAACATCAACATCAACATCAATATCAGCAACAGCAACAGCAGCAACAACATCAAATGTTCGCACCCATGGCTCCCAACATGATGATGTCTCCCATCCATGCGATGCCAGATCCTTCACAATACGCGCCTTCGAGAGTCTGTACGCCTGCTCCGGAAACTCCTTCGCCGACTTTGAGGAGACAGGTAAAGATTGATCCGAATTTGACTGGTGGGAGTGAGAGGGTGAGGAGTAGTACTATTGTGATGACTGTTTCGGTGGAGGAATTGAAGGAGTTGATTTTTGAGACTGTTAGGAGGGCTGTGGCTGAGAAGGGGGATAAAGAGAAGAGTGAGGAGGAAAGGGATGGGGTTGCTGTGGCTAGTACTGAGGAGACGGATGGGATTTAATGGGGGTTGCTTTGGGGATGGATGTTGCTGGGGTGATGCAAGTGCACGCCGAATGGATCTGTGTGGGTGATAGGCATGTCTGGTAATGAAAGGAAAGATCGCTAGAGAGAAGAGCATAGACTGGAAATTTCACTGCTATGGGAGTCGTCCGGTTTCGAAGAGTAGCTCGATGTACAATCGTAGGTACAACCTTGCAAGAAGGCAAGACGCATCAAATGAAAGATGTTAAGCTTTCATATGCTCCGTACCAACCAACAGCAGCTTTGCGATTTTCCATACCAACTAAGAAATGAACCAAGTCACAAACTGCACGCGGGAATGGATCTCTGAGCCTTTTCCATTCATACCGCTGAATCCACAACCAGAACAAAGATTATCATTTTGAGATGACCTGTAAAATGGCMTCCAATACCCTGCCGCTTGATCTACCAAGCCCAGCCGAATGATTAGGAGACATGATCATGTCCAGTGCCGATCATTCAAAGTACGTACGTCTCCCATAGCAATACAATGCAACATACACGCTACACGATATAGTATAGTATGTTATAGTATACTCAGCAAAAACAATCGATCCTCACCTGCGACTCTCTCCTTCATCACGAATTCACATCCGCATACCAGGAAACATCTGATGAAGGATACGAAAGCCGCCAGAWCAAGAGAGATAGAGAGAGAATCTTATATACTACAGGAGAAGAATCCTTTTTTCCTTAGAATGAGACTCTGGACGAAATATGAGCCTCGATATCTCTCTCCTCAAAGCGTAACTAGTCGAAGTAGTTGTTCGCGACTATTAAAGTAAAAAGGGGATGTTACCTATTAAACCCGCTTGAGATGGTTCATTGACTTCCTGAAAGACTACCATGGGAAGGAACTCATCGCGTTGCTTTTCCTCATCTTATGACATAGCTAGAGAGAGAGAGAGAGAGAGTAGTTCAAGATATGTATCTTCCCTGCCAGTCACTCGGAAATACTTTGACGATAGAATTTCGGTCAGGGGGAGAATTGTATGTTTACTTTCTGGGAGGTGTTGATGAGATTGATTGGAGAATCCTTTGACGAGCCGTTCGATGAGCTGGATATTGATTCCTGATTACGACCAACTTTAGGCAGCTCCGAGATAGATAGGCGGATAGTATTGAAAATTATCAACTTGCTAGGTGGGCCGGAAGGATCTCCTAGGTGGGACGAAGCGTCAAAGAAGAACCATCTTAAGCCTTTGCACGACAACTCTGGAAGGAAGATCTTTAATGAAGGTCTTTCGATGACACTCGTCAATATACCAATTCCGTGGTAGCGCTCTCGATAAAAGTCAAAGATCTAGAAGATGCAGAAAAGTAACAGGATAGAGCTGATCCGCAGAGGATATCTCATGCATGWAAAGCCCAGTCGGAGAACCAAGAWCCAAGATGAAAAGACTGGGGGTTTTCATCACACATTTCTCAGGACTCGAAGATGAACCTCATCTTCCATCAAGACATACATCTTGACTGGTTAACCAGCCAGATCATCTCCCCTAATCAGCGGAAAGGGATAGCATGGAAGAATCCCAATGAGATTGCAACATCTCTGCGAACAATTCGATGAGTAGAAGACAAGCAGCAAAGTTTGGATAACTCCTGTTTCTGAGATGGGTGGAGGGGATATACTTTCATATCTTTAAGTTCTACGCAGCTGTTTCCATACAGACGGAGGACACGGACGAGTATCTCAGCGGGAGATGTTTGGGACGCTGAGGGTTACTTGATAGATTCCGCCGTTTCAAGAATTTTGCCGACGAGGAGGAAGAAAAGGGGAACGAACGAGAAAATTCAACCAGGTCTCTACGCGGCGTATGGATTGAGTTCTGGATCTGAGGTGATAGACGCTAAGGATTCACCTATATTGAAAGATACTAGCTAAGAGGATTCGAGTTCACAGCTAGAGCAGAGATGAATAGCAAGGCGATTCCTCGAAACAAGTCGAGAAGCTTGCCAAACTGACGGCATATAACAAGAAAAGACATCCCCCAACAGGCTTGAATATCGGTTCCATTCATGGTGAGTATATTCGTTCCAAGTCCATAAAGTACAAAGGCTCATCGTAACCTATAAGTCACAGGTTTCGTATCTAGCATAAGGTGATGCAATTCCTCAGCATGCTCCTGCTCTGCCATCCAGCCATCCACGTAGCACGTTCCAAGAAAGAAGAAGTCCTCGCCGCTGCCACCGTCACCGCCACAAGGACGAAGCACAAATGGAAATTGACCACCATGCATCATAACCACTACATCCGAGGGTTCCGTCAGCTGAGGAACCAAACCAATAGTCCCATTACTCATAATGGCATATCTCCGATGAATGGAAACCCTAGCCATGGCGGTACTGTAGTATTGGGCATGTCTGACCGGTGAGCGGGCGTGAGTCTTCTCAATCTCGTCGGGTGTAATGACTGATGGATCTCCAAAGTGATGCATGAACTTTCCCAGTCCATCCAGATGGTCTTTGTATTTTTCCGAGAGTATACGGTGGTCGTCGGCGACTAGCGTTCGAGCAACCGCTGCAGGGGAAAGACCCCGACTCTGGAAGATCTTGGGAAGGTCTTTGACCCGGTATGATGCGGTGCAGTACTGGGTAGCACCTTGGAATCTTGCGGGTGGGATGTATGTGTGTGAGACTCCCGAAATGGTGCACATTCCCATGCCCGACAAGATCAAGATGTCTGGTTCGTCGCTGAGTAGATTGACTGTGGTACTCACGTATTTCCAATCACCGAAAGTGCTGTGCTCATTCCTCGTGTGAAGCCTCCCGGGATCGTAGTCGCTGTCATATACACGATCGAGTCGAGGGACCCAAGATGGGAACTCACAGTCCAAAAACTTTCTGTCCCCACGATGTGAGATATCGTTCAAGATCCGAAGTGGTCTTTGGGAAGCATTGGCGATGCAGTATTTGACAGCATCCCGGAACACATGAAAGACCGGCTTGGTGTAGTCAGGGGCTAGCAATTTGCTCTCGGCGTCTTTCTTCTCCAACAGCCCAAGCATACCAAATACTTTGTCCCTGGGATCAGTAGCTTGCCAGAGCTCAGCGTTTCTCAAAATCGCCGTGATTCTTGTGCCGCGGTGGTGAGTGAGCAGGTGGCTCGCAGACCAGAATGAAGCAACTGGTAAGATCGCCTCGCCCAGTGAGAAGGGTATATGGTGGTTCAGGGAAAGCCAGCGAGAAATTTCAACGACAATCGACATGTCCATCTCTTCAGCACCACAGATGAGCCTTGATTTAGTGGCGAGGGCAATTTCTTGGACAACCCATACTCTTCTGCGTGGCGAAAAGAAAACGTCAAGGGTGAAGATGAGACCGAACAAGTGTTGCCTACTCACCTGAWCCATGGACGCCCGAAAAGCTCGATCAAAGCTGCTTCGTTCAACGCAGTTTCGGACCTAGGTCTCAGTCTCATTCTCACAGCTGTTCGCATGACTTGCTCGTATCCACCTTTATCCAGGAGGTCTTCGCAAAACTCCAGATTCAAGAGTCGTAAATTTTCAAAGGCCTCAGCCGTACTATCAACTTCATCTCCGAGATAAACCAAAGTAGCTTTCGCATTTCGATAGACGTCTCCCATAAGTAGAACTTGTGAGGCGCGTTCGACCAAGTCGTGTTGATTGATGCAAACGGCATCCAAGAAGACGATCCTAGATCCATCTGGCAGGGCCATTCGTCTTAGAGCCTGCTCCGAATTTACAGGTAAGTGCAGCTTCTTGCCATCAACGATAACCATACTGCTGGGACTTGGGTCTCCCCAGAAGTAGGAAATGGCTTCGTATTCTAGCTCTCCGACGCGACTTGTTGAGGTGTGCTTCATCCTGCATTTCAGAGGTGATGCTGAAGGCTCTGGTAGGGGTAAGAGCTCAAGCAGTCGAAACTCGCGATTGTCTTTGTTCAGCATCTGGTATTGATACATTGTGTCTTGTTGATCGTCTTCGTCCATGAGACGGGTAGAGGCTGATACGAGAGGCGTATCGTTGTCATCCTTGATGTCCATACGTGCACAAGTCGATGGAGTGGTTGGTAGAGGGCGGTTTTTCTTGAAAATGATTGCCGGGATGGTTCGCTGTGCGGCAAGACCCAACCTTCCAAAGTCCAGCATGGAAACAACGACTTCTGTCGTATGTGATGTTAGTCCTGAATGGAAGACGACGACGCACCACAGTCTTCTGAGTGCATACTGAAGATTATGCAACGGATTCAAAGAAAAGAAGAAAAAACCTGGCTGAATTCAGCCATCCAAGCGAATAAAGTGGCGAAGTGCATATTTCACAAGCGAAGCCACAAGCGACTGGCGGCGCAGCAGCTCAGACGGAATGAAGAGTTAACTCCCCAACATCTTTCTCTCTCACATGAACAATCTGTCTATTTCGGACCATCATACGGAGTCATGTATCTTCTTCAAACCGACGCTGCCAATTTGTCTCCGCTCCCGGCAAAATTTCATCCCCTTTTTTCCGCCCAGTGTTTCGAATTTCGCCTCCCGAGAAAGAAATCAACGGGTTTGGTATGTTAAGAGAGAATGCAGCTTGCTCGGACGGCCTGAAAGTGGGACACTAGAAGTGAGAGATTGAGGAACAAATGTAACAAGTGTAATGACCTACCTCTGCGCTCCCCCTCCCTGTAGATAGATCTGGTGATTCCCCAGAAAGAGAAAGACAACCATCTCCATGAGTTCCTGGGGAGGAGGGACATGCATCATCGTCAGCATAACACACCCMATAAATCTCCTCCCCCAGTCCTGTTGAATACCGTTGTTGTACATGGAGATTGTCCATCCCTATCAAGAATCTCCCCGTCCCTCTCTCTCTCAAGTCCCCTCGCCCATCCATCCATCCAACCACAGCCACCCGCCACTTCAAAACAGTAGAAAAACATCTCCCACTCAATGCATATCAGCCCACTCCCTAAACCACCCCAAACACTCCGGATTCGCCACACTAGCACTCGTACGAATATCCATCCCACACAAAATCTGCTTGACGCTCTTCTCGACCTTCTTCCCATTCACCGTAACAGGAATCTCCGGACAAGCCGTCACAACAGCAGGGACATGTCTCGCGCTCAATTCCCTCCTCACAGTCCCCTTGACCCGCTCCACCAATTCCTCCGTACAATCTTCTCCGTCTTTCATTTTGAGGAAGAGAATGACAGTTTCGTCGTCGTCGGATTCTCTTCTTCGGCCAATGGCTAGAGCGTCCTCTACTTCGGCGGGGAAATGCTTCAAGAGGACGTTATACAGTTCCGCGGAGCCGAAGCGGACACCGCTGGGTTTCAAGACGCCGTCGGAGCGGCCCAGCATGATCAAGCCTTGGGTTTCGGGGTTGAAGCGGATGAAATCTCCATGGCACCATACTCCCTCGAACTCCTCAAAGTAACTCGCTCGATACTTATCTTCGCCCCCTTTTCCCCAGAATGTCACGGGTTGGCACGGGAATGGTTTGGTGCATACCAGATCTCCAGGCTCTCCACTCTGGGAGATGTCTTTACCGGTATAATCCCATGCTTGGCAAGATAGTCCCAGACCTAGACATTGGATTTCGCCGGTGTAGACGGGTACCAAGGGGCAAGGGGCACCGAAGAGGGAGATGATGTCTGTTCCGCCTGTTATTGATGCCAAGTTGAGATTGGGGCCGAAGGCGCGGTAGACGTATTGGAATGTTGAAGGAGCGAGAGGTGAGCCGGTGGAGTAGATTGCTTTCAAAGTCTTGAGTGTCAGGCCAGATTGTTTGGGGAGGATATCTCGCTGTTCCAGAATGGAGAGATACTTCGCACTCGTCCCGAACTGGGTGATTTGGAGCTCGTCGATGAGTTTAGGCATCGCGAGGTCGTCTTTTACACTTGAGCCGTTTTGGAGGGATTGGAATGGAGAACCATCGTAGAGGATGAGTGTTGCTCCTGAAGCGAGAGCGGAGACGAGCCAATGCCACATCATCCAGGTGCAAGTTGTGAAGTAGAAGAGACGGTCTCCGGGATGGATATCGGATTGGAGAATGTGTTCTTTTTTGTGTTGGAGCAGGGTTCCGATGGCTCCGTGGACGATGCATTTGGGTGCTCCAGTTGTTCCCGACGAGTAGAGGATGTATACTGGTGTGTCAGGATCGAGTTGTAGGAACTCCAATTTTGCATCTTCCGTGTGTGAAATGAAGTTGTCGTAAGGAAAAGCCTTCGCCTGCAACTCTCCACTCAATCCTTCAATGGTCGATCCCATCGACTTTACCGTCTCGAACACCACGACCGCCTTCAAAGTTGGCAGTCCCTCGACAATCTCCTTGACTTTGGGCAAAACCGGATGTTGTTTCCCATTATACACGACGGCATTATCCGTCACCAACACCCTGGGCTCAATCTGCACCATTCGATCCAACACCGCCGTCACCCCGGTATCAGGAGAGACGGCCGTCCAGATCGCTCCCAAAGAGGTCGCCGCTAGCATGGCAACCAAAGCATTGGTATGGTTAGCCACATATCCCGCTACACGATCTCCTGGAGATAATCCCACTTTCTTCATGCCCGCTTGACATTTCCGCACTCGTTCTCTCAACTCTCTCCAGGAAACCACTTCCCGGGTGAGTTCCGTAGCAGCGATGACGGCAGGGGAATCCTCATCGACTTTTTGGGTGGGAAAGAGGAGATTCTCTGCAAAGTTCAATTTTGCTCCGGAAAACCAGGTTGGTCGGGGGAACATTGTTGTTTCGGAGCTGACGACTGACTTGTAGGGCTGGGAAGTACGGATGCCAACATGGTGGAAGATTGCTTCCCATGACAGAGAAATGTTGGAAATGGACCATTGGTGGAATTGACGGTAGGTAGTGAAGTCCTGGGAATGGATTCGGTTGATGGATTGGAGGAATTGGTGCATTTGAGTCGAGGACGGGGAGGGATGTTCCCAGAGTATCTCACTCATCTTGGGGGCCATGTTCTTGTTCTTGGAGATTTTGGTGGTGAAAAATTGAAGTTGATTAATCTTCAATGGCGTTGAATGAATGAATCCATGCAGGTGGATGTTGAACATGTGGGGCAACGCGGGGTCGGCAATGTCACGTGATATCGAACTCTGAATCAAGCATGTGAATCCAATCTATTTCCGGCAACTGCCGTCAGGCACAACAATAGCTCCAGCTTCACTGGCTCCCAAAAATTACCAAAGAGAAAGATCACATCAAAATACCCGGATGACAACAATGACATCAAAATGCACGACTTTATGACCTCAATCCAAACCTCCTTCCTCCGCACAACGAACTGGCGAATCGACAATTCCTACTCCTCCCTAACAACAACATCCAGCAACCTCCTCGACTTCCCCCTCCCCACCGGCCTCGCCCTCCATCTCTCCTCCCTCTCCGCCCCCAACTTCGCCACCTCCTACACCCTCGGCTCGCAAGGCCTAGTCGACGGATCCCTCTCCTTCCTCTACTCTTCCCGATCCCTTCGCATTGCGTCCGCGAGTCGGGATGTCCCTCTCAGTAATCTCGTGCGGGGATATCGCCATTTAGCCGAACTGCGAGCGCCTGAAGATGCACAAGTCTTTCGAGAGAGAATATTGGGCAAAGGGAAGAAGAGTAAAGATGCATTGTTGTATGGGAGATTATATCTCCCCTCTTCCACGCTCGAGGGCATGTACATTCGAAGATTAACTCCCACGAGACTGTTGCGGGTGAATTGCGTCTCCTCTTCCAGTCTTCCTTCGGGAGGAACATTGCTGGCGTTGTTGTCGACGGATAATGGCAAGTACAGTACTGAATACTTGTACTCTACCGATTCTTCGCTGTTGGGCGTGAGGGGGTTGTATAATTTCGGATATGATCCGAGATATCCTTCTCTTTCTTCTTCTTCTCAGACGACCATGCAAGGGAATGGGATGACACAAGTCCGGAATGCATGGGACCATCAATCGGGACGTTTATCGGCGGGAGCGGAAGCGTACTTTTCCCCGTTGAATAAAAGTGGTGGCATGAGTCTGGGATTGAGATTCGCGACTTTACCCGAACATTCTGGGTTTCCCTATACCATGGCGTTGACGGTCAATCCTCTCATGGGAAATCTATCGTCCACATATGCCGTCAAAGCCGGACCGAATCTGGCGCTGTGTTCGAGATTCGACTTTAATGTCTACTCGTACGAATCAGACGTCGTGGTGGGGATGGAGCTGTGGCAGCGAAGGAAATCTCGCATGGATGATGAGGACAGCGGCAGCGGTGGGGGAGTGGAGTGGGCGGAGAAAATGTTGAGACAAGGGTGGAAGAGGGCGGAGGAGGATGTTCAAGGAGTGCTGAAGGCTCGGGTGGATAATCATGGCRAAGTGGGAGTTGTGTGGGAATGTCGAGTCAAGGAGCTGTTGTGTAGCTTTGGCGCCGGTTTTGATTTGAGGAGGAGGGATAAGGTGCTTGGGAGGGTCGGGGTGGAGGTGGGATATTCGAGTTGAGCATGAGAGAAGGATGCTTAATTGATGGTAATTGGGATGGTATGGGAAAGGGATACGATATGATATGATACCCGGGTTGCATTCTCAAGAAGAAATGGACCTACTGTTTGATTCGCATGTGGATTATATTATGTTGGAAGGGATATGCTTGCTGAGCCGTGCAGATGTCATCTTCAAGGATTTAAAGTCGATCATCTTTGTCAATTCAATGAATTGTAATGCAATATCCCAGATCTAATATACGGATCTGCCTGTTATCTCCAATCCAAAGCTGCCGTATGTATTGTACACTCCAGCCCATCCCACTTAGCAGGTCATGACAGAGCCACCCAGACTCGAAAAACAGAAAAACTCCTCAATCCCCAAATCCCCGCTCCCAGCTCCCAGTGGTATCAAAGATCATAAAAGTCATCAACAATCGTCATCGAACAATCTCCCCGAATCTCACCCTCCCACCGACCACACTCCATCGAACAGTGGATATCACCAAGCATATCCGCCCTCATCCTCGCCATCACTCCTCCCCTCCTCCCAATCATCATCTCCACTCCTCTCACTATCCAAAAAATCTCCCTCGGTCCACTGTTCCTCTCTCGGTCGTTGATTGTCAATCCTCACGTCCACAATGTCACATAATCCCTGTACCGCCACCAACCCACGATCTCCTTCTCCACCCTCTTCGCCATCATCCTCCGTTTCGTCGGTGGAAATGGGAGTGGATTCCAGACTGATTCTCCGATGAGTGGTTTCCGCGACGCGTAGGCTTCGCCGAGGACCGCGGGGAGGTTTCTTGGACATGTCCGAGTCGGAGTAGTGGTCTGTATCGCCGCTGGATTTGTGTGGGGAGACGCGGTCGTGGGCTGTGGGAGGGTTGGTGCCTTCGTTGTCGTCGGAGAAGTCAAGGCTGAGTTCGTCCTTGGTGTCTGGGATGAGAGTCAGTGGTGTCATCACACAATGCACGCGTGAGTTGTACTTACCACTAGCACCACCAATCTTCTTGCCTTGCAAATCAGCCAACATGCGCATCTGCTTCAAAGAACCCATATTCTTGGAGGGATCTTCGGATTTCCGTAAATAGACTCGTCGAAGACGCTTGATCCACTCATCTCGAAAGCCAACGCGATCTCTCCAGGGGATGTTGATGTGTGTGTGAATGGTGAGGTGACGCAAGTCGGGAAGATCGGGAGCGCTGTCGATGAGTGAGCGGAACAAGTTCTGTGCTCCTTCTGCCTGCCACTTTTGCGCGTGGAGAATCTCCAAGTGGCGGAGAGAGGATGGCCAGGTTGGAAACTCATCCGCGCCGAGGAGCTCGTCATACAACGGCTCCGAGTCGTCGGTGAGCATCTTCTCACTGTAGTAGTGGAGATCGATCTTCAAAACTTGAAGTCGCGGACATCCTGCCTTCAGTCCTTGGAGGAAGCTGAGGGAGAGTGCAGCATTGTGGCTTAATACAAGTTCTTCGAGGTGTGCGCCGGAAGTAGCAAAGTATTGGAGCAAGATGTCGCTGGTGATTTCGAGACAGTTGCTCAATTCCAGTCGGCGGAGATTGGCCGGGAGAAGTTGCAAAGACTGGATAACATCGCAAGTGATGAAGGACACATCCCGAACGTACGGCAGCTTGGAGATGGAGCTTGCCAGGGTGGCAGGTAGGTTGGCAGGTAGGGGTTGGGTGTCTACGCGGTGGTTAGTAACAAGAAATGCGAGGTGGGGCGGATACAACACACCATCTTCATCAATTACTGCCTCTGCGCTATCACTGACATTGAATCCGCAGACCACCAGCCGCTCCAAGCCCGCAAACACCTTCCTTCCGTGCGCCACCGACATCATCTCATACAGGTCCGTGAAAGAGTTGTTGTCGATGAGATTGCGCGACCATCTCCAAGTCTTCAGGCGGATCTTGGTGTCATCCATTGCTTGAAATAGGTGTCTTGGATTGAACGTCCACCGACCGACTTTGACGGGGCGAAAAGGCGCGACGTGGTCGGCATGGTGGATCTCCATGTGCTGCATTTGAGGGAGGTGGCGCATCAATGCGGTAAGATCAAAGGCAGGCTTCCCGTGCGCAACATAAGCCAGACCGCGCACATCCACATTCAACCTCTGCACTTTGACATTGTAGTTCAGATAGCGCTCCACATTCGGTTTTTGCAGGAGTTCCAGAAAGTCATGCATTTGCTGGCTGGCATACAGCGCGGGCGAGAAGTAGTATGCTTCCAAGGCTGGCTGAGCGAGCCCGCGACACATGCGCGCAGTCCGGACGAGCCATGCAGTATCGGAGCGCACAATGCCGCCATCGCTTGTTGGCAACGTCGCAAAGATGAAGATGTCTCGAAGGATGTTGACTGGAAGCGATGTCCAATCTCGAWTCTTTCCATCACTTGGACCAGTGAAGCCCTTGTTCTGCTCCTTCTCTTCAGGCTCCCGGTGGCCAGAGGCTTTGCTGTTTGGTTTTCGAGGTTTGCCTATTCGAARGGCGGTCTTGAGGGTCGATTGGGTGGATTTGGCAGTACTGCGCGTCTGGGGCTTTCGTCGAGTCACCATTCTCCGTCTCTTTGGCGCGCGTTGTTCCGGTTCGGGTTCTGCATGGTACTCATCACCATCCTCCTCCTCATGATCATGACTGCCTCGACGGGTGTGTTCGAATTGAAAGTCCTCGTCATCGGTTTCGGGCTCGGCGTAGATGCTGCGCTTCGCCACTTGTCGCGACGAGCGGCGTTTGGCCACCATGATGGATCCACTGCAATGATTGAGTGCGACCCTTGGGGGAAGGGTGATGGATGTTGTGTTATGGTCAGAAGCAGGCTACGACAGATCGACAAGAGATGCAGGGCAGGGTTGCTTGCTCTAGCGCGCCGCCCGATTGGTAATGTGGGGAAATACTTCGCCCTTTCGGACCTGGCTCCTGATCGTGGTCACGATTCGACGTGTGCTGTCCGCGTTTGAACACGCGTGCGATAAAGAAGCCTGAGAGGACCCGAAGAGACGGTTGGAATTCTACCACACAATTTCAAGATCATCAATCTCAACACAGGATGGCCATTTTCTCCTCATAGCGTCCAGTCCATTTTGGCCTGCTGGTCTTCCATCCGAAAGATGCGTTTCAGGGCGAGCATCGTCAATGTCAACACATTCACAAAGCTGACCGCTTCGCTGGAATCTTTGGGTCATATTGCATGGGTCCGACTCGATGAGAAAGATGTCCGCTTCACAGTCATACCGGAAAATGGCACACAAGTCTGGGCTGTGGTCGCGATTGACAACATCTTCGATACATATACCATCCAATCGGCAGCAGAGAACAACACAATAAACCTGGAAGTCCCTCTCGCTCCTCTTCAAAGAGCTCTGAAGAGCGCCCACAATGCCATATCTGCAAGTCTTCGTCTCACCAAAAAGGATGCTCAGCCATTACTCTGCCTCACCATCACCACACAGACGATGAATGGCAACACAACAACCAGTGGCTTCTCCGCAGAGAGCAACGGATTCAACAGCACCCATGAGATTCGTGACGACTTTGAGGCAAGGCCAGAGCGAGAGACACTCGTCACACACGACTTTCCCGTCCGTGTCTTGGCCCCCGCCTCTGTTGAAGGGCTTCACGAACCTGTTTGTCGCGACCCCGATGTACACGTCACACTCCCCAACTTGCTTCAACTCAAAGGCATCAGCGATCGTTTCACCAAGCTCGCCACAGCAAAGTCTGCGGGACAACGACATGGCCTCAACAGTGCAGCATCTGGGCCAAAACTCGRGCTTAGTGGGAATATGCACGGCTGCCTTCGTCTGACCTTGCATACCGACGCCATGAGGATTAGCAGTCTATGGACTGGGTTGGAAAACCCCGAGCTGGACCCATCCCAAATCCCGGACGGCGAAGAAGGAGTCGCCAATCATCCCAGCACGAGAATGAAAGCTCTCGGCGATGCCTCTGGACAAAGTGAGGAAGGGTGGGCCACTGTGCGGGTAGAAGGTAGAGACTGGGGTCGCGTGCTGAGTGTGGGCAGGCTAGGCGGAAAAGTGGTCGCGTGCTTCTGCCACGAACATGCGCTAGTCATGTATGTCTACTTGAATGGTGACGAGCCGGGGATGAGCGAGTCGGTGTTGACGGTAAGATACGAAGATGCAGATTCAGATGCAGATGCAGTCTATCGTATGTTTCTCCCGCACATTCGCTGACGAACATGCTAGTACTACATTTCTTCGTACGCCACGTAAGCGAGGGTGTGTTGTCGAGATTGATATCTATCTCCGCCCAACATACCTTGACGAATGATGGGAGGAGTGCCTCGGACACYCCAATCTATGACTGACGATATCAATGTATATAATTATCCTCCATCCACATGTAACAAGGAGGAGCAAGCATGGATGTTCACGACGCTTGATAATAAAGTTCAAATCACATCTCGCCCACTGAAGATCTTCGCCGGATCGGAGCCCGCGTGCCCCCTGACCGAAACGTCGATGCATCCCGCGCAGGGCAGCGTTGCCAACTTTCGAAACCCGCGACACATGCACGTTCTTTGTAGAGAGTGCCGGTGGTGCAGCGTGTGAACGAGTTGTTAACGGCCGTCTCCATACCTCCATACAAGTGAGGGTAATCGCGAGCGAGAGTGCTTGCTCGGCGCTGGTCGTGGAGAGCGATAATTAGCCGGGAAACGTGGAGTCGGAGTGGAGTTTGGACAAGTTATCTAACTACGGCACGGGCAAATGCGAACGGTGCCAGCCTTCAAGGTGGTTGGGCATTGTGAAGCAAGAGGACAAGGCGGGATACGATAAAGTACTCTTTGGCAAGAAACAAAGAAGGAATACCGAGAGGGTGGAGTGGACTGGCGACTTATTCAAAGGGAACCAGCGCACGCGCAACCGCTCCCGATCAAACGCGCCGCCGCCGCCGAAACAACGAACGACCGACTGACCGAGCGAGAGATCTTTGGGGACTTCGAGGTTGTCCTCTCAGGCCATGTTCTCCAGCGACAAATCATCGCGACAGTCGTCTGGCGGCAAATCCTTCTTCTCGCGCAAAAAGGACAAGGGAAGTGGAGATGCGAGCGGACATGGGCCATATGCGCCATCCATCCAGGAAGATGAGCACTCGCACGACCGTGCACACCGAAATTCCTCCTCGACCGTAGACCAGGAGGAGTATGGCAGCAGTTTCAAGGGCGGCGTCAATGGGCTGGACATGCAGGCCGGGGTAATCACGAGCATACCCTACGACTCCATGCCCAAGGACACGCGACAGCCCATGCATGTGGATCATGACCACCGCCCCGTTTCCCGTCGCGAACCCCTCCCACATCACCTCAACAAGGGCGGTGGTGACTTCCATCAATACCCCGTCTTCGATCCCTCGGCTCCTCCACCCCGTCCACCCACCCACGGCAGCACTTCGCGGGGAACGCGCGAGTCCGATGCCATGCCCCACGGCAGCAATGGCTACTCCCACTCGCAGTCGAGGAATTCCAGCGATCATGGCAGCATCCGCTCCGTGGCTTCCTACGATCGCAGGCCCGGCACCAGCCAGACCTCATTCCCGGGATATCAAGATGTTGGCTCTCCCAAGGAAAAGGACCGACATACCCACTTCTTGAATGCACATAACCCCTCGGCATTCTCCAGCTCGGCCTCCTTCGCCCCGGATGGATTCATGCTGCACCGACCTACCGATGATAAGGTCATCGAAAAGGAATTCCTGGAGTTGATGCTGAAGCGAGGATGGAAGAGCTTGCCCGAACAGGCGCGGAGGCAGATGGAAGCATATCCCATTAGTAAAAAGTGGACATTGGTACATCAGGACCGCCTGGCAGAATGGCAGGGAGAGCAGAAACGAAGACACATGTCGAGGAATACCATCAACAGTCATGATGGCCTCATCTTTGGACGCGCGGATGAGGAGGGCAGTCCGGAGTGGTACGTCAAGAAGATTCTGGAGAACTCTGTCTCGCCCAAACAATTGCAAAGCTTGTCCGTCAGCTTGCGGACGCAACCCATTGCGTGGGTCAAGGCTTTTGTGGAGTCGCAAGGACAGATTGCTTTGACGAATATGCTCGGGAAGCTTAACAGACGACAGGTTTCTGGTCCGGCGCCGGCCACTTCCACCACCGAAAGAGATCTCGACCGCGAGTACGATATTGTGAAATGTTTAAAGGCGCTGATGAACAACAAATATGGTGCCGATAATGCGTTGGCGCATGATAACATTGTCATGGCGCTTGCTGCTTCTTTGACTTCTCCCAGGTTGAATACAAGAAAGCTGGTGTCGGAGTTGCTCACATTTTTGTGCCACTGGGCTGATGGGCAGGGTCATTTGAAGGTGCTACAAGCTCTGGATCATCTCAAAGCACAGCAGGGAGAGAATGGAAGATTTGACTCGTGGATGCGAATTGTGGAGGTCACCATTGACGGGCGAGGGAAGATGGGTTCTTTGGTGGGCGCGTCGGATGAAGTGCGAAGCGGAGGAATCGGCATGGAGAACCTCCTCATGGAATATGCCGTAACATCGCTGTTCTTGGTCAACTCCATGGTGGATGCGCCTGAAAGGGACCTGCAACTACGATGTCACATTCGCGCGCAGTTTGTGTCCTGCGGGTTGAAGCGGATCCTCACCAAAATGGAGGACTTCCAATATGAAGTCATTGACAAGCAGGTGGAAAGATATCGAACCAACGAGGCGATTGATTATGAGGACTTGCTGGAAAAGGAGAACAGCTCCATGCACGAAAGTTTTGAAGGGGAGGGCCGGGACTTGAACGACCCTGTACAGATTGTCGAGGCCATCCAACACAGAATTGCGGGAAGTCGAGAAGGGGACTACTTCCTCTCTGCACTGCAGCATCTTTTGCTCATCCGAGACAACGAAGGCGAGGATCGATTGAAACTCTTCCAGTTGGTGGAGAGTATGCTTTCCTACGTAGCCATGGACCGCAGGCTGCCCGATATGGACCTCAAGCAGTCTCTCAACTTCTCCGTCCAGGCTTTGATGGATAAGCTGTACACGGACTCGGAAGCCCGCCAAGCACGAGAGGCGGCGGATGAGGCCAAGTTGATTGCTGATGCGGCTATTGCTGAACGCGATGAGATGAAGTATCAAGTCGAGCTTGGTGCTGAGGGTCTTGYGGCTAAATTGCAGAAACAGGTTGAGGAGCAAGCAGCCATCATTGATCTTCAAGGACGACAACTTGAAGCCTCCAAAGCTGAAGTTTCTGAGCTACAAAGAGTTCGCGCGCAAGAGTTGCAACGGAATGAGCTTGAGACGAGAGAGTTATATCTCATGCTTCGCGATGCTCAAGATATCGCAGCTTCGAATGCGAATAAGGACGGCAAGACGGGTGAGGTTGCAGACCCTGCCACCATGGCAGGTATCCTCAACCGTGAAAGGTTGATGGATCGTCTGGAAATGCAGCTGGAGCGTGCAAAGACGCAGGCCAAATTGGAGGGCAAAGTCTGGCAACAGTTCAATCCTAGTGACAAGCTTCGCGAACTTCGCGAGAAGATGGAGGGCGCTGGTATGGAGATGGATGGCTTAGCTGGACAAATGCCATACCTGGGCGCTGTATCTCGAGCCAAGAGTGGCATCACCCGCAAGCCAGTCAAGAAGTCTTCCGACGTTGATGACGAGGATGTGGAAGCCGAGGACGAAGCAGTGTTTGAGACGCCAAGGCTTGTTGAGCTGACAAGACCAAAGGTGCCTACCAATGTTGCCAAGGACCGGCAGGGATTGCTGTCGGAGCTTACCAGCAAAACACAAAGAATTGGCGGGAGTGATGATGAAGATGAGGGTGATGGAGTCACTACTGGTCCGAGCCATCCAAGTATGGAAAGCGAGACTCCACCGACACCAACTAGTGATGCAGCGGTGGATGGCAAATTCGACGGTGCAATGCCTCCTCCCCCTCCTCCTATGCCTGGATTTGGAGGAGCAGCTCCACCACCTCCACCGCCAATGCCAGGCTTCTCTGCCGGCGGTCCACCACCACCTCCCCCTCCCATGCCTGGTTTCAGTGGCGCAGCACCTCCTCCCCCGCCTCCTCCGCCAGGAATGCCAGGATTTGGTGGGCCACCCCCGCCACCTCCTCCCGGAATGCCTGGCATGCCTGGAATGTCAAATGGAGGCCCTCCTCCACCACCGCCACCGCCTGGAGCACCTCCACTACCTGGTCCAAACAGTGGAGGCTTTCTACCAAAACAAGGATTCAGTACAGTCCCAGGCTCCATGGGTGCCGTCGCACCTCGACCAAAGAAGAAGCTCAAGGCACTCCATTGGGAGAAGGTCGACTCTCCTGAAATCACCATGTGGGCTTCACATACACCAACACATGAACAGAAAGAGGAGAAGTACCAAGAACTCTCCAAAAAGGGTATTCTCGATGAAATTGAGAAACTCTTCATGGCCAAGGAGATTCGACAACTTGGCGGCGCGACTAAGAAGAAGGTAGGTGAGAAGAAGCAAATCATCGGCAGAGACCTCATGCATACCATGCAGATCAGTCTTGCCAAGTTTGCTTCCACCGAGCCGGAGGAATTTGTACGCATGGTCATACACTGTGATCGCGAGATTCTTGACAATGGCACTGTCATGGATTTCCTCCAGCAGGAGCATCTCTGCACCATTCCTGATAATGTCGCCAAAGCCATGGCACCCTACTCCAAGGATTGGAATGGACCTGATGCATTGAAAGCTGCAAGGGAGTCTGATCCTGCTGAACTGACTCGTGAGGATCAAATCTATCTCTACACTGCATACGAACTGCATCACTATTGGAAAGCAAGGATGCGGGCTCTCGTACTGACGAGAAACTACGAGCCCGAGTATGATGAAATCTCCAACAAGCTCAAACATGTCGCCAACACTTCCGAATCCCTTCGAGATTCCGTCAAACTTATGCCAGTATTTGGTCTCATTCTGGATATTGGAAATTACATGAACGACTCGAACAAACAAGCCGTAGGCTTCAAACTCTCCTCGCTAGCACGCCTGGGAATGGTCAAAGACACCAACAACGAATCCACCCTCATGGACTACGTCGAACGCGTGGTCCGCAAACAATACCCTCAATACGAAGGATTCGCCGACGACATCGCAGGAGWCCTGACGACACAAAAGATCAACATTGAACAATTACAAAGCGATGCGAAGAAGTACATTGATAACATCAACAATGTGCAGGCTTCTCTCGACGCGGGCAATCTGAGTGACCCGAAACGCTTCCATCCTGAAGATCGAGTTAGTCAGGTAGTGCAGAGGAGTATGAAGGAAGCGAGGAGAAAGGCGGAGCAAATGCAGCTCTATCTCGATGAGATGAATCGGATCTACGATGATATTCTGACCTTCTTTGGAGATGACAATAAGGATGAGAATGCGAGGAGGGAGTTTTTCGGGAAGTTGGCGAATTTCTTGAACGAGTACAAGGTGAGCATATACGTCCTATCCTTGAGGGGTGATGATGATGTGATTGATTTACTGACGTGATATGTGATAGAAATCCCACGAAAAGAACCTCCTCCTTGAAGAAGCGTGGCGGCGCAACGAAGAGAATATGCGAAGGAAACAACTCAAGGGACAACTGTCCAGTTCCGCCGCCATTTCCACCTCCTCTGCAGGGGATGGGTCTGCAGGGGGGAGTCCCTCGACTGGCGCTATGGATTCTTTACTTGAGAAGTTACGAGCCGCGGCGCCACAGACTAGAGATACGAGGGATCGCAGGAGGCGGGCGAGACTAAAGGACAAACATCAAGTCCGAGTTGCGAGTGGACAGCAGATTCCTGAGACGGGGGAGAATGTTGAGAAAGCCGAGGAAGGTGGGGGAAGTGTGGATGAGAATGGATTACTCACCCCGGCGAAATCCACCTCTGCTGGGGATGGGGCAGGTGCAGGTACCGAGGGCGGTGTCTCCGAGGGCGAAGACATTGCCGATCGAGCGGCCAGTCTGCTACAAGGTCTGCGAGGGGATGGGGGCGAATTGAGTGAAGTTCCCAGTCGAGATGAGAGTGGGAGTTTAAGGATTCGAAGGAGGAGGGAAAGTGCTGATGATGAGAGGGCTAGGAGGAGGGCGAGGAGACGAGGGGCCGGCACGGGGGGAAGTCAGGATATGAGTGGAGGGAATAATACCACGATTGCCGAGGAGGGAGATACTTCTTCCATCTCTCTTGTTGGTGGTGGTGGTGGTGGAGAAGGGGAGAAAGAGGCGGGGACCGGGGAGAAGGATGGTGAAATGGAGGATGTTGTTCAGAGTCATGCAAGTCAACAAGGCGAGGAGGAGGAGGAGGAAAGCAGCGTGTTGGTGTTGCCCACTACGGTCGTTGTGCCGCCTAGTCCGGAGGCCTCTTCGCCTGATCATGATGATGATGACGACGATGAGAAAGGGATCAAGGGCCATGGGGAGGTGGAGGAAATCACGCTGGAGAGTTAAAGAGGTTGTGTGTCGGGCAGGCAGGGTTGTACATACTGTTACTGTTGTTACTTTTTACTGTTAATGTTGACAGGATGGGGGATGTTCGATGTTGTTGATTTGAGTGATCACGTCCCATGTGTGGGTTGGGTGTGGTATTGTCAGCGTTGGGAGCGTTGGCGTTTTGTGTGCTTTTGATTTTTCTTTCTAATTCTTTTTGGAGGTGGTATGTAAGGTAGTTGATAGGAATATTGTTATACTATTTTTGGGACTCTTGATATGTTTCTGTTGCTTTTCTACTGTATCATGTTGTGATGGGCTGCACTGCTGTACAATCAACGTCTGAGAAGAAAAACATCTCCTCCAACCTCATTGAATCTACATGGACATGGACATTGCCGTGGCGTCTGTCGACCTTACCTAACTCCACCGCTCCAACGCGAGAAGCAACGAATTAATACACTTCATCCAAGCCTCTCTAAAGTATTATGAACAGCCAACTAACCAGTCATGAATCGTTCAAGTACGTCAACACAAAGATAAATGGTAATTGCTGTGATTTTTGGGTCCTTGAAGCTGGCCTTTGCTACTTTACGACAGTCTCACTCAATTCTGTTCTCAGCCAAGTGCGTTGGCAGCATACGGCGAACAACTCTGGGAAAGGATTAAACAATGGTATGTTTTGACGGAGTAAAGAGACGATATATGTACATTTAATCATCATCACCCTCGTCTGGTAGCATCGCTAATCGTACACTCCTCATTTCCTTTCCATCCAGTCATTATTATCTCCCGTACATTCATCTCCTCATCTCATCTCATTTCATCTCATCAAGCACAACAACACAACAACACAACACATGTCATGTATGTGTCTAATTAGGTATAACTCCTCATCGCATCCACATACCCAACCCCACCCTTCAAATCCCTATCAAACGTCTCGGCGACATCGAGAACGCGCTTAATATGGCTCATGGTGAGATTCTCATTCTCATTCAACGCCAGAGCTTGTGCGGTGCGGACCGTGTTCTTGATCTGGCGACCATTCAAACGATGGCGGGAGAGGGTCGTGAAGTCCTCCTCGCTGAAATCGGCGACTTGACCTCCGGGCTGCGTTCGAACCATTTGGATGAAWTTCTTCCAGACTTCCTTTTTGGCGCGTGGGGTGAGTTCGTCGTAGCGGAGGGCGACGTGGATACGGCTCTGGAATGCATCATCAAAGGTCTCGACGCGGTTGGTGGTGAGGAAGAGGATGCCTTGGAAGTACTCCAAGAGACGGAGGAAGATAGAGACCAAGGCGTTGCGGTGGAGATCCTGGACGGTTCTCCGCTCGAGGAAAACATCGGCTTCGTCGAGGAGAAGCAATGCACCCCAGCTGTGAGCAATGTCCAGTACTTTTTGCAATTCAACCTCTAGTCTCGCGGGATCAGTACCCAGCTCGCCGGCAGAGACGCAGTACAGAGGACAGCGGAGCAGCTCGGAGATACCCTCTGCAGTGAGAGTCTTGCCCGTTCCTGGAGGCCCATGCAGCACAAATACCAGACCACGACCCTTGCCTTGGACGACATCATCGATCGTCTTCGCGGCGTGAAACTTGTGACTCTTGACCAGAGCGTGGACCGTGCTCTTCTGATCGCCTGGCAGCACTAGACTGCCAAAGGCCTGGTCATTGTATGAGATGTCGTGCACTCCAGAAAGGGAGAACTCCAACCAAAGCTTCTCCGAAAAGGCAAATCCAAGTACAACGGGAGATGTCAGGAGTAACTCCTCTTCGGTGTATGAACGCTTCCCGGTATCGATGTCCTCAAGTGTGTCGATCTGCTGTTTGCGAATCGGATCACCATTCTCATCAACCTCCACGGCCACAAATCTGCTGCGGCCGTCATGTTTGACCAGCTTGTACTTGTATCGTGGCGCCTTGTCCTCCTCGGCATCAGCATTCGTCAAGGTTTCATCCCCGCCACCAGTGGCCTCCTCCTCGTCGGATTCGCAGCACGAGCAGTCGTCCATGTCGCTGTCAGAGAACAATTCTTCCGCCTCATCCAGCTTGATGTTCGAAATGGGATAGTTGGGGTTGATTCGGCGAAAGGTCGCTGGGTCAATCATGACACGGCCGTTGATGTTGATCTTCAACACCTGTTTCTTCTTCTTCATAAAAGCCAGTCCCTTGTGAAACTTGTACTCCTGGGGCTGCATTGCGACGAAGCGCTGTCCGCGCGCGACAATCTGCTTCTTGACGGCTTCGGGATTGCTGTGGTATTTGAGAGGGTAGGAGGCGAGACTTGAGATTTTGCGAGGTCCTTTGAAGGATTCAATGTCGACTTCAAAATCTCCAAAACYCCAAGCCTTGCCATCGGACTCGAGATACTTGCCCTCAATGCAGTACCTAGAGTGATGTTAGTCGATGATTTCAAAAGTACGGTCGCGCGATCAGGCGGAGAGCGGAAATGAAACATACCATTCACCACGATTCATGCTGACAGATTTGATCGCATAGTCCACCTTGAAACATCTCGGCTCGTCCCAAGATCCATAGCAAGAAGTGATGGCGATGTCATTGGGAGTGAACAAGGCCCACAGGAGATCAAATGTGATGTTACCAGATTCCAAAAGTGGGTAGAGGTTCTTCTTGATGTCGGCGTAGTCCTCATCAATGTACTTGCACAGAGTCTTGGTAAGTGACCTCTTCTGTTGAAGCTTCTTGATGTTCTTCTTCTTCTTTTCGGATGCAATCTGCTTCTTCAGTGTCTTCTTGTAGTAGGTTCGGAGCTCCTCCAGGTAGAGGAAGAGAAGGTTCGGGTCGATGGACGGCTCCTCCGGCTCCAGACTGACGCTCTTGCAATCCTTCATCACTTCTGCAAGAACAGCTCGAAGCAGCTTCGATTTGATAACAACAACTGTGGACGAGTACTGTCCCTCCCAGTCAAACTTGCGCTTGACCAAGAAAGCAAACTCTCCAAAGTCGCTGTCGTCTTCTTCAGCACTCTCCTTGAGCCTGAAACTGTGATCCTCTGCATCCCAAAGCCAATCCACACGCTTGTAGGCCAGCGAATCCTTCTTCGAGGCCTTTGCGGAGGCCTTTGACTTGGAAGGTTTCTTGCTGCTGGACTGTCTACGCTTGGAACGCAGCTTGGAGGTTGACTTCAGCTCTGCAATCTTGGTCATGAGATCAACAATTTGCTGGTCCAAATCGTTCTCGCCATTGTCTTCGCTTTCAGTGTCTTCAGACTCGACCTCTGGCGTCTTTGACTTCTTCTTGAGCTTCTTCTTCCGTGACGGCTCCTCTTCAGTGGCGGCTTCACTCTCCTCGCTCTCTGACTCTTCGCTTTCAGTCGAAGAATCCTGCTTCTTGCTGCGTCTCCGCTTACGCTGCTTGTCCTTGAGCTTCTTCGCCTGCTTTGACTTTGCCTTTTTCTTGCGCGCGGGCTCCTCCTCGGACGAACTGTCGGAGTCGTCGTCGTCGTCGCTGACCGACTCGTCTTCGCTGCTGCTACTCTCGGAGCTGTCGTCATCGCGCGCAGATTTCTTTCCCTTGCCGTGCGACGTCTTCTTCTTCTTGACCTCCTTGGCCTTCTTCTTGTGCTTTCCTTTGACACACTTGTTTGCCTTGGTCTTCTTCAATGACGTGATCATTGCGTCTTCTGTGATGATTGTCGGCTCTTCCACTTCCTGTCGAATGGTTGGCGCTGCCGCTGCGGCGTTGTCTTGGGACTTGTCGTCCATCTTCTGTTGTGGCTCGGATCGCAGTGTCGTGATGGGTATGCCGGTGTTTGAACGCGCAGGTGGTGTTCCAGATGGTGAGGACGATGTGGGTGTAAGTAGGTGGAAGGGTTCGCTGGAAGGAGAGGTAGTTGACGATGTTTTGTTGGCGGTACTCGACGGTTGCTGGCTCATCGGTGCAGTGAATAAATGAACAAGGCGGATGAAGATTGTAAGATGGAATGTGTCGAGATGCCGAGGGTTTTATACATGGAACAGTTGGTCTGGGCTTTAGCATGTGAAAGAAGCCAAAACAGTGATTGTGAAGAAGAGTGAATAGGTAGCAGGGAAGAGTGACTTTAAAAGGTGAATAGGGCGAAGTCGAGGGAGAAGTGACTCCGAGCGCACGATGATGTCTGGGAGCATCAGCCTCACGGCGCTAGAATACCTTAGATGGACATGTGTCGAAAGCGGAGCGCTCTACTGCCAAATCTGCTTACCGCGTGAGGCGGTGCCAGGTGAGCTGAGCGGTGGACGTGTGATGGACGCGGAGATGCAGTGGGGAACATGTGCTGTGACACGAGTGGCTGCCGCCGACCTGCATGTGCATTGCCGCGCTGGCCCTCCTCCCCTCGACACTTCCACTGATGGAATTAGAATCAGAATCATCGTTGAAGCTCTTCTTGCTATCGATTCAACGAGCCTGCACGTTGTACCATCTGGCTGGCTGACTGGCTGGCTGGCGGAGTCCGTGGGTCCTGGTGAATCATACAAAAGGTGAAGCGGCCTCTCATCAGACATTTGCCTCAGACATCTGAGCTCCCCATCCGGCACGCCGCCAGTCCGCGCAAGCTTCACGTCTTTCTCGGCCTAGCGGTTCCGGATTGGCAAACGCGTGGAGCTCACCCGACGGATTGGGCGACAGAACCTTAGCTCCATACTGGCGCAGTCCCGGCACGAAATCTAAGCAGGGATGCCATGCTGCTCAGCGTTTGGCAGAAACTCGGTTTGACAGATGAACGACAGCGAGCATGATGATTTCTCGGTAGGATGAGATTTACTCCAGATCAATCTAGTCTTGGGATTCGGAAGCACACGACTCGACGAGCTCACCTCATCCGCTGATAGCCAAGCGACCTCGTCTTTCAACCCACTTTACTGACGAGGCCAGCGATAGCGTTGTAATAAGAATCTGGCCTCCGGTGAAGCATATCTTACGTATGAGACATGATGTTGCGATGGATGTGTTCTTGGGAAGATTCGCTCATTGAATGTTTGGAAACCGCTTTACATGTTCAGACGTTGGCCTTCGGATCTGCCCATCGACAGATATTTCCCTAGCAGGCGTAGCATGTTGATGTTGACGTTGATATTTGCGTCTTCTACAAATTACAAGTCGATACCGCTGTGATGTCAAGTGCAAAATATTTTGACACCSTGGATGGGAGCGGAAACTATTGGCTCGCTTGGGACTATCCGACTCCTTCGACTTACGGCAATTCCATCACATCCCCAGTCCTTCTCCCGGATGCCGATATCTCTATCGTGACACGGCTCATGTCTGCTTCTCTGCTTCCATCAAATCTACCGTGGTACTGTCCGCTCGACTGCATCTTACAGGGTATTGAAAGCCGACAAGGGGTGGGCCACGAGATCTGATCCTGCATGACCTCGCATCTCATCCTAACACGGTACCGCGAATGACGATGAGAAGTATTCTTGACCCACGCTCGAGGACTGGATCTGTCTTCTAGACTATTGCCGCAGCCTTCATGGATTCCTCATTGGACAGCCACGACCAGTCTGCGTGTAGCAGTGATTGAGATCATGTCTGCTGCCAAGACCACCAATGGGCCTGCGGGACCTACACGAACACGACCCTGCGATGCCTGCAGACGTAGGAAAAGCAAATGTGTGACCGAAGCAGGCAAATCAATCTGCGTCCTTTGTAACTTCCACACGCAAGCATGTACTTACCTTCAAGCGCCGCAGCCGAGGAAGCGTCCTTCGTTGCCAAGTGCAGACGATCCAGCAGCCAAGCGGAGGCGGACCATCCGAACCAAACCTGGCACTGGCATTGAAGAGTACGACACTCTCCCCGGACCTTCTCTCTTGAAGCGAACCCTGGGGCTGCAGAACAAGCATCACAGTGAATTGGTCGGTCTACATGCGGTTTCCGAATTCTTCCTCAACACAGGGGAACCTTCAATCAACGAACCGAACAGCAAAGCTGACTACATTCGTCTGGTTCACCCTTCAGTTGCTTTTCGGATCAAGCCCGACGATGAGACGCGTGGCTACGATCGCGAGCTCGATACCGTCGAGGAAATCGAAGCCATCGCTCTCAAACACGGTCCTGAGCTTGTTCAGCTGTATTTTCGCATCATTCATCCCTCTTTCCCGGTGTTGCACAAGGAGGTCTTCTTGGAGAAACACTCGCGCAGCTATCGAGAGTTCAACCCGCCGCTGCTCGCTGCCGTGTATCTGCTCGCGTCAAACTATTGGTCTTACAGCGAAGCTCTCGTGGGTTCAAAGAAGATAGACACTGCGGCATTGCAATCCCTGGCGTTTAGCGCTTTGCATAACGCAATGCGACGACCGAAGCTCTCCACAATCCAGGCTGGTCTTCTTCTCTCCCAATATCATGGAGGTTTTGCCGGCCAAGACCCCAATCAGCAGCGCGACGGCTTGATTGTGCAGCTTGTCAGCATTGCGCAAAGTCTGGGAATCCATTTGGACTGCTCCGATTGGGACATACCTGATTGGGAAGTCGGTCTCAGACGTCGTATGGGCTGGGCTTTGTACATTCAGGACAAGTGGACAGCACTTTTAGAAGGACGACCGTCATTGATAAGCGACGAAGATTGGGTCGTCGAACCACTCTCCAATATCGACTTTCCCGAGGTCGTGGAGGACGACAATCACGGAAGCAGCGAGGTAGGGCGAGGTCGTGTTGTATTCATGTCGATGGCGGAACTCTCTCTGCTACTTTCCGAGCTGCTGWGAACCGTATTCTCGGCCAAGGCCAGGCGCGTAATCGAGACAGCACCCGACAGACTTGGAGCACTTCTCTCTCAAATCAAACCCTTACAGATCCAGCTAAGAGACTGGTCGTCGTCGCTTCCGGAATCTTTACGAATGGAGACCGCGGCTTCAATGAAGCTGTCATCTGTGGGATATCTGCGACTGGCGTGGCTTACAGTTGAAGTGTGTATCCATCGAACAATCATTCGGACCCTGCTTGCAGTGGACCAACCAGATCCTACAGTCGCAAACATGTGCAGAAACGCCGCCATGGAGCGCTTTCAGAGTGCTACTGAATTTGTAGGAAGGCTACAAGCCCAACATCTTCAGTCCTTCTGGTATTATACATCCGCACGATGCTGTGCCCTCTTCCACTCATTCGGTCAAATTCTCGGTGCCACCGCGCAGAGCGAGGACGAATTGACGCTGTACTCCCGAAAGCTGAAGGAGTTCAAAGGGTCACTGAAAGTGAATAGTGAGTCGGGCGCCAGCTTCATGAAGCATGCGCTATCTTACATTTCGCATGCTCAAACGGCTCGGGTGGTCATGCAACATCAAGAAGCTGGTTCAACAACAACCAGCCCGGCCTCTGTGGGGTTTGGCATCCAACGACCCTCCCCACAACTACAACAAGAGCAGCAGCGCCTGGTACAACGGCAGCAGCAGCAACATCTGGAGCATCTGGAGCATCTGGAACAGCAGCAGCAGCAGCAACAGCAGCAACAACAACAGCAATCTTACAGTTGGATGCCACCGGTACCAAGTCTAAATGTGGGAAACGCTACATATGATGCATATGGACAAGGCTATGCTCTGGAGCCGGTAACTTACCAAGATCCTGAAGCTTTCTATGCGAATCAGTGGAATGCAGCTGGTTACAACACTTGGAATCAGGATCTCGGATGAGACTTGGCAGTACGCATGCCTCGGTGCATCCATACCCGATACACGTAGTCACCTCGTAATTTTTTGCTGCTACTAGCGCCCTTCGATACAATGTATTTCTACAGCTACATCTAGTTAGAGGATGGAAACCGCGAGAYCTACTCCCTACACGCGATACTTGTAGCTAGCGCAAGCGAAGCCGCACGACAGAAAGCCATTCGTACGAGCACCACTTGCAAGACGAGGTTCATAAGGCCGATATAAACAACTCGTGCGCAGCTCTCAACACATCAGTCTTTGTCGAGGGAAGCCCGGGTTTCCTCACAGGGGAGAGATGAACCATTTATTGGAGTACCCTCGCAGGAATCAACTCCAATACTAGGTCAATGACTTTGTTGGTATTCTGAGCTCGCTTGCTAAATATGAAATTAGAGCGAGTCACGGTCCTGATGTCGAACAATGGCGCCACGCCTTTGGACGACCTTGACTTTCAGCTCTGGGATCTCGTAACGCAAGACAACAAAGTCGTGTACTCCCTGGTCGGTCTCTGCTTTGGTGCTGTTGTGGTTAGGGTCGAGTCCAGMAATGCTAGTAAAAGTTACCGCCAAGCAAGAATCGAGCTAAGAAGAATCGTGGACTCGCAGGTGCAAGAGATGCTGGAAATCAAGCCAGAGGGCGACATAGTACACGTTGCAGAGCGCCTGGAAGTAGCCACTTCTGACTCACCGACGGTATATGGGAACGAGCAGATGTTGGAGTGAAAGGAGAGAATGGATCATGGATGTCATCTACGAATTGGAATGGCTTGTTGCAGGGGGTACCCAAGCTAGGCCATGGACAGTCAGCAGGTTCCTCATGACCTACTCTTCACTCACACACTTGCTTTCTTGAGACTTTACACAATACAACGTTGAACCTCCTGGAACATCACACACCTCTCCGTGAGCTATAAGAGCACGCACCGAAGAGTGCTTGATGCATGCGAGATTCATATATTCACCGCACCAGCTTGACGAGCACACCATTCCGGATCTTCATAACGATAGACCCAGCCTCGAATAGCCTGTGCTCCGGATCCCGGTTCTGAATCTCGCGAAATCGCAGCGCAAACGTCGCAAGAATGAATGCCAACTCACCCATCACCAGCGCCATGGCTGGACAAGTCCGCTTCCCGCCTCCGAAAGGCATGTACTCATACGCCTGACCCGGCGAAGACTTTGACGTGCCAATCCAGCGCTCGGGTCGGAAGGAGTGTGGATCTGGACCCCACGTGTCTTCATCGCGCTGAAGGGCCTGTATTTGGACATATACGATGGAGCCCTTTGGTATGAGAATTGGCTGGTCCATGTTCATGCCACCGCCTCGTGGAAGAACGATATCAGAGAGTACGTCGCGCCCGGTCTGCCCATTTGGAGGGCCACCAAGACGCATCGCTTCGTTGATGACAGCGTTGGTATATGCTAGCTTCTTGACGGCGTCGTAAGACATCGATTCATCCTCGAACCCGGCAGCGAGTACTTCTTGCCGCACTTTCTGGTATGCCTCTGGGTGGCGTGCGAGGCGGAACATGACATGGCTGGCCATTATTGCTACAGAGTCYCTGCCAGGCATGAAACAGTCTAAATTAGCCAATTTGTCAGCAATGTCACAAAAGAAACCCATTTAGGGATGATCAGCTTAAGGAGTAGAGGAAGCCGTGTGATGCTCGCCCTTGATCCACCTACTGAGCATCTGATTTCGCAGGAACAATCGATCCTTGGTACCAGCTTCCCCGATTAGGTCGTCGAGAAAAGCGTGCGTGCGTAAGATCGGACCGCCTTCTGAGGTCTCGAAGTCTTGAACGGCCGAATCCACGTACTTGTCCATGAAGGACTGTGTGGAGCGGATCGCGTGGTTCTCGTCTTGGGTCCATCCCTTCCACCAGCGGATAAGCCAAGGCTGCACTGAGCGCACACATTCAAACTGGGCCTTGTCGCATTCGGAGGTAAAGTACTGTGCATCGACCTTTGAAGCGTCACCGCTCACGGTGTTGCTGTCCTGGCCAATGAGTAGCTCCATGGAGAAGTCGAGGAACTGCACCCCTATGAAGTCAGTCCAGCATTCGCAAAAGTCGATCTCGCAGACTTGCCATTCGTATGAAGTGCTCCTGCAAGTCGACCTCAAGGTTTTCACGCTCCAGCGCATCTAGCATGCAAGCCAGATGTTTCTTCAGACGGCTCATGTCTGTAATAGCAGTCTTCTTGAAGACTGGCTTCAGCATATCCCGCGCATACCTCCACGGCTCTCCGTCCACGGTAAAAGCACCAGGTCCCAACCACTCCACTAGTCCAACACGCGATGGACCAACGCCAACCTCCCTCGTAGATGCAGTTAATAACGCCTGTGTGTTCACTGAATCGCAAGTCTGGAACACACGCTGGCGCCATATCTTGGTTTCGAAAGTCTTGCCATACTTGGCGAATTGCTCACGGGTCCAGTCTGCTCGAGTGCCGTTCGCGGCCGCAGCTGCTACATCTGTTCGATAGTCTGAGCCCGACAAGATATTCTTGTGCTGGTATTGGGGACATCGGTAATATCCACTTCTCTTGAGTCGGACGGCCAGCCTGCTGCGGTTGAGGGCGTATGAATATGTGAGGAAGAATGCACCGAGTGCAGCAAAAATGGCAGCAAACACTTTGTAGAACATCGTGCAGTGACGAGTAGGATTGACGCCCTGGATTGAGATGAGTGTTGGCTTGGTACCTCGTTCTTGGCTCGTGAGTCGTTGCTTCGCGGCCGGAGAGCTTATTGCCCAAGCATCTGACCGACTGCTCCGTGATGATTGACAAGAAGAGGCAGATCGGTACTCGGCATTGGTATGAACAGTGTCACAGGCTCACAGCTGTGCAGGTCGTGGTACCAAGTCAGCCCGAACCCTGTTTTCGGGCGGTCGCACGGCCGATCGACGACGGATGAGCAAGCTTCATCACCTACGCTTTGTCCATTGCGCATTGCGACATGCCCACCCTTCGCCAAAGACTTGAAAATGGTTGAGACGAGACCGAGATATCGACAACTGCWGGGAGAAGATGACCATGGTCTTGCTGCAGTCGCTGCACAGCGTCGATCTCCGACAACAACGATTATCGTTGCAAGCCTGGTCATGTCTTTGGCAATGAACATAGTCTTGACTTTTCTGCTTTTCTCGAGAACCCCCTCCGATCGGACAGGCTACGGTGCGTGGTACTCGTCTATTCCTCCGATGTTCACCAGAGCTGAAATCTGTTATGTATAGCGGGCTTAACATGGAACATTCCCAGTACGATGGGGAACTCGTCTCGATTCATGGACCGCCATCACAAAACGAAGACGGATCAGGCGTGGGACTCGATAAACTTCGATGCTGGAATGATTGCAATCAGTGACGAAGAAGTGCGAGTACTGAGTCTACCGAGATCTCAGCGCTTTCCGTGGGACGATTCCAAGGGCATTTATCTGCTCAATGCATATCACAACCTGCACTGCTTGGTTTGTAATTGATGACTGCGTTGCTCTCGTTGGTATCGAAGCTAATTGAGACATAGAAATGGCTTTGGAAGTCTCTCGCCAAATTTCGGGATGGCAAGGAATTCGGAAATCTTGATTGGCATGGTTTCCACTGCCTGGACTCCCTGCGACAAGACACCATCTGCTATGCTGACGATACCCCGAGATACACCGGAGAAGGGCAAAACAACGAAACGAGCGGGTTCCATCAAGCACGAATGTGCCGCGATTGGAGCAAGCTTGAGCAATGGGCAAACGAACGATCGTCTTGCTATCGGTTTCTCAAGAATGGTGTCGACGACCCTCTGGATAGACACAAGTTCTGTCCGGAGAACAGCCCTTACAGCGATGTGATTGCGACAATCTACGGACCGACTGAGGAAAACAGACTGGTTGGGTTATACGGAGAAATGGCTTCGTGACAGCTGCGTCATTGCCATTGCATTGACTACCGGCAGTCCCATATTCCGTCTGGACATATTCTAACACCCTGGATTGACGTTACTCCTGCGCTCTCGACGAAAGGATTGCTTCGTCAAGCATCGTCGTCCCCTTCATCATCCATCACGTATCCGTTGGTTGCGTCCGTGGAGTCGATAACGAGAGCCGTGTTTACTGTACTGACGTGGTATTCGACTTCAAACCCGGCATCAGCCCCACGCTCATAATGCACACTCACACTACATACCAGGAAGCGCTGCGCTTTGGGCACATGTAATCCATACCACCAGACCGATCAGTATCGTGGGTAGGGACTTCATTGTCTCGTTCCTTGTGCTTCAGATTGATGAAATGTGGAGATGTGCCAGATTATGGAGACTTGAAGCACTGAGAGAGCTGAAATGCAATGTCCGATGGGTGGCTGCAGGTCATTGGGTGGCTTACTTGAGGTCTGACCGTGTGTATCATTGAGAGTTTCGTCACTCTCATATGCACTCATCTTCCAGTTGCACAAACATGCACCATGATGATCATCCTGTGGAGTTTGGCCAATGGAAGCACGATGGCGTCTCGTCTGCATTGGGTGTCCTGGCAATGCGATCGCACGGAACATGCAAGCGTTACCTTATGTGATGATCCTCTGCACGCGGCTGACTACACTTACTCTATGACCTTCCCCACGCAACGTGGTACAAATGGATTGCAGTGATAAAGCATGGGGCACAGTCCTATCCCTCCCCGCCAGCCGTTCCGATGAGGTGTCTTTTGGCTCTCTACCACCAACAATATGGTTTCCTATCTTGGCAATGGCATCACGTTCCCGACTGCATATACGAATGATCTGAAGGCCTCTGGGATCGCTTTTCCGGTCATTGGGCTGATCCTGCTTGTTCTTCGCGCTCTACTCAGCATATCGAAGAAGATCAAATTTGGATGTTCAGAAGCGTTTGCGGTCATATCATGGCTCATGATCGTTGGAATGGGCGTAATTTTCGTATGGAGTAAGTGGCCTTCCAGCACCTCAAAAGTTTCTACCTGAAGCTAACATACCGTCGAAGGCGCTGAGAACGGCGGTCTCGGAACGGACACGCCCACCGATGGACCTCAATTGACCAAGACGTACATCTCCCGCTTCCAGTGGAACGTGGTTTTGAGCGAATACTTCTTTTTGATCTTTATGTCGGTGGCGCTGGGAACTACCAAGTTGAGCCTCTTGTTCTTCTTCCGCAGGGTCCTCGCAACGGGTCATCGCAACGTCTGGAATCACATCAACATGTTGCTCATCGTGGTGGTAATCCTCTTCACCGTCACGTTCACCTTTGGCTACATCTTCGTGTGTGGTGGCAATCCTTCTGCGTTCTGGAGTCCGAACAACATACGCGCACCGCAATGCCTCTCCATCAAGGGTGGTTTGGCGACGTTCGAAAAGGCGAGCTTCATTACGGACTTCATCCTGGATGTCATATGCATCATTCTTCCCTTTCCAATCGTATGGAGCGCTCCACAATCTTCGCGTTATCTCACTGACAGGCTGACTATAACATAGATTTGGCGATTGCATCTCCCTCTTCGATCGAAGATTACGGTGATAGCAGTGTTCGGCGTTGGTGTCGCGACCATAGCCGCGAGCATAGTGCGAGTGGTCATCTGGATCGAGATCTTGGACACTGCTCACAATCCGGTCAAAGACATCAATCTCGCCGTAACCCTGGCGCTGCAATGGGGCATGATTGAAGCTGGACTGGCGTTCTTCGTATCACAACTCCCCGCTCTCGGTGCTTACCTGAACAAGTCTTCTCGTGAAGATATAGCCAAGACGATCCGTTACGCAGCCAGCGTTATTAGTATAAGATCAAATTCCAGCACTGAGTCGAGGAACCGCCGCAGCGTCGAAAATCATACGGGAGCTTACAACTACGAGCTGAGTCAAATGCGCCGCGAGCATGGAGATGACGTTCAAGGCGAGGGTGTTGATGAGATGAAGAGCAGCAGTTCGCATATTGGGAAGACAAGTGATGTGTAGCCTTGAGTGTTGCTTATCTCACAATGATGAAGCTGGCGGTGCTGGAAAGGTCGTGGAATACATCACGTTGCGTGTTCGTCAGTGCTCTACCTTTCCTCCACAACCCTTCTCCCGGGGAGTCTTTTGAGACGAATTGGTTTCTGAGTGGTGCATGCGTCCTACCCGCTCATCGGAAGAATAATATCACATCTCTTCTTGTGGAATCCGCCGTGAAGTTGGGCAAAATCTCGATCCCTGGCCTCACTATTCCCCTGAAATTCTCACCACTCGCCCATAAGATGGCCTTCTTCCAGGGAATAGTGTCACTACGTACGGAAAGACTCGTGAGCTACTACAAGTCCATCGRCATGCCGCCCAACAGGAGGATGAGTCGATGCGAATTCTGTCTCTCCTATGGCATCTCCGTCGATGAAAGTCTGGATGACGAGAACATCATTGTTCTTGAGCGTCGGGGGCATGCTTTCGTTCCTGCAACAGCTTTGGCACGCATGTAGTTGGGAGATCAACCTCTGCTTCTCGTATACTACATGACCGGCGGTCAGCCTTGTCGCGAGATTCAGCATGTTGTATCAACGGACTCAAAGATGCTCTATGGGCAGAACATGTCTTCAGAAAGGCTGGCAGTTTTTATCAGTGGTAGAGGGGTGCATAGAATAGAGAAATGGCTACCTCTGGCCGGTTACGTGCCCCTACGGCAACAGGTTGCAAGGCGTCGGAGAAGAGTGTTGTCCAAATCGGCCCCATGATATATCTCTATTCAAGCCTCTTTCCTAGTCGGGAAAGACATAGGGCGTACCACGCCCTACGATGCTTTGAGTCAGCTGAGCGGGATCGGCGATTCTCCGGTGCATAAGGTACTTCGTTCCCATAACCAAAGGTGTAGCTTATGCCACATTGCCGACGAAGTTGAAGATACTGGCAAGATAAGGTGAGTGGGAAGGAGCACAAAAATCAAGTCGACTGTCCATCCTCGAAAGTTACTTGTTCTTTCATTCCTCTGACGGCAACGAAATGTCGACCGACAAGAGTATGTAACATCACACACTTTCCTCAGCTATTCTGACCTCACTCTAGATCTCGGACCGGAAGTCTCTTCCTTTCCAGCAAACATTCCGGACACTTCCATCTCCATCCAAGGCACTTATGTGACACTTGAGGCCATCTCTCGGGYWYWTYTT